TGAATTACCAACTTCAAATAACTCAAGTAGACAATACAGTAAAACTCACATAAGTCATATCAGTTGGTACCATGATATTTAATATGACTTTTGCAAAGTATGAATTATATGATATACAACTTACCCCTAGCCCACCACATGATCAGGTGACACTCTTTCCTCTCTCAAGAAAACAGGCTAAACTTACCCCCATGTCAAACAAGGAAGTGAACGACCAACCTAACTGCAGGATTTATTGCCTAGATACTCCCTTCTATTTTCGAATAGTTTCCTGGATTTTTTATTAAAAGAACTAAGTTTAACATCTCATGTGAAGGACAGCACCTCTGACAATGCAGCGTTACCTCAACAAGGTAACGTTATAACTATCACATGACAATTAAGATTAAATACAGAGAGAATTCACCCTTCTAGAATTCAAGTCATTACACATATTGCAACCTGAAAGACACAGCTTAACGTTTATCCTTGATCAATCACAGTCAATGTCAAGTTATCTTAATGTACCTAGCTTCCAATTGCCTCTGTAGGCACATTGCATTTTAATACAAAAGACTAGTAAGAGTTTCTGGTGGATTGTGCAGAGCTTTTGATTAAAATATTTGCTGGGTCGAGTGACTCTCTCATTCGCATCTCTTTCATCTACTCCTCAGTACATCAGTATTTGGAAACACATCTGAATTACAAGCTTGAAGTGATTTGCTACATCTATACTGGAAGTAATTATACCTTTGGTACCAATGCTAATTTTAGTTTAAAAATTATAAAGTGGAGGCTTAATTGAGAAGAATGGATAGTAAGGAATGATTACCAAGCTGCTATCTAAATTGAAGGGATTTAAAAGACATCAAAAACAAAAGCTACAATCACTTTCAGTTATAGTACATGAACCTCCAGGATTAGGTCACAGCATTGAAATTTCTCAGTGTTCATTATTTACAATTTTAGTTTTATACGTACATAACACACCAATTTGTTTTCCAGTAATTGTTGGTAGTCACTTTAACTTTGTGACATTGACATAATCTTTAGCCATTTACAAACAATGCACTAAGATATGAGATCACAAGACAGGTTTGGATGAAGGCCCTCAAGTCCATTTGATTCCAGAATACAAAACCTGAGGTCTTCCCATCACTGTATCAACCAGTTTCTTAAAATTTGTTTGATTTTCTTGGTCTTAACCACCCTTCCCAATAACCCATTCTAGCTGCTGATCACCTACTCACTGTGTAAAAAAAATATTTCCTGGTGTTGGTCCTAAAGTTGCTCTTCACAAACCTGAACCTCTTGATTTGACGGTTAAAGCATAGTTCTGGGTTTATTTGCTCACTTTCACATCTAATGACAATTAGAAACCAACCAAGAGGTACAAGCCTGTCTTGGGTAGACAATCGTTGGAGACTCACATACTGTTCCCTATAGCAGTGTGACCAGAAACAGAATGTAGACAATGGAGTCCACAACCTCAGAACAACATGGTAGGCCATCCAACAGCAATATGCCATCCAACCGGTTTCCAACCTCAGAACAACAATATGCCATCCAACTTGTTTCCCTCAACAACCTTCAGTCATTGCTGCAGAAAGATAAAACATCGAGTGACACGGCACAAGGAGTAAATAAAACATTAAGTGAATTATAACCAATGCCATTCACATTTGACAAAGTAAATGCTGATAGCAAAACATCAAATCCGGGAGACTTACCCAACATGACAGTGACTTTACAGACAATTAGTGTGCGGGAAGGGAGCTATGTCCAATTATCATAGATATATCCATATATCCCATTGCTACAAGATAAATCATATTGTACCCCCATCAAATCAAATTGATTTTCATATGAAGATGTTAATCCCATTTATTTTAAATAAGGGTCTATGTTGCTCGTGTTAAAAAAACGAGCTTGAAATGTCTTGAAAAAAATCTAAAACTTAACAAAATCAATGTTTTCAACACATAATCAAAATGCTTCCACGAGCGTGGAAAAACATCTTACATGTGTTCTTTTCGAGACAACTTTCTCTTTAATATACAAAGGATTCTGTACCGGTACTGGCAATCATTCCGTGGGGGTATAAGAACTACATTTCAGGCAGAAATGAATGGAGTCCCTCCCATTATTAATGCACTGCTGATGCAGTATTCAACAGGTCATGTTTTTAAAACTACATAATGCTGCCAATAAAATCCAGCTACAGAAAAACAAGTGTATGAGTGCTGCAGCAAAAGTAGGATTCCAATTAGTGATTTTTCCACAAAACAATTGCCTATATATAAATAAATGAACTGCAGCTGCAAAAGTTAGTGGACACATCACCCAATTTAAAAGAAAATAGCAATTAACAGCATTTCCCTACTTTAACCAACACTCAATAGATATCTAATAGGTAAACTCTTGTTTATATTTGGCAATACTGGATTGTTTTCCCATTTGAACATAGCAAATTATAATAAACTGACATACAAAGATTTCTAGCTGTTCATTTCAATACAGACGTCACCATCCTAGGTCCTGTAGTAAAGTGGCCAAGCTTTATTTAACTTGAGAGGATACAACTTACATTATGCAAAGTTCCAAACTCAAAATTAAATTATTCTGGAACATTTTTAAGATTAAAAAGGAATATTTAAACATACAGCAACATTCTGCTCCTCAATCTGAGTTAGCTCCACATAAATGAAAAAAAACTAAATCCTGCACCATATATTAAATTTTCATAACCATCAATTTGTAAAACAAGACTATTTTACTAAATCTAAACTGACATTCAGGTTACTGAAATTAAATGGAGCAAAGAAGAAATCATCTGTGGTTAATTCTCACAAATGTTGAGAAGAAATTAATTCATACATTTAGTGTACTTTGTGGATTAGAAATAAATGATTAACTTAGCTCCACACTAACTTGAATATCCTGGTGAGCTAACTAATTCCCATTACTGAACTTTTAATATCAAATGCCTTCACCAGAATAATATTGCTCACAATTCTATGAATGGATGATATACAGAAATGCCATTCTTCGATCACAATTTGTGATCTACCACACTTATTCAAGCCTAATGGTAATAATAATCCGTGTACATTATACAGACCCAGTTTGAACTCACCAGTTTAGCCTATTTCAATCCTCTGTCATTACTTCCTTTTTCTAAATACCCACCCTGAATATCTCCAATTTTCACCCCTTATTCAACCTGCTGTTCCTGTCCAAGATGCTGAAACTCATCACCACCTCCCAGCTTCACTCATTCCTCTCCCACCACTCCCTGCCCAAGTCCCTCCAATCTTGATTTATTCCCCCTTGCAGCACCAAGAGATAACCCCGAAAGTCACTAACATCCTATCTGTCTGTGACCAGGTTCCCTGTGCGTCTTTGTTCTACTCGATCTTTACCAAATTTGATCCTGTTGACCACTTATTTCTTCTCCATGATCTCACCTCCCTGGTTCTGCACTTTCCTGGTTTCATTCCTCCCTGTCCCAGCATCTTCAAGACTTCTCCTCTGAGAGCTTCTCCTCCTGCCCCAGATAGCACTTACAGTGTTCCTCAGTCCTCTCCTTTAACTAATCTACGTCTTCCGCAAGTATGGGTCTACTTCTTTATGCCTGGAGAACACCGGCTTCCACCTGTCTTTGACAGTACCTTTGGTCATCAGCCTATCTCCACCCTCTTTGCCCTCCACCCCACTTGACTCCAACCTCCAGCTCAGGTGCAAACCCTTGATTGTGCATCACCTTGAGTCGTCCTCCCGACGTAAAAGGCCAATATATAACAATACATTTGTTATTATTACTGTCTGCAGCATCAACTCCAGGGACACTGGGTTGACATTAAATGCCAGATTAGTCTCAACTTTCTTTAACTCAGTGTCAACAAAACTGAGGGTTTTTTGTTCTGCGTGCCTACCTCGAGAAAAATCAAGATTGAATGGACATATTTTATAAAAGAAAAAATACACATTCAAAATAACGTTCTTGTAAAAGTAGTGAACTCAAAGAGTTTAGAGGGAACTCCAAAGTTCCACTTTACTTACATATAATTGAAAATAAGACCACATTTGTAACTAATACTCACCTCTAGTGAAAACTCAAATCGATTAGTGTTTCCTCTATAAGGAGCAATTAAGTGCAGATCAATGGAAGACTGCCCCTTTAGTTCATTTGCTCCACTGACAGAGTGTCTTAATTACATTTAAAAGCTTTTATTCTTTTTCAGATACAGGAGATTTAGTGGCAAGGCTGCATTCTTCACAAAAAGGAAGCAGGAACAGGTAATGTGGAAAAAAAAATCTAGGGGGAATTCATACCATTCAAAAGCTCACTCAATATCTTGATACAAATGGGTCATTGGAATTTTGTTTTATTCGTCTAGGTATCTGACATGTGGAAACCCACAACCATATATCATTTACACATGGAAATTTCCTCTCGTTTGGAATGGAACGCACACTCTACCTGGCAGGAAACATCATGCTTACCTAATTCTGGATAGTATTTGGCACAGGTTGGCAAGAACTAAGGCTCAGAGCACCCAGAGTATGTTTGGGGTACTGTACTAAAACCACATAGTCTGCCATTGAGAGCACTGTTTGGCAGGTTTCTCACTACTTGTCCAGCTAAAACCATCCTACAAGTTAGGGCTTTGGCTTGTGAGGTTAACAGGAGCTCAGCGGGAAGAATCCCAGCTCATCCCCTCCAAGTTTTGCCGATGAACAAGGATAGCTGGTGTGACATCAGCAGTGCCAGGAATACTGGCTACCAGATCTGCCACCGAGGATTGACTCGATTCCAACATTCCATTGCCAAGCACATCACCTTGGGAGCCAGTTTAGCTCCAAAAAGATTCCTGCTTACCTCTTTCAAGAATAGCCATTATCATACTGTTAAAAAATATATTAAGGTTCCAGCTTTTGTACAGTGCTCATACTGGTCTGGTAATCTCTAACATTTGATAAGTTATAGCGTACAGGACCTGACTTCACAAATTCCTTACCTTTGTGCATCAGGTTGGGAGATGGCATTAACAAGCGCTTCAACTGCTGTGTCAAAAAGCTCAGCATTCCGTAGAGATGTGAAGGAGGCCTGCATCAAGCACTCACAATCCAAGAGGGGAACATCCAGTTGCACCCAGCTTGAGAAACACTTGAGAGCCTTTTGACTGATGAACACAGGGGAATCTGGCTGTAAGAGTTGCTGTAGAAGAGGGAAGACTGCACCAGACTCTTGTGCTAAGGCATTTCGCACTTGGCCTTTCCTACATTGTGGCAGACGGCTGGTTTGGAACTCCTCGGGGAGGACAGTTAGCAGCTCCAGCAAAGCCATACATCTAGCTTTCCCATCCACATCCGAACTTTCAGTCTGGAACATCTTCACCATGTCACCCACCGCATTTGGCCATCTCTCTGGCATCATGTTAAGCGCCAGCGATGCCAACGCCACACACAGTCTGGTCAGCACGATCTTGGATCCAGAAGCGAAACGTGCAATCTGGTTGAAAAGCTGAGATTTCAGAGTCTCATACTGATCTGATGGGATGTCATTCCAGTAACGGGAGATTTTGATATGAAGGGCACTGGCTCCAAAGTACTGGATTTCAGGCACTTTGTCAGGGCTGAGCAATGCCCAGCTGAAATGCCAAGCTTGAGGGGAGACTTGTGCCTGCATCAACCATTTCTGTGCCAAGTTTTTGTTATCAATATTTGGATCATAGTACAACTGGTGCAATGCCTGTAGAAACAAGAGGGGAAGAAAAATGAAAAACAATGCCTTTAACTGTAGCAGCAGTTTATAATAACAGAAGATAAATGTGACATTTTGTTTAGCTAGATTTCTCCACTCATAATGTCTACAATCTGTATAAACCAAGATTCAGTGGAGATTCCACACAATAAAAGGGCACGACATGCTTATCCAATTTCAAATGAAGCTAATATTTAAAGACTTCTGAAGAGATGGTAATTACGCAATGACACACTGGTATCAATCTTAAAACAGTGTTCCTTTTGAAACACTGTGTAGCCAACAGTATCAGATTTTAAATCTTAGAAGACTTGTCCTGCTGACCCTAATATTTAGTGATCAATTCAATCAGGCAATTTGATTTGGTTATTAGGTGTCCATACAAGCTCCATTTATGGTTTCATTCCACTACATTCAGACTTGGCTCTTCTAACTCTTTTAAATTTTCCATGATTAGTTTCTCCTTCATCAGCTTCCGATGCCAAAAGAATCATTGAAAAAAGGCCTCCATTAGCAGGACTGCAATCACCTAAATTATTAAAAATTTAGTTGTTCAATCAAAGCTACCACTCCAGCAGCCACAAGATTAGCAGCCACAAGTCTCATTAACTACATAGTGCATCCAATTCAAGGATAATTATGTGCATGTACTGTTAAGATGGTAAAGTCTGGCGCAGAATTGGTATCTCTACAAATGTTGCAATGCTCATTTTCTGCTTTAAAAATATTTGAATAATGAAAAAGTGCTCCCAGTGACCAATGCAATATAAACTTCCTTCACTCAGATGAAAAAAAACAGTTGAGACAAAAAAGGCAAATGCTGGAAACCCCAAAATGGAACTAAGAGAAATGGCAAGTCAAATAAATTGATTTGAATTAAGATTTAAGGGGAGATTGAATAGTTCAGACTTAAAATTTCACCATCAAAATTAATCTGTCTTTTTGAATCTAAATGATAAAAAAATTTGAAGTGTTCCTTTTCATTTAAAAATAAAAACATAAAATAACTCACAAGCACCTGAGCCATGCAGCATCTGTGAGTTGATGCTTCCAAATGGGCTGTTAAAACAAAAGGCTTCATAATTTGATAATAATTTGATTTGACTGGAACGCATTGCCTGAAAGGGTGGTCGAGGCCGATTCGATAACTACTTTTAAAAACCCAATGGACGGGTATTTGAAAAAAACGGGTTTGCAGAGTTATGGGGAAAGGGCTGGGGAGTAGGATTGACATTATTTGCTCTATTCAAAGAGCCGGCACAAACTCGGTGGGCCGAATGGCCTCTTTTTGTTCTGTACAATTCTATGATTCTATGATAAAAAAAACTGTACTCAAATGAGGTCATAATGGATTTATAGGAAATGCCTCCTAGGCTGTCTTTACAGTATTTAAAATTAATTATTGTTTAGTGTCGAGTTCATCTAATCTCCATAATACACAACAAATTAAACAATAATGCTACAGTGTCCTTAAGGCTTCAACAATAGACAGAAATAAAATTCAAACAGCTCAACACAACCTAACCTTACCCAGCAGTTCTGCTGGAGTTACAATTTAGACAGTCAGAGCAGGTTCTCAGGAAGGGTGGTTGAGGCCTCTGGAGAATTACTGGCAAAGTTGCTGGGAGAAGCTCTCTGCTCTTTTTGAGTAGTGTCATGGTATTCTATAATACCTGAACAGGCAGATGGCACCTTAGCTGAATTTAATAAATAATAATGCTTGCATTTGCTATTGCACCATATCACGTCGGAAAGACGTCTCAAAGCACTTCATAGCATTTACTGTGAAATGGAGCAACTGTACTTATAGGCAAACACAGTAGCAAAATTGTGCACAGTCCCACAGTCACGTTTGGTAGTGAAATGAATAAAGTCAGTATGATTTGGCAAAAAAAATATTAGCTTCACATCTCTGCATCTACCATTCGATCCAAGACTAAACACGTTGCCTGGCTGTGCTACATGACAGTTTCCATTTTGCTGCAGTGACTGAAGGCAAGAATGTGCTTCAGCAAACACATACTGTGCCCTGGAAATGACAGGTGCAGATTAATATTCTTTCACAAGAATAGACTGAACATGGAAATGTTCACAATAAACACGACTGATCAATAAAAGTCAACCAAAGAGACTGATAAAAACACAAGCTCAGAAGAATGTTCTCTCTAGGAACAATCTGAAAGATTGTCTGTTTGTGAATGAAATAAGAATTGAAAATCTGAAGAGAGTCAGTAGCTTTTGGTGATCATGCAGTTTAACATAGCATATTCACAACATTTCTCCTCGTTAAAAAAAATAATAATCCTTGTATCAGATATAACACCTTTCACATCAGGAGGACGACTCCAAGAGGTCAAGTAAAACACTATTTTGTCTGTCAATACTGCAACCCATTTGTACACAGCAATGTCCCACGAGTAGCCATAAAGTGAAACGATCAATTTTATCTGGGAGATTGTTGGCCACAACACCAGGATAAACTCCCTTCTCTGGGTGTATTGTTCCATGAGGTCTTTAATTTCTACCAGAACAGGAGACAAAACTTGGTTTAACAACAATCTGAACAACAGCACCTCTCGCTATGCAGAACACCCCCCACCACTGCATTGGAGTGTCAGCCTAGACTGAGAGTTCAATGTCCCAACACAGGTCGTGAACCCACAGCCTTCTGACTTGGTAGCATTCTTGCCTCTAACTGGGCCATGCTGAAACCCAATGCTTGTTCTAAGTAAATTTTAGAAATAGGTACTTTAATTAGAAGTCTAGAATAAGTTTTCTTGCTAAAACATGCTCTTCCTGAATCAGCAGAAGACCTACCCATGCTGGCCACAACGGCACGTTTGTGGTGCATCTGCTACAGTGCAACCTTTAACATCCCTTTTATTGTGACATCTCATCTTTCAAGAATGTCTTCATACAGGTTTCGTGACGTGCAAACATGGGACTAAGATGTTGCCAGTCAGCATTAGAAATTATATAAAGAAAGAAAAAGACTTGGGTGACAATACAAGTGAAAGAATGAAAAAGACTTGGGTGGTAAGTCATCACTATCACACTTGCATAGAGCCAGCAACATTGGCAGAGGCCTGAGAACTGGATGCCAAGGCATCAGAGCAAGCAACCAAGATACCCACTTGCAACTGGGCTGATCATTCGCCAACAAAGTTCAATATATGACATTGTGAAGCGCTTTGAGACGTCCTCCTGACATTAAGATACTTTACGATTATAATAATGTAGGGATTATTATAATATGGTTAATGGCACCTTGCTGCATAATGAAAAATAAAGATTCGTACCACATTTACTGCCTTGATGGGTTAGAACTTCAAGGGAGAAACTGAAAGAGGCCTAGGGTTCATATGCAACTTGTTTACTAACCATACCCCAAAAAGTGAGGTAGCAATCAAAGCAAGTAGGAAGCGAGTTAACATTACCAAAGTGCAAATTCAGTGCAAATTCCCAGAAGTCATGATGAAATTGTACAGCAGTTTAATCAAACTACACCTTGACTATTGCCATATCACCACAGAAAGGGCCATTCAGGGCCTAAAGTCAGTGTAAGGATGAACAAACATGTCCGAAATCCAGGGTTAAGAGCCACGAGCTACGAGAAACAAGACAATGCAAAGCTTTTCAGCCTCGAAAGAGAAAAGTCTCAGGAGAATCTTATGGCGATGCACAACATGCTTAAATGGAATCGAGACAGTATTCCTGTAAAAATAGGTCACAGGTTCAGGGCTGTGAAGAACAGGTCCAGGAAAGTAAATATTCCCTTACTCAAAGGGAAAGCAGCATTTGTCATTGGTTACCAATAGCATTGTGGCCAGGAAATTAGATTAATTTAAAACTAATGGCACTGACATCCATACAGAGAGATCAAATGGCCCAAAACTGATATTTTGAATGTATTACCTTTTAGCTGTCTGTACCCTCTGGCACTAGCCCTCAGACAATCTCTAATAATTCAGTAAGTGATTCTCTAGCTAATTATCATAATAAATCATAGCGAGTTTAATATAAATTGCTATTACCCATCATCTCTTTGCTCATGTGTTTTAGCCCACTGGTGCCACCTCGTAATTCCCTTCCCTAATATTTATCCCTTCACCCAGAAAATATTGCCTGACTTCATGTTGCACCAAAGGATACATTAATTTTCTATGAAGTAAACTATGAAACTGTTACAATCAAACCTATCAGTGCAGTTACACAATTTTACAACTGAACATGCTGGAACTCACCCACGCTGTATTTAGAAACAGCTATAAATAACCCACCAGTAACTCAGACACTGAAAGGTTCAAAAGAATGAAGATATCATCTTAATGTGTACAGGGTTCTACGTGCAAATAGTTTCAATGAACATTTGGGCATCACGCAGTGAACTATGCTATCAGTACCAACCATGTTAGGTTACAAAAATGCTTAGAGCAGGTTATCCAAATGCTGAAAAGAAATTACTCACTGTTATAATAGTTTAAAATACTTTGTGGAAGACAATTCAAATTACATGTAACGCAACACTATACACCTGACATTTCTCATCTGCAAACTACTTTCAGTCATTAATCAGCAAAAAGATCTATTTTGAAAAAGATTTTCATAGCGCCAATAAATTTGAGACTGTGCAAACGAGAACAGTAAAAGAAAAATACATAGTACAGGGCCAAAGATAATAATAATAATAATCCTTGCATTTGATATAGCGCTTTTCATGTCGGAAGGACGTCCCAAAGCGCTTCAAACTTTAAGAAGATGGGACTTCTTCATCAAATTTCTTATGAACAGCACATTTTCCAAAATGTGACGTTACTCCACCTGTGTTCACAGAACATACATTACATAAAATACTGGCAATACCAACTAGATATAAAATCAGATTAGGTCCCAAACATTTTCAAAAAAAAGTTTCATATATGCCTCTACATCAAGAGTATATAAGAAAAGTTGCATCAAAGCAGCCTGGTGAAACAGAACACAAAACTTAATTTGAGCGAGAGCCAGCCATCTGGCCTTTTTTGCTGAATTAGGAATCATCACAGGAACAAAAGAGAAGAATGTTGGTCTATGTCTAAAAGGTCAGTATGAAATGAGATCCAGTGTTCTTCATTCAATATAGAATCACTAAAGTTAAGTTCTTGCTATGTATGGTGTCGAGACCAAGAACGCCCATATCATCAAGTCACAATCTTTGAAAAACAATGTCAATTTAATATCTGGGGAGGGAAATCTAATCTTTTCAGACCAACCTGTTTTCCAAATTGCCTGCAATTCAAGCAGAATCTCATACAAGCATTCCAGTGAAGAGTGAAGATGCTGAACATCTAACCAATTCCACTCCTCAACAACACTTAAGATGGTGCTAATTAAGGTTAGAATTGGAATTTTAGTGTTGTGTAAATAGATGGGAAGAGCTCACCATCATTAACAATGTCGTAATGCCTTCATCGGCATATGACCATCACTTTGAAAGTGCACAACTGGAGGTACGAAAAAATACTTCCTTTAAAGTAATGTTACCAAAGGACGGATTATAGGACTGCAAAGTAAAACTCACACCCACCGCTGATGTGAAGAGTTAGAACCTGCTTCTTCTAACTGCCAGGGTACTCCAGCAATATACATTATTAAGATGAGCACGGAAGGTTCCAGAATGGCTCTATACTAACAGTTTATAGCTGATACAGAGCTCCCCAACCGTAGGAAAGGTACCAGCTCAGTATTCGTGTACTCATGCACGTTTTTTAAATAAGGCAACGCTTGTGAAAATAATTTAGCTCTATATGGCATTTTGGCCATATGTAACGGAAACAACTTAGTTATTTTGTGCCTTTCAGTAGAATGATCGTCTCCAGGTTACCTGAAATTTAAGTTGGTATCTCATGCTATACTGCCATGGAAGCTTTAAATTCCATCTGAACAGGCAGGTGGGACTTGGTTCATTGAAAGAACAGCACCTTCAAGAATGCAGCATTCCCAAAGCACTGGCATGTCAGTTTAAACAGTGAATTCAAAGTCCCAACGTGGGACTTGAACCCAATGTCTTCCAACTCAGATGAGAGCCGTCAACTGACCCAGGTTGACACCAAGCTATTTCGGCAAAAGCAAATAAAGACCCTTCAAAAAAAAATTAACAAATTAAGCATATGGATTTCAAAGTAAATAAATGCAAGCTAATGCATATTGGAATAGGAAACAGAAGGTATATAGAGTATCCATTAGCAAAGGTGCAGAAGGGAAATGATTTGCGTGCAATTATTGATCAGCTTCTAGTCAATCTAAAGCCATTATGAACAAAGCAAATCAAATACTTGGTTACTTCAAGGGCATTTAACTGAAAATCAAAATAAATTATATTAACTCAGTAGGCCAAAGGTGGCCAACACTATGTGCTGTTTTGGACATTCAATTTTCAAAGGGCAAGTTGGAGCAGGCATCAGTGAAATGGTAAATCCAGAAATTTCAACTAATAATTTATCAGGGAAACTGGCAGAGTTAACCTTTCTTCGTAGGAGAAACAATGAATGGGGATGGGGAAAGCAATAAGGCAACATAATTCAGATCTTTAAAACACTGTGCACCATTACCAATGTAGATAAAAATAGGCTATTTAACTTTGAGGAAAGAATTAAAGATTTAAAATCAATCTTTCCTCCACTGTCCCAGAGTATCAAATGCTGTGCTATAGTCAACAGAAAAGTAACAAGAGGGTTTATAATATTATTAGTTTATATAATAAAGAAATTGGGATTCCACAGTGCTATTATATTCTTCAGTCTGATGCTATCTATTCCAGTACACATTATTGGACAGTTTAAACTAATTTTCAGTAATGTAGCAAATCCATTACAACAGTATTTGTGCTACTTATGATTGGGTTATATTCTGTTTTCGATAGCGATTCATTGGAAAAAAAACAATCCGATTTAAATCTGGTTTGAGACATGTCATTGCAAAACAATTCCGGCTGGAGCTCAGCTGCTGAGACCACTTTGAAGAGGTGGTTTTGCCAGGATATCAATTTGCATCGCTGCAGTATAAAATGCAGGCGGAGTAAATGGATTTGACCTCCGCTCAAAAATGGTCTTTAAAAAGCTGTCGGACAATCTAAATCATGGATCGTACTATCAGCTTTTTACCATTAAAAATTAACATCAGTTAATGGAACACAGCACCAAGCTTCTGGTGAGAACAATTGGAAGGGAGTAAATATGAATTCATCGTTTATTCCAAATAGCTCACCAAATAATTATAGGGCTGTACATTAGGCACAGACTACAGCAGGATCCCTTACATTAGAACACAATTCTACAAATAAAATGCACAAGTTCACATAAGTTGTTGGACCAGATACTAGATGTGATACTGAGCTCAAGATCCCTGGTCTGTGCTGAAGTGCTAGATTTAATTGGAGACACAATCGTAACACCACCAAAATTACTCTCAGAACAAAAAGAAAAAAATTCAGACAACTAAACAAACCCTCAGAATCTCTACTGCTAAGGCTATCCATTGACTTTAGCTTTAAAGTGCATTACAAAACTGGCTTGGATGAAGAAAACCCTTTGGCCTATTTGATTTCATCCTACCAGCATACCCAACAACATCAACAAATTGCTCCATCACAGCATTAAGCTTTTTTTAAAAAAAAGTCCAGGCTTGAGGCCTTTAATAAACCTTCCTGGTAACCTGTTCCAGCTGTTAATTATCCTCAAGATAAAGAAATATTCTTCCTGTCTGTTTAGAAATTGCCATCTGTATCCCTAAATCTGTGTCATCTTCTTTGGCTGTCTTGAGTGCAAGAAAACATATTCTTCTGAGTTTACTTTTTCAATTTCATTGAAAATATATTTCTATAATGTCCCCTCTGAGATGTCTCTCTTCAAGACTGAAGCACCCTTGCTTGATCAAAAGCTATGGTTGTCTGTCAAGAACAGGATGAAACTCTGTGGTGATGCCTCCAAATGTGTATCATCTGCTAACTCTTCCTGGCTAGACATAGAACACAAAGCCACTACGGTGAGATATCAGAGAGCCTTTAGCTCGAATAAATCCACATAGCAACATGAGTCAGCACATTCAGTAGAGAAAGAAATTAAATTATTGGAAGAGGAACGAGTATGCCTAAACCATTCTTCTCTCAAAACTCTTTTACAGATACAAATCCTAGAATAACATACACATAGAAACAGGCCATTCTAAATTTGTGAATTCAATGAAATTATGGTTGGCACAAACAGCATTGCTCTACAGGGTAAAAGGTCTTTGACATAATATGGTCATCTAAAATCAGGTTACTTGTTTGCTAATTACAAATCTAACGGTTGCGATTGGATTATACACATGTTCAAAATCCATCAACTAACTGAATAAAAAGGAGATTAGAACAGAACATAAGCACCTAATGTCAACTGGGGCAAGATCCAGGGTCAAATCTGAAATAGATATACCATATGGCGAATGAGATCTGGCATTAGTCAGTCAACAAGACCAGCTTGTTGAAGGGGAGGCATCCTGCCCTCGGGGTGTAACAAACCTTCAGATTTATTCATTCCACAGAGCTCCAAATGCAAAACATTAAAAGAAAAACACTTTGAAGCTGTACTCTGACCCAATTATACTTTAAACTATCCCAAATTAGAGTCTCCCAACCTGAATTTCACATTGCTTTAACCTTTCCTGGCCACAGCCTTGCTCGTCCCACCAGCTATAGCTGCTTCGCAGGGAGGGCTTCAAAGCTTCGTTGGTTTCACAGCAGCAATGTTTTATGAAAATGGGTATTGCCACACAGCCCAATTGTTACTGCAGAGTCGAACTACCAAACTCTGAGGCGATTCGAAACCAACGATTACTGCTTCAACAGCGTCAGTCAGCGTTTTCCAATGAATCATTCCAAGGAGTGGTTAATATCCAGAAAGATCACCTGCCTCCGTCTCTTTTAACAAATGTCAAACCTACACCACTTCAGGGCGCAAATTGAATGGGGGGGGGGGGGGGGGGGGGGGCAGCATGTTTCCTGCACAACACAACTGCTGCGCGTGTGTCTGTGTGTGTGTGTGTGTGTCAAAAAAAATGTGTTTAAAACGTACGATGTGGAATATCTAATCTAAAGCATTCGCAAAAGGCAATTTTGTATTTTCATGGGGAATCTAAACGAAATATTTTTGAATTTATTCTTACTTCGGCGTCAGAAATGGGTAGCAACGGGGGTGGGGGGGAGAGGGGGGGGGGGGGGGAGAGGAGAGAGACAGCAGCAGGTATTTAAACTTGTGCGATTCCATTGCGCCAATGATCATTTCATTTGGAGAAATTAATTTCTGCGCCACGTATCCTTTGCAAAGACATACCCCAAAATATCCGTCGCGACGCGTTAAGCTTCGCGAAGCGGAACACACACACTACGAAATAAAACAGCAACACATCTCCGACAAGAGAGGGCAGTGGATAGGATTGAACGACCGTCTCGAATTGAAGCCTTTTAAAGAGCCACAGTGTTCGGGTACTGTTCGGCCCCTATTGACCGGTGAAGTTATTATTGTTAAGTTGACGTCTTACGTGAAGCAGAAATCGCTGATTTTTTTTTCCCCCACCAACGGATTTACGCTCCGGTTCGCGATCTTCTCCTTGGATTTCCCACCTTCCTATACGCGATGAGAGAGGTACAACAAACGCGGACTTTTTTGGGGGGAAAAAAACATATATATATATATATATATATATAAAAGATCTTTTTTTTTACCTTTTCCACATTTTCCACGGAGTAGTCTAAACTGTCTTCGCCCTCTCCTCTCTGGCGATCCATTTTTTTTACACACGGGCGGGAGGAGGAGGGGATGGGAGAGAGAGAGAGAGATGGAGATGGAGGAGGAGAGGGGGGTGTTGGGGGTTGGGGGGGGGGGGGGGGGAGTGTGGGGTCCGGGGAGGGGGGGAGGAGGAGGGGGTAAGTGAAGGATGATCTCGGTATTGATGCTTCCTTTCGGTTGAGCAGCAGCAACAGTGGTGATGATGGAGGGAGAGAGAGGGAGAGAGGGAGAGAGGGAGGAGGGAGAGTTGACGACAGTCGGGATAAGCCCTGTACCAGCTCCTCGCCTTCCCTCCGCCTCACAACGACAGCTACAGCTGCTGCTGCTGCAGCCCTCCCCTCCCCCTCTCCTCTCCCCCCACCCCCACTCCCCGGGGACCTTCTCCTTTGTGCACTCTCCCCCCCCCCCCCCGCCCCCCGCCTCTCTCGCTCCTCACGGCGGCCGCTAAACGACCGGGCGGCGCCTCATGGCGTGGTGACGGCTCTCAAGACTCCGCGGGGAGGGTTTGAAGAAGAGGAGAGAGAGAGGGAAGGAAGGAAAGAAAGAAAGAGGAAAGGAGAGAGAGAGATTAAAAAAAAAAGCGCGAGGGCGGGATGGAGGCGGTTGGCGATCTTCTCAGTTTGAAATGTCTGTCGCCTCAGACGCCGCCGCCGCCGTCGTCACTTCAAACCGAGGCGGGTCGTCGCGGCCCGAAAGACGGCTGTGTGTGTGTGTGTGTGTACGTGTGTGTGTGTGTAAACCCCTCCCCCACCGGTTCCGTTAATTATTACCTTTTGGGGTTTATATTAAATAAATAAATAAATAAAACCAGGATTAAACGCGCGAACTCACTCACACACACATTAAATAGGTGTGTGCGTGTGGTGTGCGGTTTAAGGCCCGCGCGCTCTCAACACCGTCCCCGGACACCATTCACAAACCCCGGCATTCCCTCAACCGGTCAGCGCGCAGTCGCCGGGGAGGGGCACGCTCGGCGCAACGGAACCGGGATACTGGCGGCCGCTCCACGGCATCCTGGGAGTTGTAGTTTCCTCAGCCGCGGTCGGAGGAAACTCGTTCATGCGTGGAGCGGGTAAAGACTTCATTTCCCGGCATAGCTTGCGGCCGCCGCCGCCTCCTCCTCCTCCTCTCCCCCCCAACCCCACTTTGGCACGGCGTAAAGGGGGCGGGCACAGCCTGGCGGCGGCCTTCCTCTGATTGGTTGTCCACTGCTGTCAATCATTGTCGCGGGCACGTGACCTCGCCTTTCAACAGAGCTGATTTCTCTTAAAGGGGAGTCGTTCCAATGTGAACTGAGACTCCTTTCCCATTTTGGGGGGTGAGGGAGTCAAATAAATATTGGAATGAATGAATGATAAAAGTTGTGCACCATTTAAGAATAATGATGGGAATTGCAAGCCAGATATGCATAATAATAATAATAATAATCCTCGCATTTGATATAGCGCTTTTCACGTCGGGAGAGGACGTCCCAAAGCGCTTCACAGAACACACTGTAAAGTGAATTGACTGTATATTTGTGGGCGAACGCGGCAGCCAATTGCGCACAGCAATGTCCCACAAACAGTCGTAGATTGAAAATGACCAATTTATTATTGTTTTTGGTTTTGGAGGGATTATTATTAGGCTCTGTGTGGAGTAAGGAAACTTGCCCGAGGTTTGGCCCTCTGCCTGGAATTGAACTCAGGTCTCTCACTTGCAAAGCGAGTGCTCTAACCACTGAGCGACAGGACTCTACATACATAAAACATACAGTCACCACACCACAGAATTCCGTGAAGCGCTTCGAGACGTCTCAAAGACGTGATGTGACGCAATATCAAATGCAAGGATTATTATTATTATATTCTAGATAGTGGACTATTTTACTCTAGTTGAGGGAGGACCCAAAAAAGGGAGACCATTTTCATAGAGCTAAGGCAGAAGTGAGGATCAGGAAATATTTCTTTACAAAAAGGATCGTCAAATGTGGAATTCACCGGTACTGAAGGTCGTTTATGTGGAATCAGTTAGCTGTTTAAAATGGAAATTGATATTTGGGAAGTGATTTAATTAGGACAAATGGATAAAGGCAGGGAAATGGGATCAAAAGATCTATCATGACCAGATAAAACGGAAGAACAGGTTGAATGGCCTTTGATAGTGGTTGCATTTTCTGTGAGTCTTCAGTTTGATATGATTTATTATTATCATTTGGCATGTCAACATACATTTCAAAATTTACCCGCTATACAGTGCTGTGAAGATGTCCTCTCAACGCGAAAAAATATCATTGTAAATATTATTATAATAGTCTGAGATATTTGTTGATACTAGCACCCTCTACGGATGGTAGGTAATCTGGCCTCTTTAGATAAGGGAACATGTTCATACCAAACACAAAATCAATTATTTAAATTGTTCATATTTTAATCTACAAAATTCATCCTTTAAGACATTCAAAAAATAAAATAATCTTAAAAAGAAAACTTGCAAATGGTTATGAACTATTTTGCTCAGAAAAGTTTTCTGAAATGATTACTTTATAGCTAATAATTCATTTACATATTTAAACAACCACTTGCTTATTGAGTTTCAAAAGTGATTGTTAATATTTGTTACTGTATTGAATGAAAGCTAAAGAGCTTTGTGGTTTGTAATAACCAAATTGTTTTTAAAAGGACTACTAACAATTTTGATATTGATTTTCCTGGAAGAAACATTGAAGAACAGCGAAGATGCAATTACTATTTAAATGTTTTTTTCGACCATGTGGAGTAATCTCATTAAACATAAAATTAAATTTACAATTTTGTTCAAGGAAGGATTGTTCCATGCTCAGATCATAAAATCAAGCATTGTATTCAATCAATTCCAATGCATTCTCAGTGTCACTCAATGGGTACAGATTAATTTTAAAACCAGAAATAGTATACTATTGATAATAATTCTTGCATATGCATTTTGATATAGCACTTTACCACATCTTTGAGACATCTTGATATCTTTATCTTTATTTCTCAGAAAAAAAATTAAATCTATCATAGACAATTGGTTTATTATTGTTTCTTGCTGGGGTTACAGTTTGCTAATCAAAGTTTGCTCAGAGTTTCAGATCATATTCGCAAAGGACAGCACAAGACTTCCCCAGTACTGTGTTGGGGGTGTCACCTTAGTCAGAGCAGAGAATGCTGAGCCAAGCTGAAAGTTGGCTGAATAGCTAAAAGTTATCAAAATATTAACTAAAAACAGTTTTGTATCATATTTTAATCTTTTGCCGAGGTTCCATCTTGTTCTGCTTCAGGACTTACTTCTGAGTCTTCAGTTTCTGTGGAAGACAGTTATAAAAAATATTCTATTAACATTGCACTCTATCTGATAAAAGTAAATCTATGCAATCTGATATGTTTCTAAAACTAAAAAATTAAATCAGCCTTACTTAGTAAAAGATTGGCTTTGTTATTAAATAAGGCATCAGCGTGGACCTCAGTTATCTTCTGATATAAATTCTCTGGATCATTCTGTAGAGATTTAAACATAGGTTATAAGCATTAAAATTATCTGATAGATTATCTGTAATTTTGAGCAGGCTATGAATGTGAAGGTAATAATCAAATTCAAAAATCAATATTAGGGTGAATTGCTGAAATTAATAAGAGGCAATGTGTAATGGGCTATTGAGTTTGGTGCTATTTCCATCTTTAGTTTACTTGCTGTTATCTCCCACATGTTTCGGGGATCTCAACCTCAACCACATTGTTTGAATCATGCAGTAAGATATTCTCCTCAGGAAGCAAAAAAAATCCACTACGTTTCAGGGTGTGGACAGGATGTTCTCCAAGCTTGATCTCAATGCATCGCTCTGATAACCAGTGTCCTATGTAAAAGCTAAATAAATATTTTCTGGGTTCATTTTGAAAATGGCTAAAAATTATGCCTCCTTGTTCTTATCCAATGATTACAGAAATAAGTAATCGAGGTGATCAGAAACATCACAATAAAAGATTAAACATTTACATTCACCAAACATATAAAAAAGAATAATTTAGCAACAAATGCAACATTCTAAACATTAGCAACCAGAAGATAAGAATACTTCTGTGGTTTTATGTAAAACAAGGTTCATTTTCCTGTTAAAAAGATTATCAAAGTATTACCATGAACATTTCAAAAAGTTCTATTCCCATGCTGGTTTTCACTTGCTCTGCCACATTTGGATTGGTGCAAACTATATACTGAAAATAATAAAAGATGTAAAATTATTAATTCCCTTCAATATATATACATAAAAAAAACAGTTGATGCAGAGTTTGGTGCGATCCACATGGGATTCTCTGCAGGGGTCGTATACATCCCGAAGCGTAATTTCTGCCTCAGTTTTTCTGATAGGCATATTTTCAACCCAAATATGAAGTTACTTTTAGAACCAAAAGGGAGAACTATTGCCTCCTTAAAAGTCTTAAGGACTGCAGGAATCCTCCAAAGTAGCATCACACAATAACATATTGTTAAAACCTTCCCAAAATTGGGAAGGGTGGGGCACTATCATAACAGCCAATAACTGGTTTATGATATTCCGCATTTGTGGAAATGTAGAATTCACTACAAAAGGTTATTGATGCCGGGCCAATTGAAATGTTTAAGAGGGAGGTAGATGAATATCTGGTGGGCGGAGGCTGGGATAGTCAACATTACTCATACATAGAATAGTCATGTGGGATGCAAGGTGGCTATCTCTGGGCAGAGGTAACAAGGGATATGGTGAAAGGGCAGGGATATGATACTATTTTTCAGATCAGTCATGAGTTAATAATAGTGCAACAATGGACGAATGAGCTACGCCTGTTCTTATCCTCTTGTTTCTTAATTCACATACTTCCACATAATGGGCATCACGTGGGATAACAATTTTGCCGATTGTTTTGCCTCCCTTTGTGGCATGATGCGTTTGATTAACTAGTCTAAATTCTCTCTCCTTTCCTCTGCACCAGGGATTGTCTATGTTGCCGGTTTACATTTACAATTGGGATTATTGGGTTGGCCCACAGCAACAATTATTCCAAAAAGCCCAAACTGTTGAGTTCAGTGTCATGCTCAATGCCTGCCAAGTTTCACAATCTGTATTAAAGGTACAATTTTGTATTGCCCATCAACATTTGATATAAGCATGCACATTATCTGTACTGGTAAATGAAGGCTTTTATTGCAAAAGCTTACAGTAACACTCCATTCTAACATAATTACACTTACATGCAGAGCCAAGGAAGCCTGCCTTTGGCTGTCAAAATGGTTTCTGTTCCCCATAGTTATCAACAGTTTCCTCACCAATTCGTGCTGCATCAGCTCTTCAGATATGTCCACTGAGTTTTGAATAAGAATACTACAAAAAGCACAATAAAAGTGAAAGATCATATTGAGATATTCTGCAAATTTAAGCCGTTTCACTTTCATCACGAAGTTTCATCATTAATTCTCCAGGTCAGGAATAAAGCAAAACAGTTGATGAGAACAGGTATCTCTTTTATTGCACAAGTATTTCAACGTACTGTATGTATGAGCCACGTTCATGATCTTTCTTACAGAAACCAATTACAGTACCAATTTTAGCCAAATTTTGAATTTACCCAATTGTAGCACAGTTGAAACTGCCTAAAATCAATCCTTATGAGTCCTTTGAGGGAGTGGTAACTTTAATTCTATCAGCAAGGGTTGAATTTGAACCCAAGTCCTAGCGATGAAAACATATTGTGTAGCTCAAAACTCCACCTCCCATAGAAAACTTTTTCAATTAGCATTCCTTTTGAAATACAATATTTGGTAGAGTCAGCAGTCCTCCAATTTGGTTTCCCACATACCAATGTGGCTGTTTGTAGGACATTGCAGTGCGCAAATTGGCTGCCAAGTCCACCTACAAAATGCACTTTGAGATGTCCTCATGATGTAAAAGAGCTATGTGATTATTATTATTATTATAATTCAATACTCAGCATTTAATGTAGGAAACTTGTAGGAAATGCACCAGGTAATTTGCATACCCCAATGTGAAACAAAAACCGTGAAGTTATTGACCAATTTTATCTGAGGAATTGTTGACCAGAACATCCAGCAGTAAATCCGTTCTCTGTTCGAACAATACCGTGCAATGTTTAATGTCCAACTGAACACGTGAAGGAGACCTTGGCTTAATATCTCATATAAAAGATGGTACCTCCAACAAACAGCGCACCTAAAGCACTGCACTGAAGTGTCAGCCTAGATTGTGAGTTGAAAGTGCTGACATAGGGCTTGAACCCTGTCAAGGCGTGGGTCTAATCGGCCAAGTTAGACTCACCTGGCTTTTGTATATTTCATGTACTGTAGAAACAAATGGCTCAAAGTCCTTAACAGATGCCCACCTAGAACTTCTCTCAGTAAAATATGTTGTCACTGTAACTTACCCTATCACCTTTGCAGCAGCAGCCTGCTGTATGAACATAGGTGCTGACTCTAAAAGGTTAGGTGCTGATTGATCTGAATGTAAAAACAATATCACTGGGATTAAGACATTTTAGACACACTTATAATTATTCAACAATGACAAAATTACATTTGTAAAGCGTCTTTCACGTCGGGAGGACGTCCCAAGGTGCTGAACAGTCGGGGATCAGGACACCAGGAGTGTGGGGGGCAGTGTTGGGATGAGGAAGGGAAGACAGGTGGGAGGGCAGCTGAAGGCACGGTCGAAAAAGAGTGTCTTGAGTCGTGACTTAAAGGAGACAAGGGAGGGAGCAAGGCGAAGAGACTGTAGGATGGAGTTCCAAAGGGTGGGGGCAGAGAGGCTGAAAGCCCGGCCGCTGATGGTAGGGCGGATCGGGCGGGAGACATGGAGCGGGCCGGAGCCTGCTGAACGGAGGGAGCGGACAGGTTGATGGGGGTCAGAAAGTCAGATTGGTAGAGGGGGCAAGGCCATGAAGGGTCTTGAAGGTGAGGATGAGGATTTTGAATTCTATCCTCTGAGGGATGGGGAGCCAGTAGAGCTGGGTGAGAGTGGGGGTGATGGGGTCACGGAGTCTGGTGCGGGAGAGGACTCAAGCTGCAGAGTTCTGGATGATCTGCAGCCTGTAGAGGAAAGAGTTGGGGAGGCCGACAAGGAGGGAGTTTCCGTAGTCGTCACTTGCGGTGACAAATATGCGTATGATGGTTTAGGCGGCCTGAGGGGTGAGGCAGTGGATATGAAGACAGTGAACATGGCGAGGAGAGAGGTGATTGGGTTGGGAAGCCGAGTGGAGAGGATGTGGGCTGTGCAGTTCTGGATGATCTCAGGAGCATGGTTAACAAAATGCAGTTTTAAACAATGCTGCTTGAAAATAACATTTAAAAACCTTTACATGGTTATATTAGCTTGTTTCATGCACTCTGTATATAAGCGCAAAATATTAGAGCCGTAGCATTAATTTTAATTATGTTCATTATTAAACTGTTTAATCTCTCTAATAAAACAAATGGTTAAAATCTTGGAAAGGGTCTTTAACTTTTTTTCTTCTGTACCTTCAAGAATCTTTGGTCGATTTCGGGGATCTTTACATAGATTGAGAAGTCCAGCTAGTCTTTTTAGCAGGTCTGATCTGATTTCATATTCCAGTAGTTTCTTGATCAGCTCAATGGCTAAATAGCGACAGATAACATAGTACTGATTAGTTTTGATGAATCATAATTAATAATAATTACATTTGTATATAGAGCCTTTTACTCAGAGAGTGCGTCTCAAAGAGATTCACAGGATTTCATGGTAAAGTACCTGTAAATGAAACCTCAAAGAGGCTCTGCAGGCACTGGCCTGCTCCACACCCTCCACTCTCCACCATCGGCGGTTGGGCTTTACGGCTTTCTGACCCACCCTCTAGGACTCCGTTCCTGAGCCCCTCCGGTTCGTTCCCCCTTGCCTCCTTCGAGGCCTGCCTCAAGAACTTCCTTTTTGACCGTGCCTTTGATCATCTTTCCTCCTCCACCACTCTTGCCCTCCACCCCTCTCAGATCCCAACCAGCAGCTTGGGTACCTAATTATCCAGGGCCAGGGAATGTCCTTCTGACGTGAAAGGTACTATACAAATGCAATTTATTGTTGTCGTAAAGTGTATTGTTTGTGCATTTTGTAATTAAATCATAGTTTAACAAACCAACAAACCAAGGACAGTTCATGGAATGTTTTTATCATTATTAAACATAATGTGGCAGTTTTTTCAAAAAAGCTTGCGTAAAATAAAATTAATTGCTACGGCACAATAAGTTACCTTCGTATTGCACTTCAGAGTGAAGGCTTCTCAATATGTTCAAAAGAGGTTTGATGATACAGGGATATGTGATTTTCACAATTGGCTAAATAAGACCAAAAAAAAGGTAAAGTGCAGTAAATAGCTTTAGTAAATAGAAGGTGGAAATCAATTCTGAGAAAAAACACCTTTTCAGCTACTTTTTAAAACCATTACTCATGTCTTGGCAAAAAGAACAAATGCACAAACTGCTTATAACTTCTAAATTCTGAGATGCCTCCCTGCATTAGGAGCGCTAAACAGATGTGAGTTGTTGTTGTTATTGTCCTCCATAGAGCATGTCAAGTAAAATTTTAGATAACAGATTACTGCATTAAATCTGATGCTCAACAGCAAACATCGAAACAGTAAATTACAGACTGTTACAGCACAGAAACAGGCCATTCAGTCCAACTAGTCTGTACTCCACATGAGCCTCTGCCCCTCTGAATTCCCTCTCACATCCCTCTATTACCTTCTCTCTAAAGTAAATGCATTACGTGGTGACAAATTAAAGGTTCATACATGATGAGAAAATACATTTCTTATTTACCTCTCATTTACTCATGTTAATTTTGTGTCCATTTACATGTATTAAACCTATCTCACCTGCAGATTATTCAGTGTTTGAAGTGCCAGCTGCTGTGCTTTTGAAGAAGTGGTTGGTAATAATGCAATTGCTCCTTTGTAAACCTGTACTTGGTATTTTTGGTTACCTTGAGCCAGTAATTCCAACAAGATCTGAGCCTGTTCTTGTGTTTTTTCCAATTTCGACTTTGCTAAACACTCGGCAATGGCTCTCACACCTTTAAATCCAAAACATCACCATCACTACCAAAGATTTTAAAAGGAAGACTTTTAAAAGGTGTCTTACCGCTGGTCAATTTACTATACTAAATGATTGCATAACACATTAAAGTGTATTTATAAAGTAGGTACTTGGTCGAATTCAAGGATTATTATTCAAGTGATAATTCGCCATATGCAAGTTATAGACAGTAGAGGGCATCCCAGCTGAACCTGCTCTTGTTCTTGCTCAGGATCAAAACACACGCATTTTCAACAACTCACTGAATGGCGATCCGGACAGAGTACCCTGCCTGGCCCAGGCAGTTCATGTACTCAATAAACCATCTGCGAGTGCCCTTAACTCAATTTTGTTTCAAGAAATATTCTCGTTCTCAATGGTACACAGTAGCAACTAACAGAGTAGCTAACATTCAGCTAGACAACTGAATGCTGCTTGAATCTATTGCTAGGAGCTACGCAACAACATGAGGATGCCATTCCGGCCTTAGGGGTGACACACCTGTCACTGCTGCTTCTCTCTCCCGCTCCCTCCCACACCCCCGACTGCTTTTGACCACATTTTTGATCAATGGGATAATTATCACTGATAATCTTACCTACTACATTTTACCCTCTATATATCAATATGTGGAGCATACAGGTTTGTACAGGGCTGACAGTTGTAACAGATTACCATAGCTTTCACAGATCAACTCCTTATACTTTCGTCCACCGCTGGCAATAATTTGAAGTAATTTTATTGCTTCTTGTTTGTCTTCTTCTCGGGCCTGTTTCAATCCTAGAATGTCCAGAAAAGTCAAAAGGCCACCAACTTCCAAAACTTCTATTATATATCGCTGACTAAAATAAGAGAGAACTTAAATCAATTAAAATCATATTACTCTTCTCAATTTTTTTAAAAAAAGTTTATTTTGAAAGACTTCAAACAAATAGATGCAGTATACTGTATATGTGTTGGAAACTTGTCATTTACCCAAATATAGGTTAATGGAACCACCAACCACAAAGCATCAACTGAAAATGTTAAATGAAAGCATATGTAGAACAAAATGTGATTTTTTTCTTACCTACTTGCTGCCGACAAAAACACACCAATAGCTTTTAATTGTTCAGATAAACAGGTACCAATCATGTAACTGTTTGCAACAAAGTTAAGTCCAGTATTTGAGATAAATCTTCAATCTTTTGTTATTCTGATACGTACTATCATCATACAAATACATTTTCAGCATTGAAGCCATTTATCCTATTATATCCTCTTGCTACCGCTTACCCTGTTTTATATGTTCCAGCTATTTCTACATATCCCTTTATACTTTCATTGCCAAGGTTTCCTTTTGAATGATTCTGGACTCAGTCATTTGACACTGAATTCCAAAACTTTGATACCCTCGAGTGAAGAAATTCCATCAAACCTTATCCTAATTTTTTTGCTAACAGTCTTGAGACCAATTCCCCAAATAAAGAAAATAGCTTTCCCCCAATTTACCTTCAGAATCTCAAACAAGTATGAGATACCTTGACATAGCTGGATACAAGCTGAGATATTCATACAAAAGGTAGTAATTCTACATTGTTGGGAAAATTGTGATTTACAAACTCAGTTTTGCATTCTTACAATAGAATCAGACTATGTTACAATAAACAACCAGAATATTCAACCTATCAAGTCTACGCTGGAGCGTGACTTTTCTCCCCCTCATTTTCACCTTGTACTTAATTATTTTAAATGACAAAATTTAAACACTGAAAATGAACTTTAATGCGATGTATTTCTTTATAAGTTTGAAGGAAAGGATACGACAATCTGAGCCACGCTGTCACTCTTGTGAGAAACAAACTGGCCCCTTGAGCAAATTCTATTTCCAGCTCAGGACCAGTTTTACCCTGGTTCGCATTTATAAAGTCATTCAACATACGACATCGGAAAGTTCTATCCGCGTGGTCCCATTCTTGTAGAAAATCCATTAGTCTACAAATCTCTGATTGTGCCTTCATTGAAGTCATTTTTTTCTCTCGTTCTCTGATCTTCAGTCAACTGGGGAGGGAAAAAATATCATTGTTTGCATTTGTACACCCTTTTCCAATTCAAATGTTAAAAATGGCAGCTTTGCCCAGAACAAAATTTGGCCACACGTAGTTTCTGAAGTTTAAGTTGGTTGACCTCAGCTGGAGCGACCAGTACGGGAATGCTTTACAATTAGCGTCTTCTTGCCTCTGAGCTAGAGTGGGGGGTGGGGGGGGAATCAGACAAGATTCACATTCAACAACAACAACAACAACAAGATTGCATTTATAAAGCGCCTTTCACGTCAGGAGGACGTCCCAAGGCGCCGGACAGTTGGGTCGGGACCCGAGCATCGGGGGGGAATGGTCAGGGTGAGGGAGGGAAGGGAGGGAGCGAGGAGGGGGGAATGGTCAGGGGAGGGGAGGGAAGGGAGGGAGGGAGCGAGGAGGGGGGGAATGGTCAGGGGAGGGGAGGGAGGAGGGAGCGAGGAGGGGGGGAATGGTCAGGGGAGGGGAGGGAAGGGAGGGAGCGAGGAGGGGGGGGAGAATGGTCAGGGTGAGGGGAGGGAAGGGAGGGAGCGAGGAGGGGGGGAATGGTCAGGGTGTGGACCGCAAAGGGTCCACACAAAGCCGCCCCTTTTGCTGTCCGCTGGAACTTTTACCTGAACTTTTCAAACCGTTTCGGGACGGGTCAGAGACCGCTCAAATGAACAGCTCGTGAGGGGCGGATTGTGACGAGCGATCACGACACCGCGAGCCACCTCCCCCCCCGCGCGGCGGGATGATTGACGTGCCGCACAGCCAACCAGCGGGGGCGCCTCGGGACGGAAGCGGCGCGCGCGAGCCAATCGCACGCGGACGGGGGCGGGGTTGTAGGCGGGACTGTGTGTGCCATCACGTGCGCTCCTCCTCCGCCGCCGCCCCGCCCCCTCGCCCCGCCCACACACACGCCCGCGCGCCTGTTGACGGTTGGAAGCGGTTGCTAAGGAAGTCAGTGGCCGCTCCGCGCGAGGCGCTTCCGGTTCGGCTGTTGAGCGGCGCGCGCGCGCGAGGGGTCGGCGTCGGCGTCGGTCGGTGTCGCCGGGGAGAGAGGGACAGAGCCCCTCAGAGGGTGGGAGAGGGAGAGAGAGGGAGACACCGGGACACCGGGTGTTCGCCAACCGCCGACGCGATGGGAGAGGCCGAGCTGGACTACACCGTCGTGTTCCCCAATCTCCAGGACTCGGGTTTGTCCGTCTAATAAACACTAATCATAATTAATAGATTATCAATTCATTAATTCGTTAATAATCCGTTAATAATTCGTCAAGAAACAAATAATAATAATAACCCTGACTGACATTTGACCCCCCCCCCCGGTCAGGTCTTCGAGACGCCTCAAAGCGCTTCGCGGGGGGGGGGGGACGTACCGTCAAGTGTAGTGACCGGGCGCTTTGCGGGCGAAACGCGGCGGCGGCGCCCACAGACAGGCGTGGGTTGAAGTGAACGATTTATTGCCTCCCCCCCCCCACCACCCCCGGAAAAGCCGTCCGCCAATCGACTAACAACCGGGTTCTTACTCACTGCCGGTAAACAGAGGCGTGTGCGTGTGCGCGTGCGTGTGCGCGTGCGTGTGCGTGTGGTGGGAGGAAACTCGCAACGTTTCGCCCCCCACCCCGACCGGGAACCGAACCCGGGGGTTGCCTCTCGCTCCCGCGAGCTACAGGACTCCACCTCCGATCACCGAACCGAACGTTGCCCCCCAGGTCGCGGCGAGGCCCGACCTTATTCCCACCCTCACCTCCTCCCGGTTTATCTCCTTTTTTTGGGGGGGGTGGGGGGGATCGTGCTGACGGTCACCTGTCCCGCTCCCCCCCCCCAGCTTGGCGTCAGACTCCGCCGCCGTCAAGCGCTCCGGGACGCTACCCCGCATGAAGGGCGCTGTGTAAATGCAAGTTGTTACCCGGAAGGTTATTACATGCTGTCGCGCACATGTTCCTTCTCTTCCCAAATATTCAGAGGGAGAGGCACAACCTTTACCGCATGTCATCACAAATGAGACCATAATCTGTGTTTGTGCGTATGGATCTATTTCAGTCCACACTTTGATCCAATCTGCTGATCCACACACGTACATCCCTTTACAAAAATGCTGTTGCGAGGTTATCTGTAGTCCAAGAACTTGCCTAATCGAGGTTGTTATCTTTTATCAAGTCCAAAGACTGAATATGAACAGAGGGAGGATTGGGGGTGGATCAGGGGGTGGGATCATGACTTGAGGTCCATCTAGGAATGCATTCTCTGCTGCTGATCACCAGTTAAGCACTTTGATATGCTATACAAATGCAAAATCTTGGGGCGTGAAGCTAAAGGGTAAATTGTGTGACCCAAATTGTAGGAGGTAATACTGAACTTGAGCATGCCCCACTACAATGGACCAATACTTATGTGTATTCTAGATTTTGAAGATGATCCCGTGGTAATCTTGCTGGGCTGGGCTGGCTGTCGAGACAGGTATTTAGCAAAATACAGCCACATCTACAAAAAACAGGTTTGTACCAAGTAGATGGCTTCTTTAAATCAAATTTGCTTCTATCTTAAGCCTACATACTTCAGACTAAATGCAAGAAGTGCACAGGAATTCTGCCTTAGACTATATCCACCATTATTAGCGTGTTTTCTTACAAAGATGTCACTCGCAGAAATTCCTGACCTGTCCATTTTTCCTCCAAAGGTTGAAAATCCTATCTGATTATCACACGTCCAAATGTCAAAAGCGAGGAAAACCGATGCAAGGATTTTGATGTTGTTGCTTGTCTTCCTTATCTACACGGTGGTATTTTCTCTTTGAGCTGATGGTAAAAGCTGTATTAACATTATTCAAATATGCTTTCCTATCGTTTCAGGGTTGCATAGTTATCAGTTATACTGTTCCTTGGGAACATATATTTTTCACCTCACTGCTCAGCACAAGATCCCTCCATGGCACTGCTAAGAAATTGCTGGACCTGCTGTTTGATATTGGCATTGAAGAGCATCCAATTGTATTCCATGTCTTCAGTAACGGAGGGTGTATGCTCTACCGCTACATCATTGAGCTGCAATATGACAGAGGTGCAACTCGGTACAGGAAGTTGAATGTAGTCGGTACTATTTTTGACAGCGGACCTGGAGACAAGAACTTTCAGGGGGGCATCCGAGCACTCCATTCAATCCTGAGGCCATCCAACAATCCTTTCATAAAGATATTTGCTACTGTCACATTTGTCTTCGTTGCGCTCATTAGGTTTATGCTTTACCCAGCGTCCAAGTTTTGGTCCCTGTCCCTCTATGACAGTCTGAAGCAGGATCCATCTCGGTGGCCCCAACTTTACTTGTATTCCAAATCAGACAAGGTTATTTCCTACAAGGACATAGAAAATGTGATCAGAGCCAGAAAACAGTTACGTGTTTGGGTGGAATCTGTGGACTTTGACACATCACAACATGTAAACCATTTCAGAGAATTCCCAGAGAAATATTCCATCAGGGTCCTCAGTTTCCTCAAGCATTGCATTGGGCAATCAACTGGTACTGGAAGGTCTGGCAAAAAACACTTACCAATGTAATAAAGCTTCAGAGAGGGAATGTCTGCACTCCGTTTTGAAAAGTCTTTTGCAATCCTCCAAAGAGGTTACATATTTTAATGGGAGATGGTGGTGACTGTAACATTGAATATAAAAGTAACCAGCCTTTCATGTAATCTCACACTCTGGTCATGTAATATTCACCCATCATATGCAAGTCTGCTAATTGTATTACTGCTGGTGAAGTATTAATTGAACTATTTAGAGTACCGGCCACATTTATTTAATTGGGAGAACGTTGAGTTGGGAAATAAACCGAAGTCATTCATACTCTACGCATGAATAAATTAATTATTATTATTTAAATTAATTATTAAAGTAATAATCCAAGCAGGGAAAGCATTGCCTTCCTTAGAACTTTGTAGCCATGTAAGCCATCTCTGCTCTCACTGCCTATGTAGTCTTGTGCAGACAGTACTGTATATCTCATTTCCTATCATTCATAGTAGTTTTCTCCTGCTTCCTACAAATTAGTGTATATTGCTTTCAATGTAACACATCTCTTAGTCTACTGTTATGTGAACTCGCAATGTCATATATTCTTTGATACTGAAGAGAAGCACATGTTCCTAGTTAAATTACGTGAACAACACCTCAGTTAGAGCAGTGACTGACAATCTGACAATTGATGTTTCATTCCATACCTTCAGCAACCAATGTATTTTTTTATATCCATCCTGCAAATGTGCTGTTTATTTATGAAGGGTTTGTTCTTTATGTACAAAGGGATTATTACTTTGGAAATTACTTTTTGCTGAACAACCATATTGGCAGCAATTTGAATACTTGCAATTTAGAGAAGTACTTTGGCGGTTAGAAGGTATGTGGTGGACAATTTGGTCAAAATTGTATTTAGCATCAGTTTCCTAAGGAATCTCCCTTTTGGGAAGCAGTGGTGATTATCATAGTCAGAGTAGAGGGGTTGAAGAGAGAATTGGATGAAGAAGGCCCTTTGGCTCATTTGATCTCATCCTTCCAGAATACTGACTGTCCATAGTGATCCATAGAAATATACAGGACTCATTCAGAGTCTAAGGTTCCATAGCATTTTAACAGAATGATTGTGTCAGTTGTGTCGGTGCTATTGATGGAGAAATGTCTTCTGGTCAATGTGGTGATCAAAAAAAACCAGCCATTAGGTAGTTATATTCCTCAGAAATATACACTGGAAGATTTGACAGAACACTCGGAAACTTAGTCCTTATCAATAAAGAATTGGGTGAAAGTGAGGCCATTAGAATTAAAGGATTGAGGATGAGACACAGAGAAAAGGCTCCTTCCTTCACATTTAGTCAGGATTTATGTACCGCCTTCCAGTGTTTGAAAACATGTATTAATTAGGCTGGAGGGCCTGTCCAAACAGAGAGAAGCACCTTTTCAAACTGTATAATATTAAATATTTGTTTTGTTTGACCTCAGGCTTGGGAGATACAGGGGAAGAAAGTTTAAATGTAATGTGTACCATTTTTGATTTCAAGTATGTAATTGTGCGTATTGGTGAGGGGCGCGTGTTGACATTAATTACAGGATTGTAATTTGTGGTTTGAAAATAAATTCCATCTATTATTCAAATCAATTGTTGCAAATTGATTGTTCAGAAAACATTCCCAGGTTTTCCACTTCCATTCACACCTGTATTACACGCCTTCAAAATGTAGCTACTCTATTTAGAAACGACTCCAGCGTTTACTGTAATTACTCAGTTTGAGTTAAAGTCGATATCCCTGACCACTGAAGGCCAGCGAGGACAGTGAGGCGGGAGTGCTGTGCCGGGAGAGTGATCGACACAAACACACACACGTGGGAATGGATCAGCTCTGAATTCCAGACACGCAGGTTTGGTGTATGTGGCATTGTGACCTCACACTGATCCCAAACCGCACTGCAATGTGTTTTTGCTCAGCGGAGTCCGACACAAGCGGAAACCCTTGGTCATGTTTAAGAGTTTCAACAACAACAGCAGCCCCTCACGCAGGGTGGCATCCCAGACAGCGTCCCCAAACCAATCTACTGAAAGATTCACGAAAAAGCAGGGAAGCTTTCCTTATCGTCAAATGTATAGAACGAAAAAAAATATGATTCCGCTCAATTGACATTTCAGCCAAAGTTTCCAGCTACAATCCCTGGCTGTGTTTCATTTCCCGCAATAAGCAAACTGCCTCCTGCAGCACAAGGGAAGTTGCCCAACGATCATAGAGTTGGTCAGACTGTTTCTGTCAGATTGATGGTGGGAGGAAAGTGACAAAGGAGAGTGTGTGTGAGCCAATAGCCCCGGTGGAGAAGGCGGGATTTCCTCCCTGCCTTGGGGTTGAGCCAAGTTGAGCTGGAGTTTGGCCGTTGGTGTGTTTGCAGCTCGATGGCAGTGCTGAGGAAGCTCCTTTGTGTGGCTGCTCCGCTCTGTGCGGGCGGCAGAGCTGGGATCACAAACCCTCTGCTCAGCTCAACCATCAAGTCCATCTATTTACCCCAGGCGAGGAGTGCTCTGTTTCCTGTGCCCAGGAGATCGTGTTCCTCAGTCCCTCAGGCTCCCCAAATCCAAATCCACCGTTTGCAAGGAGCCAGCTCGGGTAAGTGGGCAATTGCTGCCCAGCTTTGTGTTTATCTCTCGTCTGTGGAGAGGAATACGTTAAACCCCTTTGTGAATCCTAAAGGTAAATCGCCTGCAGGGTCTGCAAATAGGGGCAACTTTCCTCCCCTCCCTGCCACCCCTAAGTTTTTTTTAATAACTTTGTCTTTTTCTTTTTTCAAAAGCAAAAGTAAAAGTTGCTCTTGTGAGGATCTGCAAATCATAATGCAAGTTGTAATGTCCTTTGCAGATGTTGGGATCACAGACATCTCAAGGCCTCCTACATTTCCCTCCTGCCCTCCCTTTCACCATGGGTGGCTGCACTTTTAGTCACTAAGTCCCCAAACTTTGGAACACTCTTCCTCTATCCCTATGCCTTGCCCCTTCCTTCTCCCATCATCAGATCACACCTGAAGACCTTTCTGTTCGACCGTGCCTCTGGTTCCCTCTCCCCTCTGCCCGGCTCAATGGCGTGCTCCACCACTGTCAAGCGGTCTGGGACGCTATCCTGCGTGGTGGGCTCTACATAAATGCAAGTTGTTGTTGTTAACTGTTGACTCATTGTGGTGGACAGTACAGTATTATTCTCTAACTTAAGAAAGCCAAAATAAATACAGTATTGCGTACATACTCTCTAACCTCCATCGAAAACTGCTTTAGATGATACATTGTTTGTTGAATACTGTATAGTACACAACAACTTGCATAATAATAAACCCTTTCTTCTTTCAATAGATGTTAAACTGCAATTAACTTCCAACAGGTGGGCAGTCTTAACACAAAGTTTGCTTATGAGTATCATACATTATAACTGGACTATGGTACGCCTTACCTTTGTGTATTCTAGATTTTGAAGATGATCCTGTGGTAATCTTGTTGGGTTGGGCTGGCTGTCGCGAAAAGCATTTAGCAAAATACAGTCACATCTACAAAAAAAAGGTTGGTACCAAGTAACATGGCTTTGGAGTCCTGTAGCTCAGTGGTTAGAGCGCTCACTTTGCAAGCGAGAGACCTGGGTTCGATTCCGGGCAGGGCGAAACCTTGGGCAAGTTTCCTTACTCCACACGCCTGATAATAATCCCTCCAGATGAAAAACAATAATAAATTGGTCACTTCAATCCACGGCTGTTTGTGGGACATTGCTGTGCACACTTGGCTGCCGCGTTTCACCCACAAATATACAGTCTATATCTTTACAGTTTTACACTTTTTACACTTAAAGTTTTTACACTTTACAGTCTATTCTGTGAAGCTCTTTGAGACGTCGAGAAGACGTGAATAGTGCCATATCAAATGAAAGGATTATTATTATTATTCTTTCAATCAATGTTTGTTTCTATCTTAAGCCTCTATACTACTGACTAAATGCAAGAACTACACAGGAAGAACTTGTGGAATTCAATTTTGCAAAAATCTCCATGCTGTTCCTTTATGAAAATGAAGATTAGATTTGAGAAAATAACCAAATTAATTGGTTCTGTTGGGACAGAGTAAGACTGATTGTGTGTGTGTGTGGGGGGGGGGGGGCGGGGGGGGGGGGAGGGAGCCATCACAAACCTTAGTTTATATTAGCCATTATTAGCGTGTTTTCTTACAAAGATGTCACTCGTAGAAATTCCTGACCTGTCCATTTTTCCTCCAAAGGATTCAAAATCCTGATTATCACACGTCCAAATGTCAAAAGCAAGGAAAACCGATGCAAGGATTTTGATGTTGTTGCTTGTCTTCCTTATCTACACGGTGGTATCTTCTCTTTGAGCTGATGGTAAAAGCTGTATTAACATTATTCAAATATGCTTTCCTATCGTTTCAGGGTTGCATAGTTATCAGTTATACTGCTCCCTGGGAAGATATATTTTTAATCTCACTATGCACAAGATCCCTCCATGGCACTGCTAAGAAATTGCTGGACCTGCTGTTTGATATTGGCATTGAAGAGCATCCAATTGTATTCCATGTCTTCAGTAACGGAGGGTGTATGCTCTACCGCTACATCATTGAGCTGCAATATGACAGAGGTGCAACTCGGTACAGGAAGTTGAATGTAGTCGGTACTATTTTTGACAGCGGACCTGGAGACAAGAACTTTCAGGGGGGCATCCGAGCACTCCATTCAATCCTGAGGCCATCCAACAATCCTTTCATAAAGATATTTGCTACTGTCACATTTGTCTTCGTTGCGCTCATTAGGTTTATGCTTTACCCAGCGTCCAAGTTTTGGTCCCTGTCCCTCTATGACAGTCTGAAGCAGGATCCATCTCGGTGGCCCCAACTTTACTTGTATTCCAAATCAGACAAGGTTATTTCCTACAAGGACATAGAAAATATGATCAGAGCCAGAAAACAGTTACGTGTTCGGGTGGAATCTGTGGACTTTGGCACATCACAACATGTAAACCATTTCAGAGAATTCCCAGAGAAATATTCCATCAGGGTCCTCAGTTTCCTCAAGCAATGCATTGGGCAATCAACTGGTACTGGAAGGTCTGGCAAAAAACACTTACCAATGTAATAAAGCTTCAGAGAGGGAATGTCTGCACTCCGTTTTGAAAAGTCTTTTGCAATCCTCCAAAGAGGTTACATATTTTAATGGGAGATGGTGGTGACTGTAACATTGAATATAAAAGTAACCAGCCTTTCATGTAATCTCACACTCTGGTCATGTAATATTCACCCATCATATGCAAGTCTGCTAATTGTATTACTGCTGGTGAAGTATTAATTGAACTATTTAGAGTACCGGCCACATTTATTTAATTGGGAGAAAGTTGAATGCTATGTAGAGAAATAAACCAAAGTTATTCACATTGTTGTTGTTGATACTGCTGTGCGCAATTGGCTGCCGGGTTTTGCCCACAAATTACAGTCAATTCACTTTACAGTGTGTTCTGTGAAGCGCTTTGGGACGTCCTCCCGACGTGAAAAGCGCTATATCAAATGCAAGGATTATTATTATTATTCTGTGAAACGCTTTGAGACGTCTCGAAGACGTGATAACGCGCTGCATCAAATGCAAGGATTATTATTTAGTCTTCCAGGATACTGACTGTCAATAGTGATAATTAGAAATGTACCGGGCTCATTCAGAGTCTAAGGTTCCATAGCATTTGAACAGAATGATTGGGTCAGCGCTATTGAAGGAGAAATGTCTTCTGGTCAGTGTGTTGATCAAAAGAACCAGCCATTAGGTGGATATATTCCTCAGAAATATACACTGGAAGATTTGACAGAACACTCAGAAGCTTAGCCCTTATTATTAAAAAAAAGATGAAAGTGAGGACATTAGAACTAATAACTAACGGTCCATCGGCAGATTTGGCTTCACCACACCAAGACCTACCGCTGCGTTCTTGTCTCCGCCAAATCCTCCTTCTACTCCAAGGTTATCTTGGAGGCAAAGGACAACCCCAGGGTTCTCTTTTCCACCCCTAACCATCTCCTCCGTCCACCTTCCCATACCTCACCCATCTTCTCCTCAAACTCCAACTGTGAGGAGATGCTGGATTTCCTCAAATCTAAAATCGAGGGGATATGTTCAGCCACCTCAGCCCCGTCCACAGCCACCCCCACATCACCGCTCCCTTGTGACACAACCCCACCCATCCTCCCCTATACTCCTTCGACCCTATCTCCCTCCTCCCTCACCACGTCTGTCTGCAAACTCAAACCCACCACCTGCTCCCTCGATCCCATCCCCACCTCATTTCCCAGCTCCACCTTCTGGACGCTCTCCTGTCTGACGTCATCAACCTCTCCTTGTCCACCAGTTCAGTTCCCACCCCCCCTAAAAACAGCCGTCATCACCCCCATCTTGAAATGACCTACCCTGGATCCATCCCTCCTCTCCAGCTACCGCCCCATCTCTAACCTCCCATTCCTCTCCAAGATCCTGGAATGAGTTATTGCGTCCCAGCTCCGCTCCTTTCTCTCTCGCCATCCCCTCTTTGAACCCCTCCAATCCGGCTTCAGCGCTGCCCACAGCACGGAAACAGCCCTGGTCAAAGTCACTAATGACATTCTGAACATCTGTGATCAGGGCTCCCTCTGCCTCCTTGTCCTCCTGTCCACCACTCCATCCTCATGCACCACCTCTCCGCTTTACTCAATCTTTGCGGACCTGCCCTTGCCTGGTTCAATTCCTATCTCTCTCACTGTCTCCACTTTTTTACCTCTAACGGTTTCTCCTCCAGCCCCCGTACTGTCACGTCTGGCGTCCCCCAGGGCTCTGTCCTTGTTTCCTCTTTAATAACTCCATGCTCCTCCTTGGTGACATCATCCGCAGACATGGGGTCAACTTCCACATGTATGCGGATGACACCCAACTCTATCTTTCTGTCTCCACCCTCAACTCCAGGACCACTGCTGTCCAGACAGACTGCCTGTCAGACATCAAGTTCTGGATGAGGGCAAATTTCCTACAGTTGAATGTGAGCAAGACTGAGGCCCTCCTGATTGGCTCACGCCAGCGCCTCAGGCTCTGGCAGCATCAACCTCCATGGTTGCTCACTACAACTCACCAACCAGTCAGGAACCTGGGGGTCTTGTTCGACCCTCAACTGTCTTTTCTCCCCCACATCCCAGCCATGACCCGCTCTGCCTTCCCTCACCTCCGTAACATCTCCTGACTCTGCCACAACATCACCCCTCAGGCCACTGAAACTCTTGTTCATGCCTTCACCACCTCCAGACTCGATTATGCAAATGCTCTGCTTGTCGGCCTTCCCAACTCCTCCCTCCACCGGCTGTGGATAATCCAGAACTCTGCAGCCCGTGTCCTCTCCCGCACCAAACTCCGTGACCCCATCTCCCCCGTTCTCGCCGGACTCCACTGGCTCCCTATCCTTCAAGATCCTGGTCCTCACATACAAAGCCCTCTATGGCCTCGCCCCACCCTACCTCTGAGACCTCCTAACCCCCTAACAACCCGCCCGCTCCCTCTGCTCAGCCGGCTCTGGCTGCTCCACGTCCCCTGACCCAACCACCCAACCGTTGGCGGGAGGGCCTTCAGCCATTCTGCCCCCAAACTCTGGAATTTCATGCCCCAGTCACTCTGCCTCGCCCCCTCCTTAGCCTCCTTCAAGTCCCACCTCAATACCCTCCTCTTCGACCATGCCATCGGCCATCTCCCTTCCCCTCCCCTCAACCCCTGACTCCAGCTTGGGTCTGAAATGCTGTACACTGTCCAGCGCCTTGGGGCGTCCTCCCAACGTGAAAGGCGCTATACAAATGTAATCTTGCTGTTGTTGTTAGAACTAAAGGACTGAGGGTGAGACACAGAAAGGGCTCCGTCCTACACATTTAGTCAGGATCTACGTACTGCGCTCCAGTGTCTGAAAACCTGTATTAATTATTGGGGAAGAAAGTTTAAGTGTAATGTGTACCATGTTTGATTTCAAGAATGTAATTGTGTGTCCTGATGAGGGGCACACATTGACATTATTTACTATGATTGATGTTTATTGTAATTTGTGATTTGAAAATAAATTAATCTATTCTTCATATAAAATATTGCAAGCTGATTGTTCAGGAAACATTCCCAGGTTTTCCAGTTCCATTAACACCTGGTATTACATGCCTTCAAAATGCAGTTACTCTACTGAAAGATTCACAAAGGTACGGAAGCTTTCATTACTGTACAATATATATAACAAAAAAAACAGGATTCTGCTCAATTGTCATTTCATCCAAAGTCTCCAGCTCCAATCTTTACGTCGGTAAGTTTCTTTACTCCACGAGCCTTCGTGTACCCAGCAGTAATTAGGAACCTTGGTTGTTAGTCGACCGCTTTTCCAGGGATATTAATCCCATCAATAATAAATAAATAAAATAATAATCATTTGGTCACTCAATCCACGACTGTTTGCTGGACTCTGCTGTGCGCAATTGGCTGCCGCGTTTCACCCACGAAAATACAGTCAACGCATTTTACAGTATATTCTGTGAAGCGCTTTGAGAAGTCTCGATGAGGCGCGATATAAAATGCAAGGATTAGTATGATGATGATTATCGTTATTATTTCATTTCCCGCAATAAGCAAACTGCCTCCTGCAGCACAAGGGAAGTTGCCCAACGATCATAGTTGGTCAGACTGTTTCTGTCAGATTGATGGTGGGAGGAAAGTGACAAAGGAGAGTGTGTGTGAGCCAATAGCCCCGGTGGAGAAGGCGGGATTTCCTCCCTGCCTTGGGGTTGAGCCAAGTTGAGCTGGAGTTTGGCCGTTGGTGTGTTTGCAGCTCGATGGCAGTGCTGAGGAAGCTCCTTTGTGTGGCTGCTCCGCTCTGTGCGGGCGGCAGAGCTGGGATCACAAACCCTCTGCTCAGCTCAACCATCAAGTCCATCTATTTACCCCAGGCGAGGAGTGCTCTGTTTCCTGTGCCCAGGAGATCGTGTTCCTCAGTCCCTCAGGCTCCCCAAATCCAAATCCACCGTTTGCAAGGAGCCAGCTCGGGTAAGTGGGCAATTGCTGCCCAGCTTTGTGTTTATCTCTCGTCTGTGGAGAGGAATACGTTAAACCCCTTTGTGAATCCTAAAGGGAAATCGCCTGCAGGGTCTGCAAATAGGGGCAACTTTCCTCCCCTCCCTGCCACCCCTAAGTTTGTATGACTGTCTTGTTTCTTACCCCCCACCTCCCCAGCTGCCTATATAACTGGCTTCACATGGGATAGATAGCGTCTCACAGAAGCTCCATTATCTATGCAAATCAGTCACTACATTTAGTCAAAACATTCCAGACATTTCCTGCACTAAATCTGCACTGAACGACGCTAATCACAGTGGCAGGAGCAGCAGCAGCACCTTTTCTGCATGTTTAGATGTCTGCGAACTTCTGTAAACTGATGTTTTTTTTGCCACACAGTACATGATTCAATCGCAATTTCTTTGGTGCCTTAGGATCGGTTTCCAACGCACCCTATATAACAATCAAAGGTTCATTCAGTTACAAGCCCTTTTGTTGTGCATTTGATGCCTGAAACTCAACTCTATGAATATAATAATAATAATAATCCTTGCATTTGATATAGCGCTTTTCACGTCGAGAGGACGTCCCAAAGCACTTCACAGAACACACTGTAAAGTGAATTGACTGTATATTTGTGGGCGAACGCGGCAGCCAATTGCGCACAGCAATGTCCCACAAACAGTCGTGGATTGAAAATGACCAATTTTTTATTATTGTTTTGTTTTTTTGGAGGGATTATTATTAGGCTCTGTGTGGAGTAAGGAAACTTGCCCGAGGTTTCGCCCTCTGCCTGGGATTGAACTCAGGTCTCTCGCTTGCAAAGCGAGTGCTCTAACCACTGAGCTACAGGACGCTTCTGTAAACTATTTATATGATGCATCTTCTTGTACAAGAAAGAGAGGCGGTGGGAGGAGGAAGGTGGGGGAGTTTAATATTGAATAATACTGAACTGTGACTGTTTCAATTTTCTTTTAGGAATTGCTGCGATTTTACTGCGCAGGCCTCACGCAAGAAATTCCCTGGGAAATACACTAGTGAAGCAGGTTTGTGTGCCTGGGGTGTCTGAGAACGCCTGAGCATTTTGTGCAGAACTGTGGAAAATTCTTTAAAATTCAGCCTTAATTTGGAAGCCTTTTTTTTTTGCAGTTAAAGAATCGGCTTCCGAATGAAGACAGTGTAATAATTTTCCATAATTCTACTAGGTTAATACTCGCAATTTGTTGGCTAACATTTCCTTAACTGATTCGCATTTTGATCTAATTGGGAATAACGATGGTAAAAATTGATTGTTCACCTGAACACAGATGTAGCCACAATGATCATTATTCACCACGTTGTCAACACTTGACTGTGTAGGATATTGACTGGAGGTGCAAAAAAAAACCTCTTTTGAGATATTGTTAGCGTGGGCCGCATTCTCGCTTTCTAATCGATCAAACGATTCATTTGGGAGAAGCTGTTCGACGTGAGTTTGGAGCTCTACAATTAGAAGAGCTTGTGTTTTGGGTCAATGCAGAATTGCATGAGAAAAATCAACAAAAAGGCTGATCTCTCCTTCACCTTGTTTTAAGCTCAGAGAAGCTGTTGAAGACCTACGCCATGACAAAAGTGTGCGGGTGGTGCTGTTTAAAAGCGAGGTCAAAGGAGTCTTTTGCGCAGGTGAGAGATCTGTGATCTGTTCTGTAATGTGAGTCGAGACTATCCATCTTAGTACAAAAACCTTACATGATGGATTACACTACAAATACAAGTCACCAGACAGCTAAGGCCAGGGTTATCTTTCAAAGCCGTGCCATAAATCACAAGTGTCGCTTTGGACATACTGTCCTTGAAAGCAATACTATAACATTTGGAGTAATCACATCCCAAGTCTCCAGCATTCAGGACCCAAAAAAGTAGGCATCATGTGCAATTTATTTTATGATAACTCAGTTTTGAGGAGCTACTTACATTCAGTTACTTTCAAGGCGCAATATCAAATGTAAAGATTATTATTATAGGTTTATAATGTTATTTGCAGCAGACTAGTTATTTCAAAACTTTTTTCTTTACATTTCTTTCCCATAACATAATAATTCCATTAGTCTTCTGTTTGTCCTTTAAGCAAATGGTTAGACATTGCTACAGTTCTTAGTATTATTTGCAAAGGCTGATTATGAATCATTTCATCCTCACACACCAAACACTTTCCCTCTCCTTTTCCACTCCCTCTGATACTGCCATCATTTTATTTCCCAGGCGCTGACCTGAAGGAAAGGGCTAAAATGAGCAATCCCGAGGCTGCCCATTTTGTTCACAAGCTACGAAGTCTGATGAATGATATAGGTAAGATGAAAGGAATCAGTCTATTCACATTTCTGCCATGGTATCAGACAAATCTTTCTGGTATTCACAAACCTCTGCATGTTTCCAAATGTGTTTGCTAGCTACATTTATCACCATTTTGCTCTTTTGAAATGGTACAGAAATGCTGTTTGCAGCATAGCATTCTACCGAACAATGATTGTATTGTAGTTAGTGTTCAGTCCATACACATGGTGTAATGCTCAGTGTAGGTAAGTGTTGCATCATTGCTAATTACCAAATATAAGGATTATTATATTGTCATAACTTTTTAATCAATTCTAATTTTATTTAAAATTTATTTTGTCTTTTAATGTCTGTGGTAAGCTTCCCTCCCCATGCCCACCATTGCTGCTGTAGATGGGTTTGCCCTTGGTGGAGGCCTGGAGCTGGCGATGGCTTGCGATCTTCGCATTGCAGGTAGGATCTGGTGCTGAGAGAGAAGTTTTATTCTGCAACGTGTTTATTCTCCAAGTGTTACCTTGGACTATATGATTCCGTTGGAATCAAACCTGGGTCCTCTCACTTTCGAGGCAAATGCTCTAACCACTCAGCTACAGGACTTATATATAGAATAACGCACCCTCTAGTTACTTACTCACCAGGTTTTCTTTACCTCAGCTTCTTCGGCGATGATGGGTCTTATCGAAGTCACCAGAGGTCTTCTTCCTGGGGCTGGTGAGTTTGCATAATCCTCTCCTTCACTCAGGTCCGACAGTGGTAAAGTCTCATCATTTTGCTGTAGACACTAAAGCAAAATGTTGTGATACCAATTTTATCGTACAGGTGTTATTGGCCATCAGATGCTGTTCCGCACACACATTTCTTTGTTATTAATCTTAAGGACGAGACTTTAATGCAAATATTTCTCCCAGTATCCGTTTGTACAGTTTCGTATTACACATAGACCAAAGAATTTGGGTCAACTTTGTAAACTTACTTTGCATTAGAAACTCAAAGCATTAGAAACTATTATTTGGAGATGCACTTTTCAATGATCTAACACATCAGCAGACACCTGATCTATCTGTGATAACTTGGAATACCATACACTACGAAACAAGCCAGTACTGGAGCCTTATTACTTGAACTCTAGTATCTGAGTGGATCTAACCATGATGTTGCACTTTGCTTCTGGAGGTGGCAGCCAGCGTCTGCCTCGCATTGTGGGGATCGGCCTGGCCAAGGAGCTTATCTTCACTGGTCGACGGATAAATGGGGAACAAGCGCTAACCATCGGACTAGTCAACGACGCCGTCACCCAAAATGATTCTGGGGATGCAGCTTATCAAAGGGCTATGGATTTGTCTAAGGAAATACTGTCCCAGGTAACAAAGCAATAAAGTGCATGTGTGTTCACAAGTGCAGACTGGTTATTACCCGTTTGCATGGATTCTATCCAACTTCCGGCAATGTTGATGCAACTTGAATTGCAGCTCAAATAGAGTCAAACAAGCAAACTAATAGCAGTGGGAGACTTTTCATTCTGGCTCGCCCTCTGAACAAAATTGCATTGCGCAATTCATTGTGAATCACTGCGGTAACAAAATAACTAGTAAATTAGGTAGTATCAAAGCATTTCACAACGCAAATTGGTTTAACTATTATGTTGGCAGCAATTCTGTATAAAGAGCATGACCAAAAGATTCAATTTTTTGTGAATGTTTGGACGTTGGAAGAAAAGTGTGATGGGATCTTTAACACCAGACAGATCATTGTTTTAATGTCTCGGCCAAAATATGGCACTTGTAAGAATGTGGTATTCACCAGAGTTTGAGTTCAATTAAATACAACCGTCCAACTCCAGGCTCTTTTAACTGAGCCAAATTGATACCTATACAAGAAAATGATGGTCATTGTCCCATTGAGACAACTCATAGCTTCAAAGAGAGTATTGTGTTAGCTGCACGTTACAAATCTCAGCGTAATCGGGAGTTTACTGGAAATAGATCAACAGAAGACAAACTATTTTCCGAATATTGTGCATTACGTTCACATTACCTTCTATCAATTTTCTTTCCCTGGTCTTATTTAAAGGGCCCCGTAGCTCTAAGGATGGCAAAGCTAGCGATAAACAGAGGCATCGAGGTAAGTGCTAAACCTTATAGAATTATGTGTGAATGGCATTAGTAATGTAGAGAATGAAAGTGGGGGGGGGGGGGGGGGGAATTTATAAACATAGATGCTGGAGTGCGGGGAAGAGGGGTGCAGTTTAAGAGTACTAGCCTCTAATTAATTTTTTTATATAGTCTCATCAGTGAAATTGCATTTGAAAAAAGTCATTAATTAATTCCTCGATGCGTCCGAGCGAAAGATTTAAGCAGTCAGAACTCTTAAATGATCATTTTTATTTCTGCTAATATTCGACATCAATTTGCTGAATTCTGCACAGGTGGATATTTTATCTGGAATGGCAATCGAAGAAATGTGTTACGCTCAGGTAAGAAAAGTTACCGAAGCACCACAATATATATATATTTTTTAAGCTTTGCCCAGTTGTTTTGAACTGGGATGAATTATTTTTGCCGTTCTTGTTGCAGGTCATTCCCACAAAAGACCGACAGGAGGGAATGACAGCGTTTATAGAGAAACGAGCACCGCACTTTACTGGGGAGTAACAAATCACTGCTGATCTCAACACCTACCCTTTGGGAAAATGGACATCAACCCCCGTGTGGCTGCTGAACTTCTGACTCTCTTCTGTGTGTTTTTTTTTTAAATCGTCCAAATAAGAGTCGCAAAGGATTCATAACTCACAAAGCCCTGGGTGTCTCGAGTTTGAAGGTCAGAATTCACATAGGTCAGAGCGGAGTTGGGGTTCAAGTGAAATTCCAGAGGATTAGTTATGGATCCTTTTCAGAATATTTGCACTTTGCAGCACAATCTCATGATTTTTGACAAATCTATTAATTAACATTGCACTTATGTTCAGCTACAAGTCATCTGAAGGATAGATGAAGCATTTGATGAAACACCTGATCACAGCACCGAAATGTCTTAAAGACCTTGACAGAATCTGATTGTAGAATTTCATTTAGTTACACTTCTTGGAGGGAAATTGTCCTTTAAACGATGGGCACAAACCATCTTTAGTTCCAAAGAATTATTTGACTTTCTATGTAAAAAAAATGTATTTTTATAATAATGCTTGCATTTGTTATAGCGCCTTATCACGTCGTTGGGACATGTCAAAGCGCTTCACAGGATATACTGTAAAATGGGTTGACCGTGGATTTTGTGGGGGAAATGTGGCAGTCAACTGCGCACAGCGGGGCATTGGGTACATGTTCAGTTGCAATCTTACTCAAAAGACTATACTCAATGAGAAAAACTCTGCAACAATCATTTCAAAAGCAGTAGATACATTAGAATGCTTACCTTCCATTACTTACTTGAGGTCCATTTGCATAAACCTCAGGCACTGGCAGCATCACCATCCACAGATTCACATTCCACCTCACTGAGCCAGTCCTGAAACTTGGCGTCGTCTTGTTTGACCCTCGACTGTCCTTTCTACCCACATCTGTGCCATGACCTGCTCTGTCCTTCCCCCACCTCCAAAGCATTGCCCTCCTCCACCACTGCCTCTTCCCTCAAGCTGGCAAAACCCTCTTCCACACATTTATTACATTTAAGCTTGACTACTCGTGACGTGAAAGGTGCTATACAAACGTAATTTGTTGTTGTGTAAACATTCACTTTGTTGTGTTTTTCAGCCTCAGTGCAAATGACTGTTTGTGAATAGAGATTTTTTTCTGTGAGAATAAAAATAAAAGTTGAGACCAGCCATTATACTGTATAAAGGGTACAGTATTACTAGAAAGTTGTTTGTCTGGAAGAAAGCTGATTTAATGTATACCAAGCCAGGATTCAATCGATAATCCATACCTATTGTGGTTCTTCCTGAGTTGAAGCATAACTAAGTGCCATTTCTGTTGAATCTTACCATACACTGGAGGTAAGCTGTGGAGGTCACTGAAACAGCCCTTTCTAGTTTTTTTTTTCAAGTTATTGCTGAGTTAATAGTTTACTGGTAAGGGATTTCAGCAACGATTAACCACCTAAAGCTTTTCTCAACGTTAGGCAGCATACAAGCTCAAACATGGACCAGTAAATACAATACAATATTACATTTGTAAAGCGCCTTTTACGTCGGGAGGACGTCCCAAGGTGCTAGACAGTCAGGGATTAGGATCTGCGAGGGGAAGGGTTGAGAACAGGGAGGGTGGAGGGCAGAGAGGGTGGCTGAAGGCACAGTCGAAGAGGAGGGTCTTAAGGTGTGCCATGAAGGAGGCAAAGAAGTGAGACGAAGGGAATGTGTGATGGAGTTACGGTGGGGGGGTAGAAAGGTTGAAGGCCCGACCGCCAATGGTGGGCTGGACCAGGCGGAGGACATGGAGCCTGCTGAGTGGAGGCAGTAGACAGGTTGATAAGGGGTTAGCAGGTCAGAAACGTAGAAGGGAGCAAGGCCGTGGACGACCTTGAAGGTGAGGACGAGAATTTTGAACTCGATCCTCTGAGGGATGGGGAGTCAGAGGAACCGGCGAGGATGGGGGTGATGTGGTCACGGAGCCTGGTGCAGGAGAGAACACGAGCTGCAGAGTTCTGGATGATCTGCAGTTTGTGGAGAGAAGAGTTGGCAAGGCCCAAAAGCAGGGCGTTGGCATTATAATAATAATAATAATCCTTGCATTTGATATAGCGCTTTTTCACGTCTTCTCGACATCTCAAAGCGCTTCACAGAATAGACTGTAAAGTGAATTGACCGTATATTTGTGGGCGAAACGCACACACACAATATTGAAACAGCTGAAAACAAAAACAGAAGTCGCTGGGAACACTCAGCAGGTCAGGCAGCATCTATGGAGAAAGGAAAGTGAGTCAACGTTTCGGGTCCACGACCCTTCGTTAGAACTTTAGATGCTGCCTGACCTGCTGAGAGTTCCCAGCGACTTCTGTTTTTGTTTTCAGATTTCCAGCATCTGCAGTGTTTTGTGTACACTGAAACAGTTGACTTGTTCTAGTTGAAAAAAGCCATTATCTCAGACCATTCCAGCGAGGCTCAACAGTTTGAAATCGAATCCCTAAAATAAGTCAGGATTCGAGACTTCAGAAGATATATAGGAAACAAAATCCATGTTAAATCATGATTCTTCAACAGGATGATTTTATAATATACCAAAGCCAGTAAGACTCCTAGACAGAAAAACATCTTTAAACCAGAACTCAATTACAAAACTCTCCCCTGTACAAGCAATATATGTAACACAAAAGGAATTTTAATATAAAGGTAGTTTGGCAATTTGACATGCAAATATCTCTGTCCACTCCCCCAAAGGCAACAACATTCAATATTTTGTACAAAATAAGAAAGCAAGTTTCTAAGCTAATCACAATCCAACTCTGTTACACAATGATTGTTTTTATATAATAATCACATAAATGATACAGGTCGAGTAAACGTTTCATCAGCAGCATTTATTTAAGCAAAGGCTGCTTCCGGTAGAACAGATCAACAGAACGACATTTGCAAAAACACTACAAACCACACCAACACTATGTACGCATTGTGGTATATTATTACTGCATCTAGATTAGTTTGTAGAAATGTTTAACCGACGCACTGTTAAATCCCGTGGCAACGCTGTCCCTAATCTTCAGAAACGAAAGGTGAACACATTGGACGTTTTCCCCCTTCACGAACCACCTTGGGCCTGGTTGAGGAAGCACAGAAAAGTTCAGAGCACAGGAGGAGTCCGTTCAGCCCACTGTGGTCGAGTTACTCAAACCAACATTTAAATTGTGCTTTGCCGACCACTATATACACAGAGCACTGAGTCCAGAGGTGACGCAATGCCTGGATTTCTCACCCTCTTACCCTTCCCAGTTTTTTGTTGCATGATTGCATGCATTCTGAAATTCCAAAGGAACACAGAAAGGGAAAGGAGGTGAATTTCACAAGAGCTGAACCATTTTTTTTAAAAAAAAGCTTACTTGCATATTCTGCCCCCCAAGCTGGTGAGATCTAGACCACGCTGTGCTTTGTTTGCAGCTTTTTGTGACAGGAGGTGGATTCCTTCCCGTGGCGCATGATATACTTCTCCAAACTTTCCATGATGTTGATGACAATCCGCAGGACGTCTGCCGAGGTTTGAGGGTGGCACTTAATGTTGCACAATTGCTGCATCCCACCTTCTTCCAGCAACATGCTACAGTACCTGGGAGCTGGAGGGAAAATAAGAACAAAAAGGGAGGGGCGACGGGAAAGGGCAGAAAAAAACACAAACCACATGAAACTCCCGTCTCGTTCAGCCTGTGCATCAGCTGGTAGCACTCTAGCCTGAGTCACCAGTTTGTGGGTTCAAGCCCCACGTCGGGACTTGAAACTCATACAGTCTAAGATAACTCCCCAATGCAGCCCTGGGGGTGTGCTGCAGTGTTGGAAATCAGTCCAGTACTTGAAGCGACGCCCAGTCTGCTTGTTCAGGTGGATGTTAAAGATCCCGTGGCACAATTTGAACAGGGAAGGGAGTTTTTCCCCTGTGTCCTGACCAACAATCCCCCAAAATAGATCATTCACATCAGGAATGATCGTGAGGCATTGATGTGTGGAAATTGGCTGCTGTGATTGCCCACAAAGCACACAGTCACTGCACTTTACAGTATAACCCGTGAAGTGTTCCGGGACCAGCCTCCCAACACAATAGGCACCATACCAAAAGTGAAGATTATTACTTTTGCCCCAGGCCGCGATTGCCACTTACCGTTCTTACAGCAGACGTGCTGCATTGCCCACACAGCCCAGATTTGCACTCCGGGTGTATCTGAACACGCCAGCAATGGGAAAAACGGACTGAAAGACCTGAAGAATTCAAAATAAAAAAGAAGTAAGAATTCTAGATGAGCCGAAAAAGGAAAAAAAAAACTTGCAATTGGCTGAAAAATGTTCTAAATTCACCCGACTAAGGTTATTGACTTTGAATAATGATTGGTGGCACCCACTCCCCCCAAAAGTGAGGCAGATCAATGTATTGTTTGAGCCAACCAGTCATGGTAGTTCCCATGCACCAGGCTGCTACCATGATCCATTCTTTAAATCAGAAAGGTCACCTTCCCCTGCCCAAAACCAGAGTGCGGCCGGTAAAAAAACATTTGCAGATTTGCTCACCCACACGTGTCCCATTTTTCAATTTCAACTCACACCTTTACCCAATTAAATCAAAACCTCTGCACAAGGTTCCTGTAGAAGTAGGTTATGTATACACACATTTCAAATAAGTGCAATAGTCCTGCAAGGCTATTGTTCAAGAGAATTAGGAACCCCCCACCCCCCTGAGGAGTTGGAACATTATATTTTACTGGTCAACACTCAATCCCCCCCCCCCACCACCTTAAAAGAAACCTTCATTAGCTGTGTTATGTCTAATGCATGGCACAGCTTATGATGAAAGCCAATAATCTGTGCTCTGGATCAATTACTGGGGGGGTAAGAGAGGGAGAAAGAAAAATCAGTGAGGCTAAAATGGCACAGTATAAAGACATCCATAAAGGTACCTGTAGGCAACCATCTCACATTCTGGTGTTGGCCAATTTAGGATGACGGAATTCTGCAAGGAGGAAAAAAATCTTAGCTCGTCAACAGTCTTTAGACAAGGTTTAAAATACAAGTTAAACATTATACATTACAGTATTCGATTCTCAATTTTTTCTCCCCCGGTCAGCTGGAGGTCTGACAAAGATGGAAGCCCATTGCCACACTTTAGATCCGTGCTGCCATGGACGTAAATAGTTAATTCCCAATTACTGTCTCGATTCCCAACCTAAACCAGGATAGGTAATATCTATCTTAGCTTACACAATGTTCTTCATGGCAACAATTCCGCAAGTTTTAAAACCTAATGGGGCAGATGAATGAACTTACCAACTGCTCCAGAAGTGAAGTTCGGAGATCTAGGTCCAGTGTCCAGGTATGCAGCCCACGGGATATCAAGTGAGCGATTATTCCTGCAGCAAAGTAACTGACCTCGACTTCCTTGTTGTGCAGTAGGAAACTGAAAACAGGAACAGAATGGTCCATTATGGCTAAACAAATGTTCCTCTTCAGTGGGCAAAAAGCTCAAATTAATAAAGGCTCTTCACAATAAAAAAAATGCAAATTTATAACCTAACTAGTAAAATGTCCCATTCCCTGGATCAGAAATGGAAAAGAGGCCCTAAGTGAGAACAAAGACTTATAGAAACATAAACCAAATTTCAATGACTCCAGAAAGAATTCTGTGCAAATATGCTAAGAAATCAATGGCACAGGATCAAAATCTGAGTGAGAGGGTATAACCACAATATCTTTAACACACATTTGTTGAACTATAATCAGATCAAACAGTTCAAAATAAGTTGCATTCGGTGCCTCAGCCTCAAGGGCAAACAAAACCAAATGCTCACAAAAAGTTTTTCTTTTCCAAAATAACTATGAAAGCTTTTCAGTTTAAATGGAACACAGAATCAGAGCCTCCACGGAATTATTCTGATCATTTAAAGAAAAACACACACACTTCTCAAAGAGTGACATTATTACAAAATTGTTTGTGTTCGGACATTTATTTAAAGAAATTAAATGACTATCACAAGTCCATCACGTCGAGCCAGTTTTAAAACGGAACAGTCTGAAAGCCAATGCAAACATTACCCGATGTGATCAATAAAGTTCCTTTTCATCAGTTGTGGATGCAGTTCTTTCACCTCTGCTATGTTGTTCTAAAATAAAACAAAGTAATTTGAACACAATTTACATACACCACAGTTTTAAGATCTCTTTTATCCACATTCCACTCGTTATTTTTTCCCCCATGCTATCTAGTTTTATACATTAAAAAACTCTTCATTTCCTCCTTGCTTCTACCCCAATTAGAATTTCTATTCGCCTTTCCCTTTTTACATCAGACCTTTCAGCCAGAAGGAAAGGTTCAGATCCTAACACTGCTCTATTGTTGGATACAACTGGATGGAGTACACGACGTGGGAGAGAATTGTGGAGTACTCCATCTCGTGGCACAACTTGAAATAGCGCACCGACATAACCCAATGTGAATTGAGGTTTGGGGTTCTGAACTAAGATCTCTTAAGGGTGGCCAAATCTGCCAGTCAGTTCCCCATGTTACATTCACTTCCCGTCAGATCTTTTTTTCAACAAACATGCAACAATTCTGAATTGTCATGTGAACATGTACATTACTGTTCCACACGCACACCTCCTCCTCAATACATGCCCTAAACCCGAGTTGGAGAGTTAAACTTTAAATATAAAAGCTTGCACCTTGAAAGACTACTCACCAGCAAACCCAAGACCTTCTGTTGAATGGATGGTTCACCTGGGAAGGACTAAGCGCATAAAAAAGCAACAGCACATCAGTGTTGAAACACACATTTACATATTTCTCTTCACTTTTTTCACCATTATGTATGTTAATCTGTGAATCTTTGGGTTTAAAAACCATTACAGTTTGTTGAAGCAGCACTCCAGTCTCTCTCCTGTGTACTCAATAAATAATGCTTCTATCTGATATAGCATCTTATCAAGCAACGCAAAACGAATGAAAAATCCAACATTAAAACAATGTGCGATTTCTTCCAGATAGGAAATACATCATTTGGATTGGGACGTTCCCTGCTTTGATTTGATTTAATTTATACCTGGATAACAAAAGCATAAGGAACTTATTAGCCGCCCTCTCTCTCAGTCCTGCTCTTTCAAATCTAGATTTCAATTTTGCCCCCAAAAATACAGTCAATTTTCATTTTACAGTATATTCTGTATATTTTGAGATGTCGAGAAGATATAAGGCGATATATCAAATGTGAGGATATTATTTAAACAGATGGATGGATACAGGGTTACTTTGCACAATTGTTTTTCCTCCATCATTGCAATTCTCCAACCATAGCCATGTCTCTGAAGCAAGTGATGCCTCCAAGCAAGGGTCTTGCATTTCTCCATTGGGCATGAAAGTTATGTCCATGGGTCAGTCACTCAGCACCTGTTCCAGTGACAGAGAGACATCGGCAGAAGCCCGGCAAAAGTCAGCGATGCTCAGCCAAGGTTTGCCATACGATAATAATATTAATAATTTTCACTGATGCAAAAAGAACCGGAGGATATTAAATATAGACAAAAACAATTCACCTCTAGAACTTTCATGAACAGCTCCAAGCCCTGGTTCTCTATAAAGTGCTTGCAGGTGGTCGGAGATTCATCGGTCAGGTTCCAAAGTGCACTGAGCGTAAATTTTAAAGTGGTATCCACCAAGCATAGGTTCGTTTTCTGCTCCACTATGTGCAGCAACTTCTGCAAGACAAAAACAGACCCAAAGAGGACAGCAGGCTGGTCACCAGCCCAGTTCATGCTGTTTATCTACTGTGGGTGCAGTGGCTCTGGAAGCACGTGCTCGGTGCGAGGCGAGATGGAAATGGGCTTCGCTTACCCCGAGTCCCCGCTGTTGTGAGGGTCTGTGCGTCTCTCTCCTCTGTATGCGTGTTTGTGAGTATCTGTGTGTGAGTGTGACTGTGTGGCTCTTTTTTTTACTGTACTTACCTTGACAATGAAAAGCTCTGTACCAAGTTGGGCGGTCTGTTCGGTTGAAAGCTGTAAAACGGGTTTATTAAAGAGTCATTAAATATAAGGAAGTTCTAATGAAACCATATCAGAGGGTTTTTTGGGCCACATCGTGCCTTCACTCAAGAACCTAAGGTTCAAAACCAGCTTAGAATCACAGGATGAAAGTCCCTCATGTGGTACAAATGTATCTTGCTGTGCGCAATTGGCTGCTGCGTTTCACCCACAAATATACAGTCAATTCACTTTACAATATATTCTGCGCTTTGAGACATCTGGAAGATGTGATATGGCGCTATATGAAATGCAAGGATTATTATAATAATTATCTCCCATCTTTCAGCCCAAACCTGTCTGTTAGAAGCAAGGATCTTAAGTAAGATGAATCCAAGTGATTACAGATACACAACACTAGTTATAATTTGGCAATCTCACTCAGAGGCCACAAGAATGGCTGGAGCGAGCAGCTGAAATTGCACACACTATATAGTGCGAGTACAGAGAGCAAAGAAAGTATAGAAAAGCCATTCATTCCCAATGTCGGTCATGCTAATTTTAATGACCATTAAACAGTGTAGTTATAGACCTAGTTTTGTATATGAAAAAGACAATTACCTTTGCAGCCAGAATAGAAATAATCGCCACTGCCATCCTTTGCATGTTCTGATCTTCATGGTTACAAAGCCACTGCATTACCAGTTTGGCTGCCTCAAAACTGCAAACACAAGGGTTGAGATGAGTTTCCTGCAAAACAATTACGACTACAACTGGACACTCGGAAATTTCCCATCAGCTTCCAGTTTAGAACACTGACAGCCAATCACTACAGAACATTATTGGGGGATTAGTCTCTATGGCAGGTTTGTTGCCATCAGCATCGTTTCTTTAATGTTTGGGCGGCCCTACAACTTGAAATAATACCCCATGTGTAGGCATTTCACAGTGAAACAAGGGTTTCACTTCACAGTTGAAAACATACCCCAAAGTTTGGATGATCAGCGTTACTTACTCACCGATTGAAGGGAACATCTTGAAGGATACGATCACTACAGAGAGACAGCAGACAATTCTTCTGAAGCTGCAACACAAGTAAAGATTCACCATCCATGATTTAATATGAGGGGGGCTTCTTACCCTTTCAACTCTCTCTCACCCCACTCACCCCCTCCACAAACCAGCTGTGACTTTTTAAACTGCTTTCAATTCCCTTCTCCCTTTAGATGACTGACTTGAAAAATCACAGGTTGATGAACTTGTGAAGGCAAATTCTTTTGCCTTCACAGTGAGGACACTCTTCACCACAAGACCATTGTGGCTGGGGAATCGTGGAACAGACTAGGATCAGATCTGGCAACACAGACCTGGGAATGAGAAGCCTCAGGCCATCAGCAGCCCCGGAATTGTAACCACCAAAATCTGCGACTTCATGGCCCAGCACATCCTTTGCTCTCCTGCCGACCTTCCCGTCATCATCAAGTTACGAGTTCAATCAGAAGAGAATGGGAGAATGTGCCACGAGCCGCACCAGGTGTACCAACTCAGTGAAGCTCCTACACAAGCTACCGGTATAATAAACACCTAACAGCAACATGTACTAGATAGAGTTTGATTCCAACATCTCACACAATGAAGTGGCCCAAACCTCTCCTGCAACAAGACCCAGAAAACATCCAAGCTTGGCTGGCAGATGACGGATAACTTTCACACCACACCAGGTGAGATCACCTCAGACAAGAGAGAACGCAGCTGCCAACAACTATCAGCATAACCACGGCCGAGTCGCCCATCCGCCTCCTGCTATGCTTTACCTGCTGATGATTGGGAAAGTGTTCCATGGCTTTGAGCAGGAGGCGAGCCACTTCAGTCAGAAGGCGCACTGGCATGCCAGTGGCTAGGTCCTGCTTGGTCAGGTTAAACACACAGGCACTCGCTGCCAACTGGACAGGTAGGTTTGTCGGGTGGTTTTTCATTCCGATCACAACAAGCTGAAATGAAAATGAAACACCCGCGTTTTGTGTTTAAGGAACATAAAACAAATTTAGTTTCACCGGGTATAAATTCTCCCTCCCTGAAATCTTACCACTGACACCTCTCATCTATAAGACATTATTGCACTCACTCAACCGACATCTGCTTCCAGGTTATTCCAGGTCATGTACCTTTGACTGTTCAAATTAGCTACCACAATTTGCCAACAAATACAGTTTACAGTAAGTCTTGGGAAGTGCTTTGAGGCATCTTCATGTCGTGATAAGGACAGTTATATACAATTTTCGTTAGAAGAGCTGCATCGTCTTATTGTTTTATACCAAATATAGGGATTATTATTAAATTAAGCACTCGCTGGTCAAGTCAAGTCAAATGAAGGTCAAGTCAGTGCAAATGGTTTACCTTCAGCAGCTCGGGCTGTGGATTCTCCATGCTGTGGGTAAGGCTGAAGAGGTGGAATAAGGCTTCTCGGACAAAGAAGGCCCTTTCACTGTACCTCCGCAGAGATTCAGAGATCTGCACCTCATTCGCTTCTCCGGATACCTTCACACACACACACACACACACACAAAGAAAGAAAAAAAGGGGGACAGGGGGGATTTAGACATTAGATAAACTTCTCATTCATTGGTCATTCATGTGTTAAACACACAACAGTTTCATGTTTTTGACCAAACCACAATAAGTTGTGCAAGGCACAAAAGCTGGCTGAAGTGATGGCTGTTATCACAAAGGATTTGCAGTAAATTTATTGAATGGCTATAATAGGAAATCACATTATAAAAAATGCATCAACAATTGGCTACAGCTAGTAAATGGAATTGGATAACCCTAAATATTGCCCACAACAGATCACGGAAAGCTACTTAAATTTTAGCGGGTGGGCTCTGACCAGCAATTTGAAAAAATAAAATTTTGAGCTCTACAGAACAGAACTCTAGTGCGGATATATTTGGATTGGTCCATTTCAGGGCTGTACTGTCTATGTAATTCTACGTACACAAGAACAGTTTCTTCCTGAGGCCTGGACAACAATCCCTCAAATAACATCGGTAATTCACCTTATGGCTATTTGCGGGACTTTGCTGTGCATAACACTGGCTGCCGAGTTTGCCCACAAAAAGGACAGTTACTGCAATTTACAGTACATCTCGTGAAGCACTTTGGATGGGATATCCTCCCAAAGTGAAAGGCATTATATTGATTATAAGGATTGTTATTAAATGAATCCCATACATGCAAAAAAAAAACACCAACCTTCAAGTTCCCTTGGCCAGAAAGGAATTCAGAATATCCCGCGTCCGTAGCGAGTAAACCCACAAACTGCATCGAGGGTCGCCGCTGGACAAACGCCTGAACAGCTTTATCTGTAATGTGCTTCCTGCCTGAAATATCCAAAGAGCGGAGGCTCGGTAATATGCCAGATTGTTCCAGTAAACGAAGCGCAATATCGGAGGTAAACTGTTTGTCATCCGAAATGTCCAAGTGTTGCAGAAGCACCAGCTCCTTAATGACTTCTAAAATCTGTGTGGTCATCATCTTCAGACATTTGAGATGGTGCATGGTCAAGGACTTCAGCTTGTCCTTGCAGGCCAGAAGTGGCGTGATGTCCGTGACGGAAGTGTTTGAAATATCTAAACTTTCTAGCTTTGGGAGTGAAGCGACGTCTCTCAGATCGTCATTATAAAAGAGAACGTTGGTGACACTGAGGACCCGCAGGCCAGTCAGCTGGCTGAAGCAACGCTCATAGGGATCTTCCAGCGAGAGCGTTAAGGAATTCAAGACAAGACACTGCAGATACTGTTGGTTCCACTTATTTGTGACCAGTGCATTGACGATGTCCGTTATTGTGATATCCGCATTCACGCCGGATGCGTCCAGGTCAACGAGTTTGTGGTGACAAAATGCCTTCCTGAACGCCACTGCCGAAAGTTTAGCATTTCGAATGCAGGCACGTTTCAAGCGCAAAAGATCATTCCTGCGAAATATTCCCACCGTCTTTTCGTTGAGGACACCTGTTGGAGGGATCAATGCTAGTTAGTGAATTTATAATTTTGAGGATTTTGTCAGGCAGGGAGTCAGGCAGAGGGATTTCGGGACAGAGCTCCAGAGAAAGGAGGCACATTAAAATGGCCGAAGGTTCAAACACCGAGATAGTGGTATAGAGGGATTGAGAGATTCACAATATGCAGCACAGATGAATTAATTTAGCAAACCTGCCTTACCATTCAGGGACATTTTCTGCAGCAAACGGTCAGCCAGTTCTTGCGGAAACACCGCGGCTTCCTTGAGACAGAACGAGCCATCTGTCCTTTCCCAACAAAACTTATCCAAATTCACCCTCAAGAAATCTAAGCAGATATCAGTTAACGAAAGGGGGGAGAAATCCTCCTGTTGGTGCAAGGGTAAAAACACAACAAATGAAAAACAATGTAATACTGTATATTTTAAATACCAAAATCTATTGTGGAAATTAGGTCATAATCTGAAATATGTATTGCTTAAAAACAACTTTTCAAAAGAAATCACAAACATATAACATGTAACCTGCAAGCTTATCAAAAATCCTTGCAACAGAGTTTATTAAACGTTACAGTGCATTAACCAGCAGAGCACACCCAAATCACCTTGCAATATGGCATTTCCTGCCTCGCTATCCTGCAGCAAAGTGGTAATTGATATTAACAGTTATCACGGCCACTGGGAGATTATTGTGATTTCAGGTAATACCTAACATCATGCACGAAGCTATCAAGATAAATTAACTTCGGATAATCGCGTCTCACATGTTTTGTTTACTGACAATACTAAACTGGGGAAGTTGCAAACAATAGGGAATAGGCTGACCAAATACACAGGGGATCAGGACAGATCAGGGAGCTGGGCTGACAAGTGGAAATCTGATTGTATGTAGACAAAACACAGAGTGAGAGATGGGGAACAGAGAAACAGTGGAACTACAAAACCACATTAGTTTACAGGACACAACACTGAAGGCTTTGGGGGTTCCAGTGGATAGATCATTAACATCAGCACAACGTGTGACAGAAGTAGTGGGAATGGGATCTTGAGGTCATTTGAGGAGATCATAGTTTAGGCTGATAGTCTAGTGTAGTGGTGGTAGGGAACTATGATTCCAAAGCCACAGAGATGCTGTTCTTTGGATGAGACATTAAACCGAGGTCCCATGAGGACTGCCTGTTCAGCTGGATATTAAAGATCATGTGGCTTTTGGAAAACAAAAGGGGGTTTCTGTCGGTGTCTCGGGCAAAACAAACCTCCAGGTAAAATTGAACATTCTCCCACAAAATATACAGTCAGTTCACTTTACAGTATATTCTGTGAAAAACTTTAAAAAGTCTCAAAGATGTAATAAGGCGCTATATCAAATGCAAGGGTTATTAGTACTATTATTCTCTTCATGGCCGTTTGTGGGAAATTGCAGTGTACAAATCAGCCGCTGCGTTCATTGACAAATCTGGTTACACAGAGGCAGTTTGTGAGGCATTTTGAAATGTTGATACAGGCGCTATTTATATGTATATCTCAAATGCGATGATTATTATATAACGATGAAATAAAATAGTCGCGGCTGCACCGACTAGAGGTCGAACAAACCGTCCATGTAGATGCTGGGGAGGAATTTCGATCAGTTAATCTGATACAAAGCAAACAAGAACATTCCAGCTTCCCACCATTTCAACATCTAACCGTGTCGTTCGTTCATGTTGGCACAGCCACACTGTATGCAAACCTAATATAGAAAAGGCATCTGTGGGCGCGGTATTGAAATACATGGCTAAAAGTACATTTTCCACATTGCTAATTCACCTTAAGGTTCATTGGAGAGTGGAAGCAGAAAGTGATTAGGACTGAAAACAAATCTCACAGGACCCATCAATCCAAAACAAGTTATCATTTTCCTTTCACACGGAAAAAATATTAAAGCTTCTGTTAAAAAAAATTCCATTGTGAACATTTCCTTTTCCTGCAATTGTCAACTTTTCTTTGACAATTTTTCATGAGAAAATCTAAGAAATGTATACTTTTTTTAAAAGAGCAATTATGATATGCAACAGTTATCTATCTTCCTCCACACACAACAGGAATAAGATAAGTTTTATCTAAAGTTACCAGCTTTAGACGTGTGCAATGTTATCTTTTTATCTGAAAATGTAACCTACTGCATGTCTAAAGTACATAATCAAACTCCAACCATTACTGCACCCCATGTGGACTTTATCTGGTGATAAATAGTTTTAGGGCATCAAAATTAACTTGAAGGACACTTAAGGATAATGCAACAAACAGCTTAAACAATTGCCACTTTGTAAATTTAGAAAATGATTCATGCTTTACAATCTCTACTTAAATGAAACTTCATTTATAGCCCTTGAAAAATGACTAAACCACTGAGCAAACTGACAGAATGGTTCTAGCCGTTGTGTGCAGGTGTAAGAAGCAGTAAAACCCTGCTTCCACTGCACACAATGAGTTCACGATCTTGCTCTGTGCTCATGACGTGGTGTTGGGAATGAGGTTGGGGTCAGAGGGAGACGGTGGGAGAAAGAAAGGTTAAGATTCCTCCACGTGAAAGGAGGGAAAAGAACACAAATCATATATCATGCTGAAGGTATACAAGTAAGCTCGAGTGTCACTGGGACAGTGTGCCTATCTTCTCATGACCTAAACAATCTGGAATTTATTTTGTAACTTATCAAGAAAGTTAGATAGAGGGCAAAGGCCGTAGAGTAGGACACAAAGATTTGAAAAGTAGAATCAGGAAGCACGAGAGACAGAGAAATGAATTGTCCGTGGTTAGGATGGTGCCAAGGATAAATAACTTTAAAATGTGTAAAACTATGAATTGAATTAATTCAATTACACATCTTCAGCAAATATTTTACCAGAATATTTTATGGTATCATTTATTTATTTTACACACATTCTGCAGGAATCGTCTAATGTTATCCTACAAATTACAAATGTAATTTAGTTATTTGGTGTTACACACCCAGGTTAAGTTTACAAATTCATATCGCATTATGAAAACTTCTGGAGTAGCGGAGGGGAAGCAATCTGCTACATCAGCTGCAAAAAGCAGAATTAAGAAAACCACTTTTGAGAATTGCTTTGGGCACATACTTAAAATAAAAACTGCAGACATATCCTTTCCTAAAAAAATCTTTGCAAGAGGCATTGTCACAATCGTGAAATTTAGCTTTTAAACAAATCATATACGTGTACGGGATCGTGGAATTGAACACTTGAGATATGGGGATTGTAAAACCTTTTTTTCTTAACTTGGTGTTTTCCAACCAAATCCTCTTTACAGTCGGTATGTGGCAGTTAATGATACCTTACTTTGACAAAAAGGTACAAAAAGGTAGAATTTTTTACCAACTGTCACTGCTGTGTTCGCCATTAGTTTTAAAAATAGGTGATCCAAATCCCTTGCCTTTCTCCCTACCTTTCCCCATTCAGTCTTTGCACATCTCTCTCAAGCTGCTTACCCTTTCCACTGATACTTAAAAAGAACTATCGCAAAATGATGCAAAGGCTGAGAAAATCTGGATCCAAGGAAGAGCAGGGTGTCAGAGGCAGAAAATAAAATAAATGGGGGTGAAAATTAATGTGGAGAAACACACAACTCTGTTCAAATGTACAATAGAAAGAAAGGAGTGAAAAATAAATGAAATAGGAGGGAAACAATAAACTATGATAAGGCAAAGCAAAATAATGAAAATAAATTAAGATAAAAATGTAAGATTGAGAACATAGTCAAATTATTCAGTCAAAAACCTCTTTTTTTAAAAAAAAGTTTTTGTTTTCTTTATCAACGATTCCCATATGGTAAAATATTCACAGAATTTACCGTTTTCATTTCAACGGTGGACTAAAACCAAGCAAAAGTACTGAGTTTGAGTTCAGTCAAACAGTATTTGACAGTTGGCAGGCATCACAACAAAACCCAAATCTTCAGGTTTACATTCAATTCGATTAAATTTAGACCAATACATTAATGGGGCAGAAAAAAAATAAATAGGAGATGGAAGAGAGGGGAGGGAAATAAAGTCTTGACATTTTGACAACTCTTCGTCCCCTCCCCTCGCTAAGGTGACCATAGGTCCCCGATTGCCAGCGACAGTCGGCAGATGAGGTATTGCGACCCTGCCCAAATTCGCCCCGTCTTCAGATCAGCAACAAACTGAACAAGAACATTCTAAATCAGACACACTCATCAGAGAAATACGGCCATTAACCCAACAAACTGCCCCAGTAACTACAGGCGTCAGGAATTGTGTCCAGTTCAACTTTTTACAAAAAAAGGGTCCCATCCCAGGATTTGATTCACAACATATGGTCACCACCGCCTACAAAAGTGAACAGTCACGACACTTTACAGTAAATCCTGCCACGTACTATATCAAAGGTTCTCCCAATGCGAAAGGCGATTGATTCGAAGGGTGGGGGGGTGGGGGGTGTGGGGGGGGTAAATTCAGAACAAATCTGCGGAGACGCTACTTCAGTGAGAGAGTAGTAAACTCATGGAACAGACTCCGTAGGGAGACAAAGCGGTGGATAGCGGAAAGTGTCGTTTGTTTCGGGAAACAAACGAGACCCGATTTGTGGGGGGAAAGCAACATCTGGGGAACACGGTGTACGGTTTGGGGACACGACATGTCAAGCGGCCGCCGGTCAGGATGGCGGAGGGTGAACCAGATGGACCTCGGTCCTCTTTCGCCAGCGGATTCTTACATCAACTGCGAGATGGGGGGGAGGGGCGGTTCCTATGGAATTAGTTTTTATTACGGTTGAGGAGGGGGGGGGGGGGGGAGGGGTGGAAGGGGAGGCGTATAGATGGGGGGGAATCCTACTCATACACTGACACACGTCTCTCTCCCTTACCATTGCTGACAGGAGGCCGCTAGCGGGAGGCGAGCGGGGAGTCGGAGGCCACGACAGCGACACGAACCACCATGGCTGGAGAGGCGGCCGTCAGAGCAGCCGCTGGGAACACGGCAACCGCTCTTCTTGGAAAAGAGAGGGGGGGGGAGGGAGGGAGGGGTGGAGGTGGTGGGGGGGGGGAGGAGGGGGGGGGGGGGGGAGAAGAGGCACTTCTTTCTTACCCCCCCGAAAAAAATTACCAGGGCCTCATCGTTTTATTTCTTTTTCTTTTTGGAGAGGGTGAAGAGCAAAGAGAGAGAAAGAGGAGAGAGGAGTGGGAGAGCGGCCGTTTTCTTTTGGAGGAGCGGAGTGAGAGAGAGAGAGAGAGAGAGAGAGAGGGAGAGACGGACAGAGAGAGGGGGAGGGAGTGAGAGGGGGGAACACATGCAAATTAAACACCTTCGTCCTCCTCCCAAAATAAACACCAAGAAAATTAATTCTCCCTCACGGGCAGTTGCTCGGCCTGACAGGGCCGGAGAGGGGGGAGGGCGGGGGGCGGGGGGTGGGGGAGGACGACGACGGGAGCCGCTGCCGCTGTTGCCCCGGAACCGCTTCTTTTTCCCTCTCCTCTCAGCTTCCAGAACCCACCACCGGCCCCGCCCCCAACCTCAACCCCCCCCCTCCCATTGGCTGCCGGCCGCACCGACTCCCCACCCTCTGGCTCTCCCATTGGCTGCCGGCCGCACTGACACTCGCCCCACCCCATTGGCTGCCGGCCGCACCGACTCCCCACCCTCTGGCCCTCCCATTGGCTGCCGGCCGCACCGACTCCCCACCCTCTGTCCTTCCCATTGGCTGCCGGCCGCACCGACTCCCCACCCTCTGTCCTTCCCATTGGCTGCCGGCCGCACCGACTCCCCGCCCTTCTGGCCCTCCCATTGGCTACCGGCCGCTCGGACACCACCCCCCTCCGTCGCTCTCGCTCTGCCATTGGCTGCGCGGGAAGTCACTCAGCGTGGCCCCGCCTCTTCCTTCGGCCCCGAGCGGCGTCGCCAATCAGACTGGAGGCGCTCTCGCTGCCCTTCAGTGGGAATTGGCGGCATCGACTCCTCCTCTCTTTCTCTCTCTCTCTCTCGCTCTCTCTTTCCCGATCTCCCGTTCGGGTTAATTCCCGTTTGAGCTTTTGGGTCCTTGTGAGAGAGACCGCCCTGAATTCCGGGGGGGAGTGGGGGGAGGAGAGGAGAGCGTCCACCCGCCCACCGGCCTCACTCGGCCCCAGGTCAGGGTCAGGGTCAGGCGGGAGGCGGTCGGGGTCGAGACGACCTTTCCCACCAGTTTTGGTGGAATCGAAAGCCCCCATTGCCGCAGCTCTCCGCACTGCGCTGCCGGCGGGTCAGTGTCCGGCTGCCCCCCCCTGCCCTCCCCCCACCCTAACCCGAGCAGAGACCCGCCGCCCCCCCCGCTGGGCTGTGCCGGGATGGCCGGACTCGTGGACTTCCAGAACGAAAGCGAAGTGAAGGCGTACCTCGACAGCCTCGGCATCGAGTACAGTTACCAGTGCCACAAGGAAAGAGACGCCGAAGGTAAAGACGGAGCAGCGGGTATCTGGGACTCTCACCCGCGCTCAGCGGAGGGCACAGCGGCGACGGCCACCAACTGCAAAATGGTGGTTCTGAAACACAAGAGTCCCTTTCACTTGTGAAGGACAGTCAGTCAGTCAGTCAGTCGGCGGCAAAGGGGCTGTGCACAGGGCGAGGCCCCACACCTGACACATGTCACTGAACTCCAGAGGCAGTCACAGGGTCAGGGAACCAAGAGAATGTCATGTAAATATACACCACTGTATATGAATAATAATGATAATAATAATGTATATGAATTTTCAGAACACAGTTGGTGCGGTACCTCAGGGATGACCGTAGTGCATTGCTGTATTTTGTCCACAAAACAGGCGATGCCCTTCACAGTATATTCTATGAAGCGCTTTTGAGACGTCCAGAAGACACGACAAAGCCGCCCCCAGCGAACCCAAGGGTTGATTTGGCACTAACTTTTTAATGTGGTCGTTTGTTTTTTTTAAAAAAAGCCGTCTATGCACAGGTTGGGTGACTTTTTTTTTTGTCTGTCAACTCAACCCCGACCATTTCCCTTTTTNGCAGGATGTCAACGACTTGCTGATTATTTGGAAGGAATTAAGAAAAACTATGACCTGGCTGCTCAGGTGTTAAAGAAAAACTGTGAGGAGAACCATTATGGAGAAAGCTGCTTCAAGCTCGGCGCTTACTATGTTGGTGGGAAAGGTACAGTATGGCTTCCTTCACTCATCGTTCTGGATGTTGGTTCAGTGTTTAAAAAGTAACGTGAGTCGTGGAGTGTTAAGTTGTCAGTTGTGCTAAACCAAGGGAAATACAAGTGTTAACGTGTTGGATGTTATATTAAAAAAAATGACACGATTGAAAAAGAGAGTGTCTCCTGGTGTCCTGGGCGACACTCTGTTTGTTGCCCATCCAGCTTTGTCAAGCCGTTTGATACGTCCTCCTGACGTGAAAGGTGCCGTGTAAATGCAAACTGTGTTGCATCTCCCTCCCACCCAAATTAAAGAAGGTTGTTCACTTCATTGCTGATTGTGGGATATTGCTGTGTGTAAATTGTCTATTGCAATTGTCTACAAATAATCATTACACTTCACAGAACTCTGTGAAGAGCTTTGAGACGTTTGGATGTGATGAGGTCCTGACTGTATCAGATGTAATGATTACAGAATTTGACCTCTGTTAGAAATTGAAGGTACAGTGCTGAGAGCTTTTATTTGTGACTTTTGGGTGAAGTTTACTGATTGAAAAGAGACAATTCTTACTGTGTTGCACCACACAGTTAGAACGTCCACAGATTTTTATGCAAGAGCAGGTGCTAACTGTTGTCTTTGAAATTAGGTGGATTGCAACAAAATCTGAAGGCTGCCTACGATTGCTTTGTTAAATCTTGTGAGAAGGGTGGCAAGAAGTCGGTCGATGCCTGCCACAACGTTGGGCTGTTGGCGCATGATGGACGAGCACTAGATAAATCGGACGCCGTGGTGGCCAGAGATTATTACACCAAAGCCTGCAATGGAAATTTTACAGCCAGCTGTTTTAATCTGAGTACTTTATATATCCAGGGAGCACCCGGAGTAGCCAAGGATATGAGCCAGGCCCTAAAGTATTCCCTTCGAGCCTGCGACCAGGGGCACATCTGGGCCTGTGCGAACGCCAGCCGCATGTACAAACTAGGAGAAGGAACGCAGACAGATAACGAAAAGGCTGAACTTTTGAAAAATCGAGCAAGGGATCTGCACAAGGAACAAAAACAATATTCGCCAGAGTTTAAGTTAGGGGTCTAAGATCCAATATCCGGCATTAAACGGATTGCGTGGGGATTTTTTGGAGGATATTTTCTATGCATTTTTGCAAAAATCCAATGTAGACTATCAACATTGACGTTTAATACAATCAGTGTTGATGATAAAAGTAATAAAGCTTACGTTTGATATTCTTTCGACTTAATCGTGTCACAGTGTCCCAAAGCGCCCCACAAAGGTTTCTCTGAAGTGCAGTGACTGGATATTTACAACAACAACAACAAATTATATTTGTATGCTGCCTTCCCGTTAGGAGGCAAATGACTGCATAACGAAGGCAATGGATCTGCACTGGATTTTTCTAAAAGCAAAAATTTCCCTCAAAAACGAACCCACAATATAGTTAGTTTGACAGAACTCGGAATGAATCAAATTTAATTTTCATTGCACTGAATCCCAAGTTTTTAACTTTTATTTTAAGGTTTCCATCAAAGTTCTGCAAGTACTGCACTCATTCCTAGTTAGAGCATCTCTTGCAGGCTTATTTCTGATCGAGAGGGGCTGGAAGATGTGATCAGAGCAATTTCCAGAACCCGTGATGGGAGAAATTTCACTCCTGGACATCGAAATGCACTTCAAAATAGGTGGTGTCTTGCTTATCAGACATCCCGCCCCTATTTTAATCAGTGACCCAGGTTCTCATGCTCCATCTGAAAAGTTTTGCCACCAGAGCAGAGAGTGGAGAACACAACAATTGGAACAGCAACTTACCCATCCTTTGGCTGAATCCTGCTTGCTGAATTGCACTATGTAGTGCTACATTGCACTAATATCCCCATTGCATTGTCTTCAGATGGCGCTTTCAGCCACTTTGGGAGATTCCTGTCTATGAGACAGTTGTCATTGGCTCATATAGCCTACTTAGCTACCAAATGCACGTACAAATGCAAGTCATATACCTCAGTCAGTTAAACACTGGGCTGCCTCCATCTATTCATCACTCTGTGTACGATTGCTGAACCTGAGCAGCTTTCAACACCCTCCCTCTTCCAAGCTAAGTGTCCAGCTTGATTGAAATAAACAGTGACGTCTCGTATTGTTTTAATGCATTTTGTGTGCGTGTTTTGTTGTCTTGGTGCTGTTGAGAGGAATAACAACTGTGGAAGAATAAAGGGTTCATTCTGTTTTCCTCCTTGGTGGGTGATGGCAGTCGTATAAATGTAGTTATGCCATTATCATTTTTCAACATGCATGTATTTGTTGTACTTGTTAGATGCTGCCTCCAATGCTATTTGTCTCAAACAAAACAGTCATTAGAATGGATAGCAAGGGGAGTGGAGAGTTCAGTGAGTAGTGAGTGCACCACCTGAGTGCTGGTGAGAGACAAGAATTCAGGCCACCAATTCATCTCAATGTGTCTGAAATCAGCTTGAAACCGTTTGCAGGGGTTGGTCTGCTGTGAACCCACACACATCTCTTTGCGAGCAATTTGGCCATTTTTTAGTTAAAAAGGAGCTTGAAATTGAAATATTTCAATCTTAACTCCTCAACAAAACCGGTCTGAGACCAAGCAGAGCCTGAGCAGGATTACTGGCCCTACCTTTATGCAGTGGGTTTGGTTCCTCAGTTTGTGGTCGCTCTGAGTGCCCAGAAAGCCCATTTTGCAGAGCTAATGTCTGCTCTTTCCGTGTTTTGTTTCTCGTTGGCAGGGGCCAAACCTGGCTGGCCAGTTTACAGAGGGATTTTCAGTTTCTAGTGATCGTTCCTGTAAAGAAGGAAACAAACAGTAAGCACAATCCGGTCAAAAAAGCTGTGTCGTCTTTTCTTCTGGGATCAGTGTTGTGGGGGGGGGTGAGAAATGTCAGATTATTGTTGTACTGATCACCTGTGAACTGAAAGTTCCCCATCTCTGTGACCCCCTCCCACTCCACTTATGTTCACCCCTTCTACTCGTGCCTCCTGCACGACTCTTCCCACCCCTCTCTGAATCACCATCACTGGCCGAACTTTCAGCTATTCTATGTCTAACCTCTGGAACTCGTATCCTTGACCCATTTATCTTGCCCTCTGCAATTGAATTCAACATTTCTCAACTTTTTCTGTGCACATTTACCATCCACTTCAATGGTCAAGTGCAATTAATGAAAACTGAATTTTTTGGGGAAAAAAAAGTACCCTATTGTTAACTCCATTCCATCTGTATAATAACCTCTGGAGGGAAAGGTCTTCATAATTCTCTTATCCCACAACAAAATTCAATACCGCCCATGCACAATGAAGTATGCTTTTCTAAAACAAATAATGGTGAGATATAATCCAGATTTAGAAACTGAAGGATAAATATGGTGAAGTTCTCAAAGACGTTTGACAGACAAATACTGAGATACAACATCAAGAATACATTTGTATTGTGCCTTTCAAGTCGGGAAGACGCCCCAAGGTGCTGGACAGTGTACAGCATTTCAGACCCGAGCCGCGGGAGGGGAAGGGGGATGGCCGATGGCATGGTCGAAGAGGAGGGTATTGAGGTGGGACTTTTAAGGAGGGGACGAGGCGGAGCGATTGGTGGATGGAATTCCAGAGGTTGGGGGCAGAGTGGCTGAAGGCTCTCCCGCCAACGGTGGGTCGGGGACGTGGAGCAGCCAGACCCGGCTGAGCAGAGGGAGCGGGCGGGTTGGTAGGGGTTAGGAGGTCACAGAGGTAGGGTGGGGCGAGGCCATGGAGGGTTTGTTGGTGAGGAGCAGGATCTTGAACTGGATTCTCTGAAGGATAAGGAGCCAATGGAGTCGGGCGAGAGTGGGAGAGATGGGGTGATGGGAGTTTGGTGCGGGAGAGGACACGGGCTGCAGAGTTCTGGATTATCCACAGCCGGTGGAGGGAGGAGTTGGGAAGGCCGACAAGCAGAGCGTTTGCATAGTCGAGTCTGGAGGTGATGAAGGCATGAACAAGAGTTTCAGTGGCCTGAGGGTTGAGGTTGTGGCAGAGTCGGGAGATGTTACGGAGGTGAGGGAAGGCAGAGCGGGTCATGGCTGGGATGTGGGGGAGAAAAGACAGTTGAGGATCGAACAAGACCCCCAGGTTCCTGACTGGTTGGTGAGTTGTAGTGAGCAACCATGGAGGTTGATGCTGCCAGAGCCTGAGGGGCTGAGGCGCTGGCGTGAGCCAATCAGGAGGGCCTCAGTCTTGCTCACATTCAACTGTAGGAAATTTGCCCTCATCCAGGACTTGAGATACATTGAATGCAACACCAACTGTTTTACTAAAATGAGCCAGGATGTCGCTCATTTAATTAATTTGAGTACAGTTTAAATATAAGTACAGAACAGGACTGAGTTCTGAAAAGTAATTACAGTACAACACAAAATTACATTTGTATATAGCGCCTTTCACGTCAGGAGGATCTCTTCCCAATGCAGATCACTGTTACCAACATGGTGAACGCTCCAAACAGTCAATACTTACTTTGTTAAAAATGCTTACCTTGTTAAACATGTAAAGGGACATTGCCATTTGGTAAAATATCTCGTCAGTTACCGGCTGCATTGCATTGCCTCTGTTTACAATCAATGATGCAATTACATCATCATCCCTCTGACCAAGTCACTCAGTGACTCAGCCGCCTCTGGCTGCAGGTGTCACCTCACATCTTGCCTTTAGCCCAAGTTTTCACCCGTGTAATCCTGGCATTCAGATTGCTTCTTTCTGTCCTTAGATTGATTCCCATTATTACCCTCACTTCAGGTTTTAGTTTGTTTTGGTTCGGTTAACTACAGTGGTAAAATTCCCTGAATTTGATGGAGGTAATGTACTGAATGTTGATTTTCTTTTTAAGAACGGCAGTAAACTGGGTTTCAAACTGAGACTAAAGCAGTTCCAAAATTCTGCACAAGCTTAAATTTTAAGCCAATGGCTCTAAGTTTAAGACTGAGTTGCTAATTTATGCTTTTGTTGATTAGATTGTCTTTTATCTCCTAATTAAAATAATATTTGCATTTGGTATAGTGTGTAATCACGCCCCAAAGAACATTAAGCAGAGTTTTTCAGTGATGGGTAAGCCAGAACAACACAACATATTGTATATGAATGGGTGTTACTTTCCTTAGTATGTCCGAGTTTCCTAAAATAGCTGTTTTTTTTGCTGGAGGTTGATATTTTGTTTACCAGGTATAATGTCAAGCCATTTCTGAAGTCTCGTTAACAGTCCCAGTTGCATCGATGATTATAAGAATTACATTTGTTTTATACTGCATACAAACAATTTATGGAAAATAAACCATTTATCTTTTGTTTGAGAAAAAGACAACAATTACTGAACGAGGGGGTAGGTGCTAAAATAGGCCTAGAGACAGACTTACCCGATAAGTTTCACTCATATGCTGATTGATCCTCACTGCTCGGATGGTTTGTTACAAGTTTTTTTTTAAACGTTACAGTAAAATACAAAAGCTGTGATCAAGTTTGAGTTTAATTTATTATCAAATGTGACAAAGGGCAACATTACAACATATTCATTTTAAGTAATCCCAGTCCTATTACTTTTAATAGTATACTTCTCATGGATGGGAGGATGCAGACAAGAAAATATTAACATTTTTTTTCTTTCTTTGGAAGAGCAGCAACGATCTAATGGTAGATTGAAAAAAGCTCTTCAGCAGCTAGGGTTTACATTAAATACATACATTTCGGTACTTGAGATGGTCTAGTATCGAAAAGGGATGATTCAGATATTCAGAATTTAAAATATCCTGACAAAATACTGTAAGCGCTAATATCAAATATTTTCCCTCAAAATTACATTTCTCTTCTCATGTTAGAATGTTTATATGTTTATATTATAAAAAAAATTGCCTGACTTCATACTTTTTTTTAAGAACTGCAGACAGTGAGAAATGTACAGGGTCATATTACGTTTATAAACTCAGCAATGAAACTCACCAAGACAGTTTAGAATTTTAAGAAAAACAGATTTCAGTTGTTTTCATAGCTTGTGTGATTGGTTCACTCGCCTGGGAAAGCAGTGGAGTTGTACAAAGATATACGGAATTTGTCCAACATGAAAGTGCATAGGTCTTCCATCTTAATACAGATGAACAAGGAATTTAAAAAGAAACAAAACCAGTATGCTCAAGAAGCTCCTCCAATTTCCAGTGTGTATTGTGTCAGAACTGAATGGGAAGGATGCGTTGCATGCTTTCTAATACTGGAAATACTCACTGCATCAAAAGCCCTGGAGCCTATTAGAAAAAAATAACTGACTGGCCTTCATAGCAGGTAACATTCATTGTGTGTTCAGATAGCAACATAACTCACTGACTGAAATTTACAATTATTCCAATTTCTGAGGAGTAAAGGGCCATTTTATAAATTCATTTTCCAACACTTTTTAGCTGATTCAAAAATACTCAAAAACATGAATTAGTAATTAAGTAAAACATTGAGACTGAAGGCAATTGACTAGACAAAAAAATTGGAATGTTAAATTTTCCTGCTTTGACGTCAGTGGAGTTTGTGTGTGCCAAATGCATTCTCCCCATTTGTCATTTTCAAATATATGGTCTTTCTTTTTCCCCAAATCCTTCCCTTCCAATCCAATCACCAAACAAGGCTAAGCAGAACTTCTGAGAAAGGAACTTTATCATTATCTCTTTGTGACTGCTGCCTAAAGGCCATTACCCATTTGAATTATTTTCTGCAAAAAGTCTGGAATTCTACCCTTTGAATAAATACCAGACTCAAACTACTCAATGTGATAACCAGCATTAACATGCATACACACTGAAGTTAATTGTCAAATGCAATTTTAGATATGTTAACATATTAAGTTTATAGTTTTAGAAAGGAACACACCAAAAATAGAAAGAAAAAGACCATTTGCCAAGGACAGGGGAAAAAATTGGGACCAAAGAAAGGAAAGACAAGAAAAACAAAGTGGCAGCTAAGTCCAGTGGCCAGGAAAAATACAAGTGGTTTAATAGATGGTGACTTCTCTTGCATTTGCAAATTAAGTTCTCCGTGATGACTTTCACTGAATGGTTTGGGCAGCTTGTTCTTCCTTTTGCAAGGCCTGTCTGAAGGCAATCAGATTTTCTGTAAAAGGAAGAGCAATATTTTGAAACATATACATAGTTCATTTTACGTCTACGTCACAAAGGTGAAAACACAAAGTCATTTCATACAGCACGTCAGGAGAGTTGAGATTTTCTGACAACACATCTCGTTGATTTAGCTGAGCTTTAAAGGTAATGACTACACAGAAGTAGCTGGTCACTGAATCTGAAGAGCATCAAGATTTATCTCCTCCAAGTTTCCTGAGTTTACAAAACGTAAAATACTGAGGCTCAAACCCGCGCTTGTTGGATATCGAATCATCAACTAGTGATTATACCCCGGGGGGGTGGTTAAGCGGGGCGGGTCTCCTTGGAGCTGAACTGGTTCCAAGGTGACATGCTTGGCAATGAAATGTCAGAATTGAGCCAGCCCTCTGTGGCTCTCGTTATTCCAGGGCACTGCTGACAGCACAGCACTGGCTCATTGGCAGGACCTGGAGGGGCATTGGGTTGACCAAAACAAAAATGAGATAATGCTAAACAAAAGGAAATCTAACACCTGCCACAAGTTATTACGCTGCAAAACATGAACGTTTCCAAACCGCCACTTGGGAGTCAAAAAGACCAACTTCACAATAGTTTTCATTCCTCCACCTCAGGGCACCCAGTACAAGAATGTAATAAAACATACTGTTAAATTCTTGAAAAATCAACAGCCGCTCATCCATGTTCGTTTGTAATAGGTTGGTGTAGATCTCAATATTGTAGTCTGGAAGCTGTGTCATCTTCAGGAGTTCATCATCAGCATTGCTCCACTGAATTAGCTTCTGTTAAAGGAAAACCAATTATTCTGTACAATTGAACAAAACCATCTTCAGTTGCTCAAATGATAGAATATAATAATAATCCTTGCTTTTGATATAGCGCTTTTCACATCTTCTAGACATCTCAAAGTGCTTCACAGAAAATACTGTAAAGTGAATTGACTGTATATTTGTGGTTGATGGACTATTTTTCACTGAGTCAGCATCACATGTGCCCACATAGACTACAGCATAGGCTGTGTAAAGGCGCACAATCAAGGCTAGATTCCTAAATTCTGTTTGTGCCATTTCTATTCGTCACTCATCACTCTCAAAATTGCCTAAAGAATCAGTGACCCAGAGTTATAATAAGGTTAAATTATCACATTATCAACGTGTTTTCAATGTGAATTCACACTCACTAGAAATGAAACTGATTATATTAGCCAATTTATATCCCATTTGTAATGAAAACAGGATTGAGAAGCATTGGTGCCTCAATGTGGGCAAAATATTCTCATCTGTTTAGCCTATCTGGAATGGAAGGGGCAGTCCGAACACTTCCAGTGGGCATGTCACAAGTCCATGTTAGCGATTTTGTGAGTTTTTTTTCAACAAAATGTTGTTGTGACTTGGCACTACAGCAATATGCTGTCATTAATAATGCATTTAAACTCACACAGGTGAACATTTTTAGTTACACCCAGAATTTAAGTTTAAATGCTACATTTCATACCTGTTGAATTGCACGGTGTTCATCCAAAATCTGTTCCTCTAATTCAAGAACTCTAGAGACATCTAAATGCATGTCACAAATAAGTGATGGTTCTTCCTTAAAACAGAACATGAAAAAAAAAGCTTGTAAGCAAACATTTAAGATCAGCTAGGCATCAACAGTCTTTGTACAAAATATACTTCATCAGGAACACGGTGCTTAACTAGATCAATGGCCAATGGCCAATGGCCAAGGACCAGATCACCTCAGAAAGCAGGCAATTGATTGGCGTGCACACATTGGTGGGCTACCTGCAAAGATCAGCAATAATAACACTCAATGGGGTGTAATCCAGGAGACCGAACAAGCGCCATTTTTCTTTTCATCTAAAAACTGTCAAAGTTGAATTGTTTCTATATAAATAAAACCTACCTGACCAGAATTACCCATTTGGGAGAAATCATACCATGGTTCATATAAGTCAAGAAGTTACTTGCAGCTAGCCCAAATACACATGAAGCATCCTCAGAAGAAATTAAAATAAAAAAAGGACAAGTAAACCAAGGAAATCATTTCGGTATTTGGAGACAGCTTCCTGCATTGGCCAGAACAAGAGGCTTCGAATTCCAAATTACTATCCTGGTGCTTTCAACTGAATGATAAATCTGGTTTCAAACTGATGGCTTGCAAATTGCAATAAAAAGTGTTCAGTGTACTGTTTGACACCTGAATATTTTCTTTAAGAATTTGCGACCCTTCCATTGCCCTGCATAGGTTTCAAGGGATTCCAGATTGGTCCAAATATCACCAGTGTATACCTTTTTAGGAAAGTTACCACAAGAGGGTAAAGACCCATCGCTAAGCTTCATGCAGATCAGTGTGAATTAATCACAAGGCTGCTTCTATGTGTGATTTGTTAGAGGCAAAAGTGGAGACAGAGAGAAAGAAAAAANGAGATTAAGGTAAACAGAGTAGAGGAAGAGAGAGAAACCTTGCCATTCAATAATTGCAGTTATTACTATAAACTCTGGACCAATACAGATTCTAATACTCCTAATTGTACTAACATGTCTAGTGCTTGTTAATTCTCTATTTTGAATAGGGCTGTTCCAAATATAGCTGGGGAAGAGGTTGCTTTAATTTGTTTAATTTCCACTTCTATAGGTCCCTGTTCAATCAAAAGGTAGATTCTTCAAGAGGGCTCAGCAGCATTTAATGCCATTCTCTGGACAGTACATTGACTAACATTAGTGTAACCTAAAAACTTTTGTGCAGCCATTAAATGTTAACTTCTCTTGGAAGTTGTAATTTTTATTTTTCCAGAATAAGTCCCCCAAATCTGTATACCATCTACAAGTACCTATTTGGATTGACAGCCCTGAGATTTGGGAAGGTTAGTAAGAAACCATGAACCTAACCTGAGGTACATCCAAACCAAAACGATCATACGTCTCGACCATTTCCTGATTTTCACTTAGAACTTCAGTTTCTGCAGGCTTTAAAGACAACACCAGAGGGATGATGTAAAGAGTTCTATACTACATATTGCCATAAACTGAGAATAAACTACATGTAGCAAACTATACCATGTTTAAAACTGCTACTCACCGAAAAGGCTGGTTGCCCTTCTGCATCCCAGTCGTTATTAAACCCAGCATATCTAAATTTTGTTTCATACACAGCCCCTGTGTTGAAGGCCCATTATCCTAATGGCTGTTTTCACAATCCCTCAGTCCCGCAGACACAACCCAATAGTTTGGTGCTAAAAGGTTGTTGCACTTGAAACATTAATAGAATCCTTGTATTTGAGTGCCTTATCACATTGAAACGTCTCAAAGCACTTCAGAGTTTTTTGTAAAGTGTATTGACCATTTAATAATAATAATTGAATAAAGATCCATTTTTCAGATGCTGATTGACCCATTATGCATTTCCACTTCTGCTCCCCCCATGAATGTAATTTACTGTATAGCAGCTAGTCTTGGAAATAATGTTGCCATAATATTCAATATGCGGAAAAATCTTTAAATAACTTACGTTTTTTTGGTAGAGCAACCGAATTTCAGACTGTTCCATGGTTTCATTTTCATTTATGTCTTTAGATGTATTGGAAATTTCTGGCTCACAAGAAGCTCCTTCCTCAACACCAAGTTCTTTCACCCTAGAGCAGATAGCAACAAAACACTTCAGTCCTACTACATGTACAAGATATTCTATAACCGGAGGGCAATGAGTAACTTTAAAACAACTATTACTCTCAGCCCAATATCTCAAGCCATTCCTTTCCAGCAATCATGCAGACAATGCAAAAACTAAACAATGGCAAACTCAAAAACAAAGCTCTGCATTCTCCTTCCCTCATATTTAGGAAAATTCAATGACATTTCCATTAGTTTTCAACTGTTTACCTGTCTGAATACCGCAAAGTATTGAGAGTGTGCTCGCACGAGTTCAATCCTGGTGAAATCATTGCAATCTAGAAGGGAAAGAAAGAAGAATCAACTCAGGTCGTATTAAAGGATAGAAGACCGATCTAATTTCACTTTGAATTAAATGCTATACTTTAAACAGGTTTGGTGTTGTGGATAGCACTTAATAATCTTTGCATCTGATAAATAGTGCCTTATCACATCATTAAGATATCTCAAAAGCGCTTCACAGGATTTACTGTGACATCTAGTTGTTGGACACCAATGGAACTGTACTCAGCAAGTCATTATGGAGCAGAAATAAAAACAAATGTATTCTTTGCCTCCTGCAAAAAGAGTTTCACAAACAGATGATCACAAATGGGTGAAATTTAAACATCAGTCCCTGAAGTCCAAAGCAATGATTTATATAAAAGATATACCATGCAAGTTCTAGAGTTTTCACCAATAAATGAATCTCTCAGCACCAGAGTCAGTTTGCTTGCTCGGAACGGAGTATAGATATTATTGTGGCCCAATGCTCGAATGCACTCCTGAAAGACAAATTGATTCTATTAACAGGATTTATACATACAAATAAATGCAACATGAAAAGATACCACATATACTTGATAAAGGGGAGAAAGGTGAAAAAGATATTGAGGGAGTGTCAAAAAGACCATTTTTTCAGTATTGAAGTCCAGCTGAGTGACTAAAATGAAATATTGCGCATGAGGAAGATATACAGAATTAATTTATTAATTTGAGGGGTGAAAAGAAAAGGAAGAATACTATTTTGCATTCAATTAATTAATTCAATTAATTAATTCAATTTTGCATATATAATAGCAATAGCTTCTTATGTCATTGAGATGTCTCAAAGCTCTTCACAGGATTTTCTTCCACTCTGAAGTGTAGAAACTGTGTAAGCAAACAAGGCATACAATTTGTTCATAGCAATTTTCCACAAGTCACAGTCATGAAAGGAATGACCAATTTTATCTGGAGGATAGAAGGTTTGATAAACGGGTGTAGGAATGCAGCATTCGATTCTTTCAAAGACCCAAACTGATGCAGTGTAGAATTTTCTAATAACCCACACCAGATGGATAATAAGACAAAATAAACTTAGCTAGTGCATCACTCCCCAATTAACGATTCATTCAATGTGCAATATTACCTTTAAGGCGAGTAGGCTTTTATTAATCTCAGCTCCTTCCATTCGTGTTTGTCTATCTGCACTGCTAGTATCAGCACCTCTCTCATTACCGGCCAGATCGATTAGGGAAAACTGGCCATGAAGCTTTTTGTGTCTGCGGAGAATAATCTGGAAAACTGCATGGGACCTGGAGGAGTTGTTATTTACAGATGTTTGTCCAGACGTCCTATTAAAAAAAAACAAGTTTGTATATTCTAGGAACCGAATTAATAGTAAGCAGATGGCACAACATATGGAATTAGACATTAAAAATAAATCACTTGTTGGCAAACACCATCTCAGTAGAGCTTGGAAAAACCAAACATACAAAATGGCAGCATATATTGCAAGTGGGACAATAAAGAAATTACGTTTTGGCACAATTTAATGTCTGGTATGAAGAGTGAAAAAAGTCCAGCTAAAAGAGTTCAATGTGCAAACATTAAACTACAGTCAATACATATTTAAATTTAAAAAACAGGTAGCTGGCATCAGAACTTCAGACGCTCACCTGGGGGATGGGGTTAGGAGGGAGAGAATAATTAATTAATAAGCTCAGTTTCTCATCCCATCATTTGGGTGCCAGCAGAACATAGGAACAAGATTTCCTCACAAAAGATCCGTACCACTGAGCCAAGCTAACACACAAAATGCAAGAATTGTTATCGCACAGTAAAAATAATAATAATCCTTGCATTTGATATAGCACCTTATTACCTTATAGTGTAGTTACCTGTGACTGTTTCCCACATCAATCATCAGGATCACATCATCCACAGAGAAGACTTCTTGCTCTTGAAGCCCCACAATCTGAACCTGCTGCTTATTATCTTCTAAAATACGCAGCTTAGCTTTTTTGTTTAACAGATCAAATACCTGTTTAAGGAAAGTGCTAAAGTTTGAATTACAGTGACCGGCAAGGCAGAGCAAAAAATAAACATTCTGCAAATGTTGCTCTGAGGTTAGAAAACAATTTCCAATTTTCAAAGAACATTAACACTTTTTAACTTGCCAACATTTACTAGAATAGTTTCTATTCCAGAGGGAAGCATTTATCTAGGACAAACTCTTGAGATTTCAAGGAACACTGACATGTTCATACAGTAACATTATGAAACTGAATGGTCCCCGCATACTCTATAGGTTCAACTGAACGTCTAGATTTGGAACTTACCTTGCCACTGTAGATCTCAAAAAAGGTTACAAATACTGTCAGATTAAGATCTTTGTAACGGGGCTGTTGAAGCAGCAAAAAGACATCTTGAGCTGAAGAAGTAAGAAATGAAGGTTACAAACATTTCTGTGATAGTATGAAGAGATTTCACAACTAACTATTGTATTTTGTCTACTGCTTACTTGCAAGAGCATAGATTCCCTTAGAAAAGTCTTGGGTTTTGCCTGAGAAGTCACCGCCCATTGTCTGCATTTTTTAAAAAAAGACAATTATCGAGGAGAGAAATTTGAGCTACACTATTGCATATAACCACTAACAAATTAAAGCAGGAAGAAATAATGATCCTCCTTATAATATTAGGCAGAACATTTCTCAGTTCTACTGATTTCCACTAGAAGAGAATGTTGTGCATGGCATCATCAACCCACTGAAAGAATATTTAACTTGTGGTTAAGACACTCAATCCTTAAATTAATTTTACATTGAGAGAAGGTTCCCAAACTAGTTTAAAGGAAGAAATTAGGTTTCCTTTTATTTAAATATACAAAACAAAGCTACAGAATCAAAGATTACTTTCTTCATATCCTTCACTGCTTCACTCCATTACTAAGGTCAGCAGCACTGCATGATGCACAAAGTCTAGCTCTGAAGTATTTTCAGAATCAGCATTCACTGCCCAATTTAGCACATTGGGTCTATTGATTGTACAAACAAGGATGATGACATCTGTTTGTGATCATTTTGAACAAGTTTACTATTGCTTCCTCTGCTTCCCAACGAGTAAAAGTGAGAAAGTGAAGACATGAACTTTTTACAAGAAACCTTTGAAATGTATAAGAAAGCCAGTGGATATAGAATCAAACTGAAGAAAATATACACTTATGTTCTTTTCAATATTCACGTACACAAACAAAAGGCATTTTGGGGATAATTGTAATCTGGAAAATCTAGACGTTCACATCAACTACATTTTTTACTTTATGTGATTATAAGCCAATTTTATATTAACGATGTATATACTTACGTGAGTTTTACCACTTCCAGTTTGCCCATAGGCAAAACAAGTAGCCATTCCCCGCTCGAATATTGTCTGCACTAAAGGTCCTGCTGAAAGTCTGATCAAACCAGAAGGCAGAAATGAATATACAGGATGACCCTGTTATATGGCACCTCTTTAGGCAGAAGTTTGCCAGTCTCACACAGGGGCAAGGTCAGTGGCAATCTGACAACATGGAAGTGTGACTGGTAGCCATTTTTCCCCTCCACATGCTAGTTATTACACAGGGAGTAAATTAAATTTATAATTTTTAAAAAATCCAAGCACCAGGTTTGCCTTAAGAGCTGGGAAATTACCAACTTGAAGTTCATGTTTATTTTGGCGATGTCAATCAAAAAAACAAAAAGTTACTGAAGGTGTAGTGGTATTTGGAAACAACAAGAACAACTTGCATTTATAGATCTTTCCAGAGTTGTTTGGATCTGGAATGCATTGCCTGAAAGTGGTGGAAGCCGATTCGATAACAACTTTCAAGAGTGAAGTAGATAATTATTTGGGGAGGACAAGTTTGCAGGGCTATGGGGAGAGCGCGGGGGAGTAGGATTGATTTGGGTAGCTCTTTTCAAAGAGCCGGCACAGACACAATGGGCCGAACGGCCTCCTCTGTACTGTATGATTCTATGATATAGCACCCTTCATGCAGAATAATGTCCCGGAGCGCTTAAACACTAACATCAGATTAGAGAAGTTTTCCCAAGTACAGCCATGTATTTATTGTTACTGGTGTTGAGATGCACTGTACCTGTAAACTTCTTCATTGTTAACATTCTCATTAAAGGCGTAGTCAAATCTGAAGCTCTGGTTCTCCAGATATTTGGTGAGGTCGACTTTCAGTTTGGGCTCATGAACCAGGACCACATTCTTGCTGGGAAGTGTAATCACATCAACCTCTTTCTTGGTCTTTTCTGTGAAAACCATAATTATACAATTACTGCTCAGTCCTAACAAGTTCTTTTGTTTGAAGCTCTGCTACTTCAGATAAACATAAGATGATATAGTCACCTACCATAAGGAATGACAATTTTGAAACTTCTCAAAGCTTTTGGGAGTGCAATATGTGGCAGTTCAGTAGATACCATTTAATATCAACCGTAAAACTTACCCATTTTACTGAGGGGACGCTTTCGGACACAAACACATATTTTGTGCACTTCTACCTGAAATAGAGTTGGAAGGTGACTAGATATATGAAGTTTATAAGGAAACAATTTTATTGCTGGAATATACAATACAAAATAAATCAAATGAAGTTGCTTCACCAATGCAAGTATTGGCAGTAGACTAAAGGTCTGTACTACTGTAATGATGTATACACTTTGCTTGGATATAAATAGACTAGTGTATTGAGACCATGGAGGACTTCCTGATTTAAGCAAATCTTGGTGCAAGAAAAATAACACTTCAATAATATAGGAAAAGCATCCGTTTCTCAACCCTCAGAAGGTCAGCAACCCAACATTTTTATATATATATATATGATAGATATGATTTCTTAGGCTAAGCATTAAGAGCCTAGCTCATAGGAATCCTGGCCAAATAGCCTTCCATGTATTTCCACATTGGAAAGTAGGGCAGGCCAGTTGTGGCAGCAGCAGATTTGGCTCAAAGACCTCAGCAAGCTGTGTGTAAATAAGCTGCATTTCTGGAAATCAATAACCTTGGTCAATATGATCTTTGGCCATTAGCACCTGAGAATGCTTGGGAATTCCAAAGTGCCTAGGCATTCCTTTAATCTATCACATCCATGTAATCTCCACCAACACCTAGTACAGTAAATTCAGTACATTAAGTAAATTGGCGGTCCGATTTTGGTCTTACTTTACTTGGCCCAAGGGCATTATCCATCTGCTTTGCTCCTTGCCTCCCATAGCATCCTTTCTCTCTTCCTCCACACCCCCCACCCTCCCAGCAAAACAGCACAAGAACGTTAGAGGAATAATCTCATTACTCACCGGATCTGCAACTGAAAGAGGACGATAGTCCAGAGTAGCTCTGAATTCTTTAATCATCTTCATGAATTCCCAATTTGGATTACTAGTGTCATATTCCTGCATTAACAAACGATTAGAGTACTACATTATTGCACTTATTCCTGGAAGACTAAAATAATTTATGCAGTTGTAGCTGCTAAGAAAGACCTTTTGCATATTATAGATACATAGGTCAAACTGAGCATTTTTAGCAGTCGGAAAAAAGTGACTACGAAACTCATACCAGGATGATTGCGTTATATTCACAGAAAAGTTGTTTCTGCTGCTAAAGAAAGAGAGAGAGGCTGTTTTCTGGACAAATGGATTCCTACCTGTGTACGCTTTTCTCTGATTTCCTGTAGTTGCATTCGCCTGTCTTGTTGTTTCTTCAATTTTTCACTTTCTTTTGTCTTTCTTGCTGTTGAGGAAGTCAAAAACAAAGCCATTACTGATGAAATCAGTATTAAAGAAACATAACAAATGTAAATCCTGGTGATGCAGCCAGCACAAATCACTCTTCCAAGTGCTTAACTTCAGAGTATTTTCATCTGGTTTCTCAATACCACTACACAATGTAGTCCATTTTATATAGACACAAATCTCGAGCAGAGTGGAGAGGGGACAGAAATTAAAATTAATGACAGATGTAGATTAATCAATCAATACTACAAAAGAATCATGAGGTGGAAAACCAAGAGAAGAATTAAGTTAAAGGGTCAATTTAAAATATATTACTAATTTAGATTTATACAGTGCCTTTCATGTCAGGAGGGCATTGCATGCGCTTGACAGTCCTGGTTTGGCACCCAAGCCGGAGGTCGGGAGGGGAAAGATGTCTGAATGGCGGTAGAAGAGGATGATCTTGAGACAATGAAAGAGGCGAGCGAGGGAGAGGGCGCGTTGGAGGGATTCTGGGATGTAATAATTAAAAAACTTAAAATACTCTTTTGGTATCCAAAAGAAGACTTAGCATCCTCTCCATCAGATTAAAATGTTAAAACATGTAGTTTATCACCATGAATCCAAAATAACCAGATAATGTTAAAAAGGAAATATTAAACACCTCAACTGTTACATGATCTCTAATGTTAAATAGATTTATATCTGGACATGACAGACCTTATTCTCTGGAGAACATGTCAGAGATGGGGTGGGAAAAGACATATATAATCTCCAGCTTCAATAGTGCTTCGTCTTCGACTGCACATTTGGTCTTTTTCCCCTCCACACACGCTTCTAAAATCTACTCAAGTGAAAATAGCCATAACCCTCTATCCCCAAATCATCCGATGTACAGGTTCTAATTTGAAGAATCAGTATTTAATTGTGTCCTTTTTACCTGTGGAAATGGTTGCTCTCCTGGCTGAAACATTGGAATTTGAAAGTTCTGCATCAGCTTCTTTTTGAGTCTGTAACACGGTTGATGCCCTTGAGCGATTGGGACGTGGTACTTGAGGAAGAAAAAAGAAAAAATGTAAACCTAATTCTATCCAAACTTTTCAATAATTAATTTTCAAAATATACTCAGTTTTGAAAAATGATGCAAAGTCTTTGGTAATGTAAAATAAACCTGGCTTTCTACTGCCAAATGACAATCCCGGATCAGACATTGGGGAGGACAGGATCAGGATTTGGTGCATCTGGAGTGTGAATAGTCTGTGATGTTGCCAGAATTGCTGGTCTGAGGTCACAGAGCTATCCCAAGAAGCATGGAGACACTAACAGTGGCATCAACAAAAACATCTGGCTGGGAGGGAGACCAGACTTTTCTTTTTGATTTGGTGTCTAATACATGCAGAAACCCATCACTATGCTTGAGTGTGTCTTAACCAATCTGTGAGTTCTATATATGCTATCAACATGTATGTTGGTGTACTGTTGGGAGCTTAACCACCTATAACTGCATAGCTTGCCACCGAAAGCACCCTCTGGCACGCTCCCCAGTTCGTGTCCAGCTAGAACAACCACTTGCAGACATCGGGTGCAGAGAATAAAATTGACAATTCCAAAAAGCATGAAAAAAAATTCCAAGGAGTATTAATTTAAAAAAGGAATATCATGTGGTTTATCATGAACTCTGCTAATCCATTTTACTTCACACTAAAGGGCTCGATTCCCTTCTGAAAGGTTAAAAGTAAATACAGGGTACTCAACACCATTCATTGGACCTGCCATTGACAACTTTCTTGCACTGTAGCCATATTTCCTGCCTGCTGCTGAATGCACAGCACACAGGGAGTGATGTCGTGATGGCTAGTTTGGTTTAGTACGCTACTCTAATACAGTTTTAGTTGAACTGAAATCACCATTTATAATGGGGTTCTCCTGGAGAAATGGAGTATACCCATGTCTCGCATCATTGTACTCTTACATGTAAATGTCTTACTCACTTTCACTTGGATGGGTAATCCTTTGAGCAGTCGTTACACGTCTTGAGGAGGCCTGAAAACAAATGTGAAAAAAAAGCTGCACAAGCACTTTACAGAGATAGAAATTGCATTTGCAATCGACTTACAAATTTAAAAAACTACCAGTTTTGACTTTCCCATTAAATAGCATCACAAGAAATGTTTTAGTTGATGGTGTAGAAACAGGATAAATTTAAAAATTCACTGACAACTTACCCGGGTCATCATCACAGGTTTACTTGGAGGTGGCATAATTTCCTCTGACAATTCAGGGTTTAACAGCAATAAAGTGTCGAAGTCGATCTGAAGAGGAAAGCATCTTGGATTCAGACAAGTTTTAAAAACACTTTTTTTTGAACCCAACAAACACCATGTCAATACAGGAAGGCGCCTTTTTTCTTAAACAAATTAGCTTAGGTCTGTAGTTAATTCATCACAGCGATCATTTATGGTGACAAGCGTAAAGATTTTTGGGGCTCACGACTTTTAAAAATAAGATTCTACATCTGCCCATCTGGTTTAGAAAGGCATTAAAGTGGGCAATCATGTGCCCTGATAAATACAGTATTGAATGAAAATCATTTCAAACTTTAAGAACTTTCCTTCAGTCATAAAAATGTTAATGTCCTTTTTCCGCTCAACTGAAAATTATGCATTAAGAGTTACCATCCTTGAAGACTTACTTACCTCTTTTCCTTTTTGCAAGTTATTTTCCAGCCACTCAGCTTTTACCTTAGACTGATCAGGTGAAACTGCAGTTATGTTTGCCTCATGTACCATTCCTTTTTTGTGTGGGAGAGAGTCAACAATTAAAGTAATTAACCAAATCCATAACTTTGAAACATACAACAACAAAATTACATTTTTATAGCGCCTTTTTGGGAGGACGTGAAAGAAAAGCAAATTAAAAACAAAAAAGCAAATACAAAGAAAAGCAAGGTACAGTAGAAGCCCCTTACAGCTGACACATTGGACCCGGGAGTTTTGTCCAGTTTAAGCGTCCCTGCCGCTTAAGCTGGACAAAACACCTGGCCTGAAGTTCCTCTTGCCTCCTACCTTCCTGCCCAGAAGAGCAACAACTCTGGCGGAGGCAGCACCTCCTGCCCATTGCACAGGCAGGGGATCAATTAGTGGTGGCTCATAAGTGATCGACACCTCGGAGCCGCCACAAATTGGTCCCTTTACGTCCACCGGATGCAGTCACTGCCCCCACCTTTCCCTCACTGGCTGCTGCTTATTGATAGGACTAGGGTGCTGTATCAAGCGAGAAGACAGTTTCGATAACCAGGCACGGCGAAACATTAGGCAAGTTTCCTTACTTCACATGCCTGTTTACCTCGCAGGAACCCGGTTATTTGCTTGTGGGACACTTCTGTGCGCAATTGGCTGCCGCCAAGGTTACAACCCCAGCCAAGGTTACTATTTTGAGCTACTTACCAAGCTTTCAAAAACAATTTAGTTTGCCAGAAGCAGACTCTCACCCTGTACCACATCCAGAGAAATTCAAATGGATACTATGCAGTTTCACAATCTTTATCATTTCATGAGGAAGCCACTGTGACATCATAAAGCAGCTTAACTACCTTCAGCGTTAAGGAACAAAACAAAGTAAAAGGAATGTGGGAACAAATTAACCATTTCACAGTAACTGTACTTCCTTTCCCCCAGGATTTTCACATAATGAAACCCCATTCCCTGCCAACTTGATCTTCTCTGTGGAATTTCAAGACTTTAGAACTGGTCTTGCTCGGTGTCGCTTAACATTAAATATACAGTCAATTCACTTTACTGAAAACTCTGCGAAGCGCTTTGAGATGTCTCGATGACGTGATAAGACGCTGTATCAGCAGTCTTAGAATATATTGTCAAAATGCAACGATTATTATTATTATCATGACTCCTCTCTCTTCCTTCCTCTCCCCCCCCCCCCTACGCTCTTGGTGTCCTGCACTACACATCGGGACGTCCTCCCGACGCGAAAGGCGCTTTACAAATGTAATCTTGTTGTTGTTGTTGTCGTCGTCGCAGGTCTTGAGCCGCAGTGGGGAGTATTTCTCAATTTGGGGATTGGGCCCCAGTTGGGGGACGCTGCCGCGATTAACAACAAATTACATTTCGTATAGAGCCTTCCAAGTCAGGAAGGGCGTCCCAGTGAAACAGCCAGTGGGGTGCACCTGAAAGTCAACCCCCATCCCACACACACCCCCCCCCACGCCTTCAGAGAGCAGCACCAGACCGGCGTCGTCGTCACGTCACGTCGCGTGGCGTCACGTCACGCTTGCCGGCCGACCAATCACCGCGGGGCTCTGGCGAGGCGGTCACCGACGTCACGAGGGGGGCGGGTGGGCGCGGACAATTCGAAAAGACGAGAAGGAATAACCGACGTCTCCAGCGCGCATGTGCACCGGCTCCGCCCGTTCGGGTGCTTTTTGCCTGTATTGTCGATTGATTTGGGAACGGGATATATGTGTGTGTGTGTGTATACATATATATATATATATAAAAAATCCAGTTGGCAAAAACCGAGAGAGAGAGAAATACTACTGCTAATACCGTTGCACAGACATATCCAGAGGTGGAAAGGCGATACGACAGGAGACGGGACAGTCGCAACAGCAAACGTGAGGTGAAGAGGGTGCGACTTCGAACGATTTGCGTCGGACATTGAAGATGTGCGCGGGCTTTCGGGTCGGGAGGCCGTCTCGAAGCGTTTCCACTCGTTCACTCGACACGAAGCTGCACCAAGAGCCCACCCTACACCCCCCCACACCCCCCACCCCCTAAAAAAAAACCTGCAGTAAAATCCGTTTCAAACCGACTCTCTCTCCCCCCCCCACTCCCCCTCACAGGGTATCAGCCACAAGTTAATGTTAAGTTTAATATCAGGAACTTTTTTTTTTGAGAAACAACAACTCACCGTCACTGCGCTGGATTTTGACAACAATTCCAACCTGGACCCTCGGATTAACGGCCGCCATTGTTCCGTTTGCTTGTGCCAACGTTTACGACCGTTAACGGCTGTTCTCGCCGCCCGCCACCAACCGACAAAATTTCAAACCTTGCCAGGCTCGGAGCATGCGCAGCGCCACCCGACGCGCCGCCGCCGCCGCACGCGCGTCCGCGCGCGCAATTTAAAGGCGCAGGTACCCGGGGACCCTTAAAGGGACACTCTTTCAGACGACAACTTGCACTTTGGACCACACTTACTCGCCACAAATAAATCAACGAATGAATGGCGAGAGCATTTGCTCACGTTTCCACCAGCGGCGTAGATGTGGAGTGAACGTCCCGTCCCCCATGTGAAAGGCGCTACACGAATGTAATTTGTTGGAACTGTTCTCCGCAGCCCTTTGAAAAGTTTCATATTGTAGGCTGGTCGCGTATCGGTTAAGAGTTCTCGCTTCCAAGTGGGAAGACTCTGGTTCGTTAAAAGTCGGTTCATTTCGACCGACCTCTCTCTCAATGAGTTTGTTGCGTCTTAAAAAAAGTAGAAATGCAATTACTGCAAATGGGCACTCGCTTCCGAACTTGTGCCGCAATGATCGAGTGGAACAATACTCGCAGAGCAAATGCTCCCAGCTCAGCTGACGAGTTCTACTTGTGACAGGAACCTGATATAATTGTGTGCGAGACTGATGCTCTTAGTGTCTCATTACACCCGAAAAACAGTCAATTCACTTTACAGTATATCCTGTGAAGCATTTTGATATTTCCCAACGACATAAGGCACGATATCAAATGCATTAATATTACAAGGTAGGCTTGTGAGTAACTCACTTGTTGGATATGAGCAACCAACCAGGGTATATATATATTTTTTAAAAAATTGCTGCATGGCTTGGCATATACTCACACTAAAAAGTTTTAATTCAGAAGCTACAGGAGTAACTGGTGTGCGAAATAGAACCACCAGTCCAAAAGGTGTTCTGAGAGTAACATCAAGAGGCCTCTGAACTTTTACCAACATAAACTGTGAGGCATTCAATTTGTTTAAAAAGTATATTTTTGTTTCCAGTCCTCACTATTATATCATAGCATGATTGTAAGTCCAGTGCTGAATGATGACTAACCTTCACAAACGGACCCAAGATGCACACACCCCTGCTCAACTCGTGTCAATTTAGTACACAACTCCAGATTTGATCACTCCCAATGAGTTACTAATAGCAGGAGGATCAAAACAGTACTAGCTCTACTCCATGTCCTTTTGAAAATTGCTCAGACTTGAAGCTCAAATGTACAGAGGAAGATACTGAAGTTGTTGCTTTGCCAGTCACTATAATGAAGATTTAAACATCCTTTAATGTTTAAAGAATTAAAGCTAAGCCACTCTTAAGTTAGTACTCGCCTGCCGGCTAAACCTGCCAGTGTAGGGTGTACATACATCCTTCCTCCTCCCAGCAATGAAGGAATCTGCTTTATGTCTGAAATAACTAAGTTTGACAAGTTCTGCTAACTGTACCAATTTGATTAAACACCAATACCTTTGATTAAAATAGTTTTATTTTTGAATCAAGGAAATAACCATTGTGTTAACAGATTCACACACATACTTCCCTATCACATAGCAAAGACAAAAGGTGGAATGCTTTTCATCAACATTTTCCACAATACATCTTGATCTCAGAACTTCAACTCCTTTCTTCAAAGCTTTTTTCATCTGTCACCACTGTCCAATCTTTGACATGAAAGGTAAATGAAAAAGTTAAGATTCATCCAATTAAATCTTACTCATTTTCACCATTAAACATCTATCTGGATTAAAAGTGCATGAAAGCTCTTCAGGCAAAATCATAGTGATAAACCAAATTAAAAACAACTGTTTCAAATCAAACACAAGGCTTTTACAATAGTTACCTCCAGGCAGCGTTTCACTAACCAGCACTAAACAATGGTCAATTCTGTGGCGCCAGTTTATTTTTCGTAAAAATAAGGATCAACTTTACAATCCTATTGTCTTCCTCAGATCCACGGTATCGTCACTTTAATTTCAGTAGCAGAACTGGACAAAGATTTTCATCACAAGAAGACAAGGTGATTCTCTCATTTTGTACATCAATCTGAAATTTATATAATGGCTGCCACAAGTTCACATCAGACTTGTTAGTAATCTTAACCTTCCCATACATGCAGAGATGCTGGTAGAAAACCCAATGGGCACAATGCAATTTCTTTAGATCAAAAAAAAACTTACCATAGCTTTTAATAGCAACATCTGATTTGTACCAAAGCGGCTCCAGATGCCTCACTTTCATTAGTCTGTGTGGATTAACCTAAAATAAAAATTTAAATACAGCAATGAATAAAGTTCCCCAGGCAAAACATTTACTAACTTGGCTAAAAGGATTGGAAGCTATCAGTGATGAAAACAGCTTTTAGAAACAAGCAGGAATATAGACTATATAAATACTATTCTTTTTCTGGTAGTAAAATGAATTGCTCAGGCAATAGTCAGTGTAACTATGACAAAGCAGCATTGGTGGGTTTAAATAAGACCAAAACGGTCAAAAGTAACCCACCTATATCAAAGTCGGGTGTTCATCATCCATATTGCCACACAATAAAACTTCCAGAAATTAATTTAATATGTTGGATGCCACTAATCACGCAGAACTGCAATATTATTAAGTTTTATTTTACATTTAGTTAAAACCTCAGAAATTGCCACTTTAATGGTGTAGGCTTAACAATCCTGCTTCCTTACACCCAATTAAGTCGTCTATGACTAGAATCCCCACCTGGGCGAAAGAAGGCACGCGTACCCCCACAGCTTGGCGGCTTTATGTCTGAACTCGTGCTATCCTCAGTCATGCACCACTTCTTCCTGGACAAAATAAGACAGGGTGCCAGACATCTATCCTCATTGAACATCAGGAAGCGATGAAAATTAGCTGTAAGGCTGAAGCCTACATTGATGATCCTAGTTCGTGTTTGCTGCCTGAAAAAGTATTTTTTATAATTAGTCCTGCATCCGCAAAAGACCAGCTTCCCAAGAACCAAAAAAACACATTTTATTCATCTAATTTGGATCTTCTCACTGAAGCAATGCAAATCTTCAGAAATGCAACCAAAAAGACTTCACTTAAGATTTCAGGTTTTTTGCAAGTCTTCCTCAGATCACTAGTATCATCGCTTAAACTTCAGTAGCAGAACTGGACAAAGTTATCATCATTAGAAGACTCAAAATATTTAAGATAATGCCTGATTCAAATGATGCAACAGGAAGCTACAAGATTGTCAGACATCCATTTGGCAATTAACACCCAAGCACTCTACTCATTAAACATTAAGAAATTAAATTATAAAAAAAATAAACTTTAAATTCAATCCATGACTGTTTGTGGGACATTGCTGTGAGCAATTGGCTGCCGCGTTTCACCCACAAATATAGTCAATTCACTTTACAGTATTTTCTGTGAAGCGCTTTGAGAAGTTTAAAAGATGTGAAAAGCTCTATATCAAATGCAAGGATTATTATTATCTGGGGCAAGCCAAGTGGTTGCTGTCACGCATAGGCTTTGACAGTCCTAAAAATCAAAGCACTGGGCCCGCCTAACTCAAATTTCTAAATGGCCATTTGGCCAAGGTGTCTGGAGGGTTCCTAGCACTAATTCCCACCGAAATAACTGCAACCACAGCAAACAAACAAAAAACTTACACTCAAAAGCCGCAAAAAACATTTCCAGAATCCAATCGCAGTCCTCAGTATTTCTTATTACCATCATGGACAGTGTGGCCCAATCTGCAGATACAAAATTTCAAATCCATCACTAAACTTACAATGGACTTTTCCAGCGGATCAATAACAGGCACATAAGAGGATCAAGTACACAACAGCTCAGAACCTGCAATTTACAAACTCCTGACAAAACAAAGCCTCTTTCCTGTAAACTGAACTTGTTAACAGATTATTGTACACTGTGCAAAATAAGAAGCCTCAGAATTGGGGCTAATTAGTCAACATTGCTTAATTGTGTCTTCGTTTTGTTGTATTTTACTTTATAATGTAAATTAAACATTGATCTCAAATTCAGTTTCAGGGCCCCTCTAAAGTGCTAACTAAGGGTAGGTTTCACAACATCCAATCGTTTGAAAAATTATTTTGTTTGCTAGCTTCCCTCAACAGGATAAATTTGTCCCCAACCTTCGAAAGGGAGAAGCCATGGGTTAAAGCTCAGCCCTTCTGCAAGCTGGAGTTTAATCTTGCACAAGAATGAAACTTCAAGACCTCAAGTTGGCCAACAAGTCACTTAGTTGTGCACACGAGTTACCATATTTGCTAAAAAAAATAATAATTCCAAAATGGAACTTTGAAATGAAATGAAAGCCACGAATATCTCCAGAAAGCAACACATAACAGCCATTGCATATTTCAATCACCATTTAACCCGACAAAGAGTGTTTGCTAAATTCTCAACAAAAAATGTTGCATTCTTTTATAGTGTATCCTGTTGCGTATGTATAGAGTTGTCCTAATCACATTAGAGTACATTCATGAATGCACAAAGGGATCCAGAAACAAACTATTGAACTGCAGATAGCTCAAAAAGCAACTAACCTGACTAAGGGGCAGTTGAACTATTTGGTTTAAGGGCACCATCTTTGTTCACAACCACGGAGCTTTCCCTGCTAGAATGGTCTCAAGAAGTGGGCTGATCTAGAAGTGGCCCAAATTGCAGATGCAATATTTCAAATCCATCACTAAACATACTATCGATATATTCAGAGCTCTATACAAGCAATATAACACAGATTTGCTCTTGGAAAACTTAATAATTACCATACACATGTGGCCAACGACAGTTAAGTTCATAATTTCTCTGGTATGGTTTTCTTTTTCTCCAATCCTGAGGCATTTGTGCCAACTGTCCCAGACACACCTGCAATAAGTCACAAAGTTAAAATGCAATCCTAAATTGAAAATTAGACAATGAACATAAAGTCAGCAAGTGTTCAGCTCTCCAAGATAGCTCTCCACAGCTTAGTTCAGAGTTTCACAGCAGTTGGGGTTCATCATTCACACTTGCTGATTTGTAACCATACAAACACAATTTACATTTTACAGCACCTTTCAAATCCATTATTAAACATACTATAGACTTTCACAGTAACAAGTGCTCTTGATGTATTCAGTGCTGTATCTAAACAAGCAATACAACAGATCTGCTCTTTGATAACCTAATAATTACCATACACATGCAGCCAACAACGATCAGGTTCAAGATTTCTCTGTTTGTGGAATGGTTTCCTTTTGCCTCAAGTCCTGTGGCATTCGTGCCAATTGTCCCAGAAACACCTGCAATAAGTCACAAAATTAAAATGCAATCCTAAAATGAAAATTAGACAATGAACATAGTCAGCAAGTGTTCAGCTCTCCAAGATAACTCTCCACACGGTAAGTTCAGAGTTTCACAGCAATTAAGGTTCATCATTCACACTTGCTGATCTGTAACCGTACAACACAGCCAACATTTATACTGAGGCTTTTACATTGGGAGGACATCTCACAAGTGCCCAACAGTGAAAAATGCTCCCAAGAAGTCACCCCCACCCATGAATGTCACATACAATCAGGGTACTATCCAGAACCAAGAGTTGGTAACCTACTTTATGTTTCAAATAACTACAATCCAACTTTCAAGTCTTTGCACGTTGCAAATTTAAAATTTACTCCATTGAGGCGTTTAAAACACTTTTTTGCATTTTCTGAGATTGTGGAGTCCTGTAGCTCAGTGGTTAGAGCACTCACTTTGCAAGCGAGAGACCCGAGTTCAATTACAGGCAAAGGGCGAAACCTTGGGCAAGTTTCCTTACTCCACACAGAGCCTAATAATAATCCCTCCAAAAAAACAAAAAATAATAAATTGGTCATTTTCAATCTATGACTGTTTGTGGGACATTGCTGTGCGCAATTGGCTGCCGCGTTCGCCCACAAATATACAGTCAATTCACTTTACAGTGTGTTCTGTGAAGCGCTTTGGGACGTCTAGAAGACTAGAAAAGCGCTATATCAAATGCAAGGATTATTATCTGATCAATTAAAGATGCAATGTACATGATTCAGCTTATTCAACTTAAATGGTGAGAGGGTGCTTCATTTTGCACCATCATCCCTCCTCATGTTATACAGTTTTCAACTATTTAACAGCATTTTATATGGCAGCCTATGTAAAATAATTGTAATTACTCACAATTTATCACTTTCCTAACGGCTTTGGATTCAAATGTGCACACAAGGCAATCCTCCAAAACAAGTAGCAACTGTCTAGTTTACAATCTGTCCCCACGGGCATCCAACACGTGGCAGCCCAAGAGGAGAAAAGACTGGCCCCTAAAAGTCAGATCAGAATGCCTTTGAAGCAGCTCCGCTCTTCCTTAACCCAATTAATAATTATGAGAATTAATCAATTGCCCCAACAACAATAAGTACGTTCTTCTGTAACTCCCCCCCGGACAAAGTATGCATGTGTACCCCATAGCTTGGCATGGAGGCGTGATGTCTGAACTCATGCCGCCCACAGTCCTGCAGCACAGCACTTCTTCCTGGACAAAATAGGTGAAGGTTTCGCAGCCATCCATCCTCCTCGATCACCAGGAAGCGATGAAAATTAGCTTCAAGACGTAGGGCTACGCGGACGACCCAAGTTCGAGTTTGCTGCCTGAAAAAGTATTTTACAAGGAAGAAAAAAAATATATTCCTGGACCTGCAAAGAACAGACTGCCCAAGAACGAGAGGCTGCACCCAAAACACATGCGCTGTGCACCTCATCGGGATCTTCCCACTGAAGCGATGCAAATCCTCAGAAAGTCAAACAAAAAGACTCGACGTGTGGGATTTTAGGGTCTTTTTGCGAGTCTTCCTCAGATAACTCCCCCCCACCCCCCCCCCCGCCTCCCGCCGCCCACTCTCGGGGAGAAGCTTCTCTCGAGCCTCCTCTTTTGTCCCTACAAAACCCCACAGAAGGCGGTGTTACAATGACCGTCGTCCTCGTCTCCCCCCCTAACCCTAACCCTGACCCCCGCCCCCGCCCGCCCGAGTCAGCAGCGAGTCCGCGAGCGCTCAGCCGAAGGCAAAGCCCTCCCTCACGGTGTCGGCTCAAGAGGTCTCGCCATCTTTTTGCATCGCTGCACTTTGCTGCATCACTGATGAAGGGCGGAACAGCCGCTTGGGGAGCGCCCCCCCCCCCTCCCGGGGCCTCAGGCTCGAGCGGGAAGGAAGGCCCCGGCGCCATCTTACACCCCACCCCCCGCCGACCCCGTGCGGCCCAGGCCCGGCCCCAGCCTCGGCCTCTCCAGCGGAGCGAGGAGGGCTCGACTGTTTAGGGGGTCCAATCCCTGGCGGGAAGCTCCGAGAAGTTCTTACCTCGGCCTCGGGCTGGATTTTTCCCTCCGCGGTGTCGTCGCTGAGGGAACCGCGGGACACCCCCGTCCCGGAGCGCGAGCGGCGGCCGGAGAGACCGGGGAGGCGCCGCGAGGCCCCCTTTATACCCTGGCGGAAGCCACGTCACCACCCTCCACCACGTGACTTTCCAGAGTCCAGGCAATGGGGGGGGTGAGGGGTGAGGTCCCAGAGCCCCACAGATAATAATAATAATAATAAATAATAATATATAACACACACACACACACACAGAGAGGGGGACTGTGCACAACGTCTCTTAATAATTATTAAATAAATGATTTTTTTTTCAGGGCAAACAGGTTCTCGCTGAAAACTAAGGCGCTTTTGGTCACCCGCTACAGTGTGGGGACGCGGGTCATCCCGGACTTTGCGGTCGGCCTCACAAGTTCTTTCGATTTCTTTCTCTTTAACACACAAGACCCGCCCGTAGCGCCCCTCATGACGGGGCTTTGCGCAGACCGGGCAAATAGGGGTCGCGCAGTGGGAGTTGAAAAGGGCGACGGTTAATCCGGCCAATCGCTAAGGAAACATCGGATGATATCGACAACAGGATTACATTTGTGTGGCGCCTTTCGTGTCGGGAGGACGTCCCAAGGCGCTGGACAGTGTACAGCATTTCAGATCCGAGCTGGGGTCAGGGGGGGGCAGAAGGGGGGGGGGTGGCCGATGGCACAGTCGAAGAGGAGGGTCTTGAGGTGGGACTTGAAGGAGGCTAAGGAGGAGGCGAGGCGGAGTGACTGGGGGATGGAATTCCAGAGGTTGGGGGTAGAGTGGTTGAAGGCTCTCCCGCCAATGGTGGGGCGGGCGGGTCAGGGTTGGGAACTGAACCGGTGGATAAGGAGCGCTTGATGACGTCGGACAGGAGAGAGGCCAGAAGGTGGAGTTGGGCGGAGGTGGGGATGGGATCGAGGGAGCAGGTGGTGGGTTTGAGTTTGCAGACAGTCGTGGTGAGGGAGGAGGAAGAGATAGGGTCGAAGGAGCATAGGGAGGGATGGGTCATGAAGGAGAGGTGATGTGGAGTTGGCTGAACTTATACCCTCCATTTTAGATTCGAGGAAGTCCAGCATCTCCTCACAGTTGGGAATATTAAAATAAAGTTTATTTTTAGCCCAATCAAAAGCAAAATACAAATAGCTTACAGCACATTTTCAAAGCGCAATTACACAAATGTTTCAGGTGTACGATCAGCAACTTTTATTTCTTATAAATCCTAACTCAAATGTGGCAACGTACTTGGAAGGGGTGGAACTGAACTTAATGGTTTGCTGTTAAAAAAAATGTAAATAATATTTCATACAATGCATTCATGATTTTTTTTAAGATGAACATTAAGACTTCACGGACAGATTCTCTTACAAGATTAGTTGTTAAGAATTCTTGTGTCGGTAGTTGGCACACAAAGCAGTAATAAAATTGTGTTGTTACAATCATAAGGGATTTGGGCTCATTGCAGAATGATTCACTAAACTCTGTAGTGTATCGGTCTAATTTGAGGCCACCTTGAATATTCTGCAGGGGACAACCCAATGCTTAGTTTGTGTGAATATAGTTCATTGAAGCTGCACTGACTATGGTGGGATGGGCAGGCCAGAGCGTGCCAGGCAGAGGGAGGAAACAGGCAGGGCAGAGGTTGGGAGCAACAAGCACCTTGCCACATAGACATCTCAATGTGCTTCACAGTATTTTACTTGTAGGCAAAGGGCATTTAAAGCTAAGAGTTAAGGTCCTAAAACAATCTGCCGGTCGATAGCGAGCCAAGGATGCACCCATGGAGTTTTATGTGGGATAAGGGCAAGCAGCATTCTAATTCGTGGAGGGTAGCGCTGTATAGACCAACGAGCAGGGAATTAGAAAAATCAAATGCAGAGGCGATTGTAGATAAGGGTTTGTAATGTTGTAATCTTGTTGTTGTTGAAGGGTTTCAACTGCATGTTAGCAGATGGACTCGAGGGTCAAACACAAAGCGTCCTACACAGGCTCAGCGAGTTGGAAGTCAGCAACCAGTGAGATCATTAGTTACTCTTGGGAGTATGTATTCTGGTCACAATTGAGTGACCTACACAACAGCTCAGAAGTTGTAATTTACAAACTCCCAACAAATCAGTCTTTCCTGTAAACTGAACTGGTCAAGATTGTTGGACAGTATGTAAAATAAGTGGTCAGAATTGGGGCTAATTAATCAACAATGCTTACTTATACCTTTCCTATTTTGTAGTATTGTGTTTTTTGCACTTTAATGTAAATTAAATGTTGATCTCTAATCTCATTTCTGGACTTCTAAAGCGCAAGCTGTGAGCGCAGGTAGCTTTGACAACATGTAACCTTTTTGAAAAATGTGTTTTGCTCATTTCCCACAAGAGGGAACAATTATCCCCAGCCTTCGAAAGGGAGCAAGCCACAGGTTAAAGCTCATCCCATCTGCAAACTGAAGTTTAATCTTGCACAAGAATGAAACCTCAAGGCCACAAGTAGGCTATCAAGTCACTTAGTTGTGCATATCAGCTACAATATTTGCCACATCTAAGAACAGAATTCTTCATCAGTATTTTAGAATGATTACCCACACAGTATTAGAAAAAGTCAATGTAATAATAGGGTTAAAGCTTAGTTTCTGAAAAAATATTTTGTTGATTGTATGTTGGGAGTAGGCAAAACATACACAGTATACCTTTCTGTCCTTCAGAAAAGAACCAGACAAAATTGGGTGAAAAATGGGTTTATTAAGATCTCATTTTCTTGCAAACATGTTTATTTGCCTTTTTTGGCTCTGATCTTTCTCAAATAGAATTCCAGCTCTTTTCCTTCAAGAATATAGCCATCGGCTCTGCCACACTGACCAGGTCTTGAAGCTATGCAAGCTGGAAGAGAATATCACAAATTAACCATGGTAAACAATTCATATGTAACATTGAATACACGATAACTTCAGGCACCATTATCAACACTCTTACACTTTTGCAATATTGGATACTTGCTCTCCCACTGACCAAAATATTGAATCTTAGCAGAGATTCAGCAATTTAATTTCTCCTCCCATGGTTTGTAATCCTTAATAAATTTACTCAAATCTAAAATACTATTTTAAATTCAGGACAATAAAGGGCTCACCAGCAGGGACTTACTAAAACTCAGGTATATTATCAGAAAGCAATACATAAGTCGTTGCACATTTGAACCACAATTCAACCCAATAAGAGAGTTTGGTAAATTCTCAACAGAAAAACGCAGTCTTAAAACAGCGTATTCTCCTGCTGCAAATGTACCAGTAACTACTAATGTACATTAGTGAATGCACAAAGGAATCCAGAAACAAAACAGTGAACTGTCGGTATTCTCTTGTGAGGTGGGAGTTAAGAGGGGTCTCCTTGGAGCCGAACCGGCTCCAAGGTGACATGCTTGGCATCGGAATGTTGGATTCAAGTCAGCCCTCTGGCATTTCGGTAGTCCAGTTCCTGAGCCAGGATTACTGTTGACAGCACAGGATCTGGAAGGGCAGACCAAGAGTCATCCCATTCAGCCCATTAACCCTATAAGCCAAAGCTCTAACAATTACAGCAGTCCGACAAGCAGTGGGAAAGGTTGCAATATCAGCAATATCAATGGCAAGCTATGTGGTTTTAGCTGGTTAGACTCTAGTACTACCCCAAAGCACACTCTGGGGTCTCCAAGCCATGGCTCTTGTCAACCTTTTGCCTAATACTTTCCAGAAGCACGTTGTGTCCCTCCAGAGAGAGAGTGTGCATTCCCTCCAAACAATCTATCTCTGGGATTTCCATACATAGTTGGGATCCATGGAATTCTCAGCTTGGTTCGGATACTCTTAAACATGGTGATGGGTTTCCTCATGTGTCAAGACACCTGGCTGACCCAAAAAAAACTTCAGGTACCTCACAAAGCAACCAACCTGATTAAGGTTAGTTGAATTAATTGGTTTAAAGGCACCGTTTTTGCTCACTCACCAAGGAGTTTCCCCTGCTGGAACTGTTCCTCTAGCAGCGGGCTGATCTTTGCAGTCTTTCGACGTTCATCATATTTCTTTTGAATCTTCTTTGATCTCTTCTTGTTTAAGATCTCCTCTTCTTCTGGAGTCTGAAATCAGTCACAAGGTTGACCATGAGAACACTCAAAGAGTTGCTATTAAAAAGTATGTTACCAGTTAGTACAATCAGACCAATACCAGATATTCAAGTCCAAGCTATGAAATTTTCATTTTTTTCTTGCTATAACCAAATATTCCACAAATGTTAAATGTACAAACTAAATTATGCACAATGGTTTATGAACAGACCCACAATAAATTAATGGGAGCCCCATTAGAATATTATGTGTTCTACTGCTCACCAAATAAAGAGCCTGAGCCAAAAAGCACATTCATTAGTATCTTCTCATTGAACCGCTACCATCAATAAGATCTTCAGAGATTCAAAGCTATATTAATTCAATCAAAAATACATCACTCTTAAGTTATCATCATTAAAAGATTAAAAATATTTGTTAAGTCAAGAATGCACACCATACTTTATTCAAGATGATAAAGCAAACCAGGAGCTGTAATATTGACAACACTCTTGGATTTGGGTAAATGGCACAATCATATATAGCTGCCTTTAAAAGATGGCTCTACCCCACTAGATATTCAGAGGCATTCAAATGGTGTTTTATGACATGCAGGTTTCGACAGGTTACTGTGGAACACCCAACACAGAAAACCTGTTTATTTTCTCCCATGTACCATCCAGATGGCATCAGATTGATTAATTAACAAGAGGAATGGGAGCATCTCACCTGCCTGGTTTAATAATGAAAATCCTTGCATTTGATATAGCGCTTTTCACGTCCTCTAGACATCTCAAAGTGTTTCACAGAATAGACTGTAAAGTGAATTGACCGTATATTTGTGGGAGAAATGCAGCAGCCAATTGCGCACAGCAGTGTGCCACAAGCAGTCGTGGATTGAAAGGACCAATTTATTATTTTTTTATTGAGGGATTATTATCGGGCGTGTGGTGTAGGAAATTTGCCCAGGGTTTCACCCAGCCGGGAATTGAACCCAGGTCTCTCGCTTGCAAACCCGAGCTACAGGACTCGACATACAGGTTTATGTTGCTCAGTGCCACCCAATGCAATTAGCCCCAGTCACAGTGAAAATCATTAGCAATATCTGTATTGTACTACTGCAATAAGAATATACCAAAGCGAAAGTCAGTACAACCTGTTGCTACAAGAGTTCAGCTTTAGATCAATTCAATAGATGCTCCACATACCAGCTTAGCTCCCTTCTTGCGACCAAGGGGAAGGACAAAGTGCGACTCGTACCACTGTCTGAAGGGAGTACTGTCAATCAGAACAATACAGTTCTTCACCAGGGTCTTTGTCCTCACCAACTCATTGTTGGAGGCATTGTAGACCACGTCAATAATCCTAGTTTTACGTGTGCTGCCTGAAAAAGTATATTAAAAAATTAGTCTCCACCTGTAAGGGACCAGTTTCCCCAAGAACCACAAAGGCTCCGCACAAAAAATATGTTCGATACATATACATTTGGATCTTCTCACTGAAGCAATGCAAATCTTCAGAAATTCAATCAAAAAGACTTCACTTTTACGATTTTAGGTCTTTTTGCAAGTCTTCCTCAGATCACTAGTATCATCGCTTAAACTTCAGTAGCAGAACTGGACAAAGTTATCATCATTAGAAGACTCAAAATATTTAAGATGACAATGCTTAATTCAAGATGCTACATCAAACCAAGAAGCTGCAGCATTGTCAAAACATTTATTTGCGTGAGTACCCAACATACATGGCTGTTGTCAGATTTCTCAGCTCCTCTGGCTCCCTACCATTGAATGAATCGATTTCAAGATCCTCACACTCATTTTCAATACCCTCATGCCCTGGTACCTCCCTACCCACTCCCTCTGGCCTCCTGCATTTCTATTGTGGCCCTCGGTTCCACCATCAGTGGCCGGGCTTTCAGCCACTGCTCCCCTAAACTCTGGAACATATTCCTCTTCCTTGCCCATCTTCAGATCGCACCTGAAGACCTTCCTCTTCAACCATGCATATGGTCCCCTCACTCCTCGTCTCTGGATTGTGCTCCACCACTGTCAAGTGCTCTGGGGTGCTACCTTGCGTGAGGGCCAACATATAAATGCAAGTTGCTGTTGTAACTGAAATGGTCTCCTCTCATGTGTAGGCTTTGACAGTTCTAAAATCAAGCATGGAGCTTGCCAAACTCAAACCTCTTAACATAGAAAGAATGACCATGTGAATTTATTATTGGAGAGTTCCGACCACCAATTCTCTGAAATACCTGTAACCTCAGCAAACACAATAAAAAAAACCTTACACTCAGAGCCCCAAGAAAAGTTGCCAACATCCAGTCGCAGAGCTCGGTATTTCTTATTGCCACCACGGACTCTCACTGTGTGGATGCGACGTGGCCCAATCTGTAGATACAAGATTTCAGATCAGTCACTAAATATAATATAGACTTTCAGAGTGGATTCATTATAGGCACAGAAGAGTATCAGATGTTCTTGATGTATTCAGAGCTCTATCTACACAAAACATAGATCTGTTCTTTGATAACTACATAAATACTGTACACATGCAACATTTTTAGAACAGCATCTCTCCCAATCCACCTCCCAAACATCTCTATCCATGTATGAATCCAACATTTATAATAATCCTTTTATTTCATGTCTTCAGGGAATTTATTGTAAAGACTGTGTGTCTTGTAGGCAAGAAAACTGAAACTGCATTGTAAGCCACTGTTTTGCACCACAAGAAATTAAGGGAAATTGCTCCAGTTCCTAATACCTTGGTATTTGCAGGAGGACGGCCAAGTTCATACTTTCTCTTTTTGTGGTATGGTTTTCGTTTGCCTCCAGTCTTGCGGCGTTTGTGCCAATTGTCCCTGGAAATACCTGCAATAAGTCACAAGGTTAAAATGCAATCCTGAACTGAAACCTGGACAATGAACATGAAGTCAGCAAGTGTTCAGCTCTCCAAGATAGCTCTCCACAGGGTGAGTTCAGAGTTTCACAGCAATTTAAGCGTCATCATTCACACTTGCTGCTTTGTAACCACGCAATCCAATTCACATTTATATAACGACTTCCATGTCGGGAGGATGTCCCATAAGCACTTAATAGTGTAAAAAGGTCCTAGAATGGCTCCCCCCACCCGAAAAAAAAAGAAAAGACACACCAAGAAGAGGGTACTATTCAGAAACAACAAGAGGTTTGGACATAATATAAAGGTATACCTTTATTATATACTATATATATATTATATTGGAAGGTATACCAACTGCTCTGGAAACTATATCGCCACCGAGGATTTTCAAAGGCAAATTAACAACGGCATTAAGCGGATCGTACACCTTTTATTACATTTCTAAACGCGAAGGCTTCCCCTTTTGTTTTCGGGGCCGCCGTGGCCGAGCAGTCTGACCCGGGGGGGGGGGGGGGGTGAAGGAGCGACTGAAAAAGTGCAGCGACGCGAGAGCCAAAGAGCCACCAGGCGGAGGGGGCGGCCTCTGGTCCCCGTCTCCTGGCGGCCTCTCGACAGCGCGCGCCGACACCGACACCGCCACCGCAGCCAACACGACTCCTCGATTAATATAGCACTGAAATGCGTCGAGTTATCCCTCTCTCTCCCTCCCTCCGCGGGCCCTGGACAGGGGTCCCGGGGTGGGGGTGGGGGTGAGGGGAGTCGCTTGTAAACGTGCAACGCCGCGGCCATGTTTACACCCCCCACCCGGTGTCCGCCCGCCCGCCCGCTCTTTTAACATCTCGAGCGAGCGCTACCGGATCCACCCCGGTCTCCGGGCCACCCCCGGCCGCTTCCCGCCGCGCTGCGGGCCGGGGGGCCGCGGGATTGACTCGGATGGCGGCGGCGGCCTCGGGCCCCCCGGAGGCAAACGTACCCATCGTCAGGCGCGGCGGCTGGAAAGAGGACGGCGCAAAGGATTCTGGGCCGCAGGTGGGCGCGCGGGCCGCGGCGCCCTCGCGAGATCTCCAGCCCCCCCCCGAGAGGGGGAGCGCTGACGTCACGGGATCGGGCCGCCGCCATCTTTGTGAGGGGCAACGACAACAACAACAACATGACCACCATCACCCACTACAATCATCACCACCACCGCCCACTACAATCATCACCGTCACCGTCATCATCATCATCATCATGATCCTTGCAATCGACACAGCTCCTGATCACATCTTCCAAAGCTCTCACGAGCGCTTCGCAGAACAGACTGTAAACGTGAACTGACGTGAAGGGGTATTTGTGGGGGAAACGCGGCAGCCAATGGCGCGCGGCGGCCTCTCCCCCTCACACCGCCGCCGCCACCACCACCGCGAGCGGCCGCGGAACGAAGCGACCGATTTTATTATTGTTTTGGGTTCTTTTTCCCCCCCCCGAAGGGGTTACCATCAGCCGCGTGGAGTAAGGAAACTCGGCCAAGGTTTCGCCCTGATCTGCCGGGAAATCGAACCCGGGTCTCTGTAACTGTAACCCACGGAGCTACAGGGACTCCACACGACAATAACAATCATCATAATCATAATAATAATAATAATCATCATCATCATCCTTGCGATTGATGCAGCTCCTTATCACGTCTTCGAAACGTCTCAAAGGGACTGACTCCGCAGAATTTTCTGTCAAAGCGAATTGACGTCGTGTATTTTGTGGGCGAAGCGCAGCAGTAGAGAGAATCGGAAAACTTCCGCAACTCTGGTTTTTGTGTAAGGGCTTTCAATAATAATAATAATAATAATAATAATCCTTGCATTTGATATAGCGCTTTTCACATCTTCAATACTGGAAGATGCACAACGACTCACGTATGCATTGCTGCCCTTCAGGGGGGATAGCGTCTCGGAGCTCTGTGTAATGGCGAGGTTGGGCATTGCACAAGGAGGGAGGGGGGATTGGCGATCATCGCGTTCAGCATTATAAGACATTCTACCACTCCAAACCCCAATCTAAACACTATTGTAACTTCACTAGATTGATTTGGATGAAGCAGGCCCGCCACAATCATTCTAATAATGTAATACGCATTGTATTTGACCCAGCGCCTTGTCACCCCGTTGAAACATATCAAAGGGCTTAACGGAATAGATTGTAAAGTGGATTGACTGTATTTTGTGGACGAAACGCGGCGGCCAATTGTGCACAGCAGCATCCCACAAACAGTCGAGGATTGAGTGACCAAAACATTTTATTGGAGTGGGGTGGGGGAGAGGAGGACGGTGAGGAGGGATTATTACCCTCAGCATGCGATTTGCCAATCGACTAATAACCAGGTTCAAACTTACTGCTCGGTAAACCGAGGCATGTGGAGTTAAGACTGACCCCCAAAAAATGAGAAAAGTAGAAAGGGTTTCTGAGAAGGGAACCAGGGTGGTTGTTTTTTTCTGCCAGTCGGGTGTCTTGACACATGTGAAAACCCATCGCCGTGCTTAACTGTCTCCAAACCAAACTGAGATTTCCATGCATCCCACCCGGACATGGAGATTCCAGAGACAGATTGTTGGAATGGAATGCTCTCTCTCTCTCTCTCTCTCCCTCCCTCCCTATGGAGGGACGTGTCCTGCTTACCTAATTCCGGAGAGTATTAGGCGCAGGTTGGCAAGAGGTCGAGGCAACAAGAAAAGACTTAAAAGAGAAGCATACAACAAATCTTAGGATAATATTATGAAAGAAAATCAGGCAGAGTATAGAAAAGATTTAGTGAAGCAAGAGATGTGTGTAATAACAGATTACTGCCATAAGATGGTGCACAATGGCTACAGTAATTGTGTACGTCTTGCACACTGCAGGAGTGTCCAGACAACACTTAAGTAACTTTATGACTACCAGGTGTCAGGACGTAACTACTGTATCCAGCGCAGTATAGTATTCAGCAAATACCATACGTATATTTTAACTATTAAAATAATGATTTTCATCGCCCTCCTGATGATTTCAACATCGGAGACAGCAAATCGAGTTATTTCCATTTTCATGTGTCAGTAACACATAAAGTGGCACGCACACTGAAACTCAGTCTGGTTTGAATACTTTTAAAGCACGGTGGTGGGTTTCCGCATATGTCAAACACCCGGCTGACAAAATATTCAGTATTGGAGACAGGAATGGAATTATTTTGCAAGGATGCAAAAGAAGAAAAGTTGCTGAAACATCAACTTGTGGGGGCTTCGTCCACCCTGGAGGTGGAGTAAGGAATTGATGCTGTTACACTCACCTACAAAATACACAGGCACTACACTTTACAGATCCTGTGAAGCACTTTGAGACATCCTTTCGACATGAAAGGCGCTATATTAAAGGCAAGGATTTTTAAAAATTAAATATTGTTCGGTGTGTGCTGCAAGACTTCCTTCATGGCTCAATTGATCAGGGGCAGTGAACTATACAAACAAGAAAGGCCTTCGTGTGGACCTCGTCTTTAATGAGTTAACTGTTCTCAATCAGAGCTGTTGCTGGGACACTACAATTGGCCTGATTGCTCTCCGTCAGTGAGGGTGGGAGGAAGACTGCTATTCAGTGACCTTTGCTGGGAAATATACTAATAGGGATTTTGGGTGAGGACAACATCCAGAGTCAGTACAGCCTCTCGGCAGTCAAGTTCCCTGCTAGTTATGTACCCTTGGTTGACGAATGGTGTATGAAGTGATGCTGGGAACTGATCTAATACAGATCTGATAAGTTAAAAGAATCCTGATAATTATACGTAGTGTCTACTGTCATGAAGCAGTGTGCAAGCAAACACACTTGCTGTCGTCACCATGTGCCACCTTGTGCCAGTCATCTGTACTACACACACCTCTCTGCTTGACAAACACACCTCATCGTTGACTGGTCTGTCCCTCCAAAGCATTAGTTCCATCATCAACAGTACCCTGGCGTACTGCAGACCTGCTCGGCTCAGGTTTCAAACTACTGAGACAGGCACAGAGGATTAACGTAATTCTGATCTCCCATTCTGGTAACTCAGCCCCAAAGAGGCCTTGCTAACTTCTCCCTCCAGAAGGATAGGATCTGATTGTGACAGTGCATTAGTGCCTCTGACAGTACACGGCCCCAGGGTGATGCAATGTTTTCTTTACCAAGCCTGACATAAGATGGGCCAGATGGCAAAGGGTAATGTTCCCATAATGCTTTATCCTGTCAGCAAGTGCTATTACTGTAATGACAGGTCAGCACCCTGACATTTCCACACCGTGTTTCATGTTTAATCCAGATTCTGCACATCTTGGCAATATTGTGCACGGTATCCGTCTGCTAATCATCACTGCCAAATTAGCTTGTTCTGCTTTGCTGAGAGTGAATGCTACATTCTCTCTGGTGAGATTGTATGACATGATGTCATGGACGCTGCCAGCAGAAGCAGGAGAGGAACACAGGGTCGAGAGGAAGTAAAGCACTGTTGGAGGTGTGCACAATCAGCACAGTTTGATTTGATTTGATGTGGATTTAAAGATCATTGTTGCACTGACGACATTAATTATTCGAATTAAAGGGGTGGGTCTTAATGCACAATATAAGGTTACTGTACATTGTTGAAATGAACTCAGTGAATGAAAAGTATCACTGTGTAAAATCTTGAGCTACTGCTTTTCATCATGCTTGATTTTGTAATTGATGCTTTTAATGAAAGCTGTGGTGGGTGGGTGCTGGCTGCAGTATCAAATAGGGTTTCCAACAGTAGAGTGGATAAGGAGTGAACTATTCACTGCAGCTATTGAAAGCTGGTGCTCCCTCAAACAATGAATAGTTGGAAGGCCCTCTCACATTGAATTTTGTCCAATGAAACCCATGTGATTCTGATGATCCTATTGGTGTGGACCTACTAAAGTCATTTATATATATATATATCTCGAATGTGAGTTAAATGATGTACGTCTGGTTACCAAAAGTATTCCTATTTGCACATTGAATTTTGTCCAATGAAACCCATGTGATTCTGATGATCCTATTGGGTGTGGACCTACTAAAATCATTTATATATAATATATATATATATCAAATGTGAGTTAAATGATGTTCGTCTGGTTACCAAAAGTATTCCTATTTGTACCTCAGAGTCCTTATTAAGAAATCTTGTCTCATGAAATGAATACCTTTAAATCACAATCATTTTCAGGATTATTAACTTCTGTCTTTGGGAGCAATCCTCTTTTCTGCCCTTTCACCATATTTCCATGACCTTTCTGTGTACGTATTGTAACTTTTCTGTGATTCTATGATTCAGACTAGGTTAGGTTTCGATAAGCAAGGCTATGTTAAATTATATGGTTGAGACAGAATACTGTTTTTCAATGATTTTGAATTCTGCCTCTAATCTTTCAGTCGCCTGCTTTTTAATTTTGTTTATGTAAGATGGTATAGCAAATAAACTTTCCCATTCTATAAGAGCCTTATTGGCATCCAAATAGTTGCCTCAGCCAATCCCAAATTTTCTTTGATTTCTAAAATGCTCAACTCCATCCTGCTTGAACCGTGATATCAGGGGGTTTAACACTGAACTGCTGATTCTCTCTTTGGAAGAGATAAAATAGATCTATCCAAAACCTCACAACTCACGTATTACATCGATTCCGGCTGGGCCCAGATTAGGTGAGACTTTACGGAAAAAAACGGTGTTTAAATCAGAATAATGGTTGTGTTCTGTATAGGACTGAAGAGAACAGAACAATCCTATCATTTGGGAAAAACAGCTGCCAAACATTTACCAATCTCATGTCTTTGTCAATTGCCACAGGATCCTTGACTTATTTCATGTTTTTATATTTATAGCTCAATTGATGCCTAAGAAAAAAAGAGCTTCCTGTTTTTCTTCCTCTACCCTCTTGCTTTCTGCTGTTGTACTCATTTATTAACACTTCACCCACCATGGAGTCCCCACAGGCAGAGACGAACTGGCATTGAAAGCTACAAGCTGT